TTTTAACAAAATAAGGTAAAATCAGAACAACTTGAGCTATATGTATCTAGGATTTTGTTCCAAGCACCGGTATGACTGTTCTAATTACAGTACTAAGCATATTTTTACCTTTGTAAAAGGAAGGATTATTGCTTCATGATTTCTTAGGCCTTGTTTCCTTGAGTGCTTGTTTTCACAAAATAATGTAGTTTGGTCATGAGCTTTTAGGAGGTTACAGTATAATTTGTTGTCTGGTATTTAAAACTGCCTGTAGATACAGTAAGCTGGAAGAGGAAGTTGCATGAATAGCGTTTGGCTTTTTGTACTGTTTTATCTATTTAATGCAGTGATGCTTCAAAGAAGAAGAGCAAATTGCATGGCACTATGTAAACCTCAGGATGCGTCAGCTGATTCGCTGCTTTAATTGTTAGAGCAGTGTTTAAAATTGCTGTGAGAGGCTGTTTCTTCCTTCATGCTAACCTTAGATATGACAAATTCAGTTTGACTACTGCCCAGTTACATGACTGAAAGAGTACAAACTTACACAGACTTCTGAAAATGGGTATGGAGTGTGACTAGATCATCTTATCTAACACAGGGAAAAGTATTCCATGCCTTTGGGGAAACTGCTACTTTCTTTAGCAGTGTTGTTTTTGAAAGGAGGAAGAGGATGTAATTGAGGCTTCCTTCTTTCAAATGCCTTTCACTGAAAAATGGTCACATAACAGAAGTTCTTTCAGCAAATGTAATTTTGCCTTTTTTCCCCCCCTTTAAAAACTATGGATGATGAATACAAAACATTTGGGAGATCATGTTAAAAATACTACATTTATGCAAATCATAAACAAAGTCTGCTTGTCACATGGTTTGTAATTATCAATGCATATCTTGTAAAGCTTGAAACACTGATTTGTTGGGTGCTGGTCTCATGTCACTAATCCTAACTGAAACTTTGTGGATTTTTTTCTGTCTTATTTAAGTGTTGAAGAATGTGTGGGGAGGGTATATGTACATGCATGCTGCCATAAGTTAATAGTGGTATTAAAGAAATAAGGAGTCTGTAGTATATGGGATATATTACATCAATGAGTTGAGTAAGCATTTTTTCTTCTTTTTTTTTGTTTGTTTTTTTTTTTTGTTTACACTTGCAGGTGTTGGGAGGGCAGTCTCATCCTTTGCACAGTTCTTTTTCATAGTGTTCTTCTCATTTGCTTCTTTCTCCGGTTGCCTAATTTGTTGTTCATGCTAATAATGCTTCCTCAGCAGCAATATAAAACTCTTTGTTTTATTTACAGTTGATTCATGTAATACGCATGATTAATAAGCCTTAAATATCAAGTTTTGTAATAACCTCAGCTTTACTTGTTATGAAGTAATGATTATGCATTTAGGTAGAAGTCACTCCATTAGATAACTGCAGGAAATTTTTTGTTGAAATATACTGGTGACAACTGAATCTTTTTGCAAGACTCAGAATTTATTTTAGGGATTCTGTGTTCATGCTATTTAGCCGCAGAAATCTTTTGACAAAGGCACGTTACCCTAATTTTGCAGCTGAGTTTGATAGTGACATGAGAAAGAGAAAGAGCCATCCATAAGTGAAATTAGGAAACAGTGGGCTCTCTGTACATCTTTGCTGGCTTGTTTATAGATATATGCTGGACAGAAGTTTGGAGTATAACTCATTTTTGTGTCAGGAGCAGGATCTGTGTTCATGTACAGAAAAGTTAACGGTATTTCAGTTCTTGAACAATTAAGTTCAATGTCTTTGCAGAATCTTCCTTGGAGAGATGCAGAATTAAAATTTCTTTGGGAGATCTGCTTGTTTGCAGTCTCATCAGCTGACTATGTGATGACACAGGTTTTTGGTAATTTCAAATGATCTTTCATATTTACAGCCATGAAACTTAGGAAATCTGGATTCTGTTCCCAGCTCTGACTTAATTCCTGCTGTGATTACAGTCAAGTGACTAAGGTTGTTAAGGATGTGTCCTTTTCCAACCACAGCTCTGATAAATGAAGAGGTTTTTGTCCCCAGCCTGCCTGGCTTGTGCATTGCCATCTCCATAGATCTGCTGACTGCACAGCTTCTGTGCTTACTCTGTGATAAATTTCAGCAAAACAGAGGTAAATGTGTCTAGACTGAAATTTTAAGCTGTTTTAACTGCACAGCTGCACCTGTAAATTCATATGATCAGAGATGTGATTTGGAAAATAGATTCCTTGCTTTTAATCAATTGAGTGTGCTTCAGCAGAGGTGTTCTATTGATAGTTCTTCTGCAGTTAGGCTTCAGTTGTATGGAGGTCTACACTATTCATAATAAAAATGTCACTAAACTCATCAACTTTCAGGTATATAAAAAATACAGTGATACACTAGTCACTCTGAAATACTTTATTAACTTTCAGCAAGTGATGTGGAGATTAGTATTTATCACAAATGACTGACTGTTGCTTTCTTTGCTTTGTATGGTTTGGTTGGTGGGTTTTTTTGGTTGGTTGCTTTGTTTTGTTTTTTTCCTTGCTTTGCATCTGATTTAGAGTGGAGGGTTTTCAGGCTGTAGAATATGACTTTCCAAAGTGAGGATGTCTCGCAATTTGTGAGTGACAGACATTTTCTGAGAGAAGAAAGAGCTATGTACGTAGTCTTATTAATTAAGCACATATTTCTTGCATGCAAAACACTTTTGTTGTGGCATCTTCTATATTCATTTGGAAATAATGTGTCACTGCTGTCAAATACCCAAAATTTGAAAATTTTGTGTCGGCATTTAACATGTACTTTTTTAAAAGACAACTCCTTATTTTCATGCTTGTATCTCTTCTCTTGAAGTCATGAGCAGTTCTTTTCTTCTTGTTTCTGACATCTGTGTATATTTTCCCCTTCCTTTTCCCTATCTACTTTTTGTCTCCTTGCTCCACTCTTATCTTTAAACAAGCTTTCACACTGGAGCGTGTGACCAGAGCAGCCTTCCACAGCTTGTCATCTAAAGTTTATTCTCCTTCAAATCTCTTTGAAAAATCCCCTTTCCTTTCTTTCTCCCTTCTTTCTTCTGGATCTTTTTCTTTCTGAAGGAGAATGTTTCTGTAGTAATGATGCCAAATTAAAAAAAAAAACACAACAAACACCTGTATTTGAGAGGATTTTAAAATTAGTCATTTACTTTAAAATGACACCATCCTGAATGTGACCATACTTAATAACCTGTGTTAGAGATAGTCATGAATTAAAGGAAATTCTTGGTTGGTTAAACCAACCATTTTTTATGTAGCTCATTGTGCTCGCTGTTCATCATCCTCTGTAGTTAACTGGTACAGAAATATCTTCTGTTGGAGTTCTGTAAAGTGTCAGTTTTTATTTGACACACATCAGGGTCTGAGCCTGGTTTCACAAGTGGAGCAACACAACTGCAAAGGTAATTTCCTCACCTCTAACAATGAAATTGGTGATGTCCTTTCACTTGGCATCAAAGAACAAGGAAACTGTATACAATACAGAGTTGGTTCTAAGATTAGGAATGTGTGATGTTCACACTGAAATTCACTGCTTTCTGGACAACTTAATTTCACTAGCTTGTTACATATCTTAAAGTTGTTTTTTGTTTTTTGTTTTTATTTTAGTGGGGTTTTTTTGGCCTGAATTATTGCTGGTTTACTGTCTTGCTTATTGTATTTTGCCATTACCTGCTTCTCCAGGTCAGTACATTAGAGCTAGGGAGAGTTCTGGTGAGTCATGTAGCCCCAGGAAAGGCTCAATTAAAGATAGACTTGAATGACCTAGATATAAGCCCTTGTGTTACAGAGACATTGCAGCCTTCCCACGTGACTTATTTTGGTTTTTAATTATCTGTTTCTCTAAGGAAGGATTTTTTTTTCCTGTTTTTTCAATATCCAAACGTAAGTTTTCCTAGCTGCAACTTAAGCCTAGTTCTTGTTCCTTCAGATTACCCCTTTTCTCAGTAGAACACTCATATATCAGAAGATGTGCTAGTATATCACAAGTTTCCTCTTCTCTAGGCTAAATGATTCCAATTTGATTGCATTTGGCTTTTTAGATTGCTCAGCCTTGCATTATATGTCATGTGTTTAGACTCTCCTGTGGCTCATGGTCCACTCCTCTGGATACTGTCCCGTTGGTTCACAGTGCTTCAGTTGTGGCTCCCACTCCTCCTCCAGCCTCCTTAGTACCAAAGACCTTTTTCTTAATGGGATGACATTACTGACTCACATTAAGCCTGTGATCAGCTGTAGTCTTTTGAGTGTCATCTTCGTAACTGTTTATACAGGCTTCTACTCTCTTTTTGTAGATGCAGTCATTATATCTAACTGCTGCAGCATTCAGTCTTCTCTGTGTGTGGTTGGTCAAGGTGATTTTCAAATTTTTCTTTTCGTTTGGAGTTCTTGCAGTCCCGAGGTGGTGTCATCTGCAGATTTAACACCTGTATCCCCCTTTCCCCCACAGTGACAGTTGATGAAAATACTAACTAGTAGACCTGAAACAGGGCATCTTCTGTTTTGGCAGGAAACTTGATCAGTATTTCTGAGGGTTTTTTTGTTGTTGTTGCTAGGGGTTTTTTTTGGTGGTGTTTTTTTGTTGTTGTTTTGGCTTTTTTTTTTTGATGTGTCTGCTGGTGGTGATGTTAGGAAATCACATTTGAGATTAGACAAAATATTAGTTCTTGGAGATAGAACTTGTTTGGGAAAATACTGTTGTCTAGGCACATGCAAATGCATTTTTTATTTTAAGCTGGTGAGAATCTTCAAAATCCAGTTGTCGCAGCATACTAGTATGACTTTTTTCTTAATCTTTTATTTTTATCATAATCTGTTTCATTAGGGTTATCAGGAGCATGGCTGTGAAGACGTTAATTTACACATTAAGTTTGTTTCCTATTCAAAAGCCATTATTCTAAAACTGCTGCTTGATATCTGGATGTCATTTTTCAGGAGAAAGATAATTTTACAAAACTACAGTTAATAAAACAGGTTGTTGTTTTTTTTTTTTTAATTTTGTGTTCTAGGGTTTTGACCCACCGCATCAAAGCGATACAAGAACTATTTATATAGCTAATCGTTTTCCCCAGCATGGCCATTATGTTCCTCAGAAGTTTGTGGACAACAGAATTGTATCATCCAAGGTGAGGGATAAGTTTGGTGTGGGTAAGCCACTTGTACTTAAGAAGTTGTGTAGTGAATGTGCATGTGTGTATTATGTCTCATGATGCATCAACAATATTAAAAATGAAAGAACCTAACCTTTTTTGAGGAAAAAGGTAGGTTGTTTCCTGTGTAGTTTTTCTCCTGCTCTCGTGCCTATTTCCTCAGACTTTGACTAAGTACAGAACAATTAAACATGTTGGTCAGAATTTTGGAAAAAAAGTAGGTTTTAAACCATTGTTATCGGTGTCTGGATGTGATGCACAGAACTACTTTTAAAAGGAAAGATGAAGCTGGTTGTGAAAATTCATAAAATTGCCAAAATGTAAGCTAGTAGTCTGCATAAAATGAATCGGCAATGGACTGCAATTGCAGATTCCCTCCTAGTGTGACTTTGGATTGAAATCAATAGAACTGATGGTGGGGATGTGTGTTGTCACTGTGGCGTAGAACAAAGTTACAGATACAACAATTAATTTATTCTCTGCTACCCAGGATGCAAGCAGACAAATAAGTCCAGCTGCTCCTATCCTAGTTGGTAGGAAAATATTTAAAACTTTGACTGTAAAGGCAACCCAGTTGCTACCCCTGCTTCCCTGCCACCTGTATTTCAAACAAAAAAACAACCAACCAACCAAAACAAAACGGAACAACCTACCCAGAACCCAAAGGGTGCAGTAGTTTTCTGTGAGAGTAGAGCAGGACCAGATGGTTTGAGGGAGGGGATATGGAAAATGAAAAGATTTAGCTGAATTTCACTGAAAGATTGTTCAGTATGTCATAACTGTTCTTCTCTCTCTTTTTCCCCTTCAGTATACGGTGTGGAATTTTGTTCCAAAAAACTTATTTGAGCAGTTCAGAAGAGTAGCTAACTTTTATTTTCTGATTATATTTTTGGTTCAGGTAAGTTAAATAATACTCAGGAAATTGCAATTTATGTTGTAAATTCTGCTATTGATTTTTGTTCTGTGAATTTAACATCTCTACTTATGTATTCTATCTCTTAAAAAAACAGCATGTTTGCAGTTTCCCTTGGAAAATAATATAATTTAAAAATAATTATGTCCAAATTTATGTACTGTCTTTAGGTTTTATCTTCATGAATGCTAATGTATTTAAGCGTGAAGCTTCTAAGTCCATTGCATGCCAGCACAGGGACTCAACTGTCTGCAATTTTTAATCCTGTGTCCCTTGCTCTTTCACGTTTAGAAAGAATTAACTTTATAATAGGCTGAAAATTCCTGTGTTGGGAGTTACTAAAATCATACAGTTCTAGCTTCATTGAACAGAATGTGTTGTCCATTCCATCCTCCTAGTTAAAAATATTAACTTCGTCATTCCTGTTACAATGTTTCGTGCTGTTTAATATTACAACTTGAGGAAGATGGGGGTTTGCTGGAGATGAAACATAAATGTTACTTAAAGTAACCATGGACAGTGTTGCATTTTTAAGGCTTTTATTTCTTTTCAGTACAAATTTACCACTTTAGTTGATTTTTGAGTCCTATTCTCTTCAAACAGTTAGACTTTAGTAATATCTAAATGATGTCCATGAAAAATTCAGATCTAAAGGCAGAACTACTCAGAGTGTAATCCTTTTCTAGTTTTTGACTCAAGTGAGTGCCCTCATTTGTGTGGGAAATGTGTATATGTCTGTATTCTTGGAAATTAAATGGGAGAAAAGCTGCAGTCATTTTTGTTCATTTGTTAAGGTGGAATTCTGGTTTTATTGAAATCCTGTTTGGAAGTTCATTAGCATCTAATATTATTTTCTTTTTTTGAGGCAAACGTGCCTTTAAAAGATAATCACCATGGTATCTTCTCTGTCATATGAATCTCATGTGACCAGGATGCAGTGTCATTACCACTGTATTCCACTGTGGATGACAGACCTGAGGCAGGTTTTCATTATATGATTTAAACATGCAGCACAATTCAGTTCATGTTATTTACCACACTGATGCATGCCAGAAACATGGTGACAGACTGCATTTTGGTCCTGTGAGGCTCCACACCAGTTGTGTGATGGATGTGTGTCCATCTGTGTAGCAGACAAATGGCCATGGTGTTCTGGTGAAAGAGGCAAAAGGAGCAGGCTGCCATGAGAATTTCACTAGCACAAAACTTGCTCCATTTTCATATATGAGAATGAGAGAGAAAGAGAAAGGAGGAGAGTGTAGATGGCAAAAATGGCATGGGAACCCTATCCAGCAAAAAAATCAGATGCTGTTGGCATGGATTTTCTTGGACAACATGTTGCCAAGCTGAAATTGCAATGCTACAGTTGAAGAACAGACAATATTGCAGGCTAGATCTGATTTTTTTGCTGTGTTCCGTAAACAGTTTCAGTGAAGAAAAAAACAAGCTCATTCATGCGTGCCAAGATGGCATAATCTGTATTCTCTCTGAGGTTCTTGGCTCTTAACAGAGTAAACTTCATGTATGACCATTTTTTTTTTCTTCCTTAATGGTTCTCAAAGCAATGCCACAAGTCTCAGGTAAAGTGGATCAAATTGATGTCTGTGGTTTTGAATTGTTATTGTGTATATTTTCTTTACAGCACTTGACCACGTTGGTTTATATCTGCAGCAGGGGCAAACCACTAACATCCCCCCCACATATAGAATTTTAGTGTACACACTGCATTTTTGGCATGCCAGCAGTAATAGCACAAATTGAAAAACTGCATGTTAACTTGGTGGAACCAGACAGGAGCAGTCTAAGAAAGTGTTTTCTAGTATCTAAGCTGTTGTAAATTACTATTTTTAACTATTTTCATTTCTGAAGTGGATGTTGTTACACTCTACATTGCTCTTAAGCAGTAGATTGTATGGAGTATTGAAACAGCTTCACAAAATCTAGGTTTCCTTCCTTTGTAATATAATTTTGAATTCATCTTTGTAGGATGAAAACATGCTAAAGACTCTTAAAATTGACACATGTGCTACAAATGTGACTGACTGTTCTCTGCCTTAAAACCTTTGTTTGCATCATTATTAACATCATCAGGAACTAATTTTGCTCCAGAAATACTGCAGAAAGTGCAGTAAAAATAATCATAATGAGGAGTTTGAAAAAATTACAATTATAAAAATAAAACTGGGTCTAATTTTTATATTTTCCTCTCTTCTAGCTCATGATAGATACCCCTACCAGTCCTATTACCAGTGGATTGCCATTATTCTTTGTCATAACTGTGACAGCCATAAAACAGGTAAAGGGAAAAAAACCTTGTAGCACAAAGACTTTCTAAGGTAAAATTAATTAAAGTTTGACCAACGTATTGTTTAGATACTAAAAATAAATAAAAAATGTGTCATTTTTACAAAGGATTTTGTATTTAATGTTTCTTGTTAGATGCTTGAACTTGAGCATTTTGGTTAGTTGTCAAGCACTCAGTGACTCACTATGGTACCCTTAAATGGACAGTGAATGACTGTCAGACAGCATTTTTGTCTAAGCATTACATGTCACCTGTTATAAGACCTTTTCTGAAAGCTCCTCACTTATTCTTTTGGCACACCTCGCTACATATTAAAACCAATCCTCACACACTGAGAGCTTGGGTAGATTAAGCAAACCCATGTTTGTCAGTAGTTAAAAGGTGAATTTTGCCCCAAGGAGTATGTTTCATCATATAAAATGTATATTAACTGTAATCCTGTACCAGGTAAAAGTCCAGTTTAGAAAGCTTCTGGTTTTGTTTTCTTTTTCTTTGATGACATAAAACATTTTGGAGTGCTTTATAGCACTTGAAATAACAATAATTGTCTGAGTTTAATAGAAATCTTACTCAAGCACCGTACTATATCCTGTTAAAGACCTAGGTGCCCTGGAAAGAGAATGTTAAAAAAAAAAAAAAAATGAAAAAGAAAAATCTTCTGTTTTCTTAGAGGAAGAAGAGAAAGAAACAAGCACATAAATAAAGAGGTGATGTGGATAAAACTATAAGTTCTTCTGCAGGGAGGTAATTTTCAGGAATTATCCCTTTCCAAGGGTTTGACAATGCTGTCTGGGGAAAAGATGCAGTCATAGCAACTGAAAAGTAAGCAGGAGACTGTTACAGACCTACAGCTGGAATTTCAATTTGTTTTGTGCCAGTAAGACCCAAAGCCAACCTGAAATAGGGCAAGCTAAAAATAACTCTTAGCTTTCAGGTGGATAGAATGGTGTTTGGGGCAGAGGGAATCTTAATCCTGGAGTAATAATTGAATTAACGTTTCCTCTTGTTTCTGTGCAGTTTGTATGTATAGAGTGCCCTAATCCTATTCAGTTGCATCATCACCCCCCAAAATTGCATGTTCAAAAGCTGTGGCAATAAGTAGGCAGTAGAAAATATCTGTTAAAGCTTTGTGAACTGAAAGATTGTGCATCTTAGTTACAAGGGTTTGGTTTTTTTTTTCCAGAAAAAAGTTGGACTTGTGTAAGTGGACTTGGGTTGGGAAGTTTAAGTATCTTACCGTTGATTGTAAAGAGCAGATTCTGACATTCCTTCTAGAAGTTTCAAATCATTCATGACTTGCTAAGCATCACAGGTTTTTCTGACTGTCTTAATATCTCTGCAAGGATTATTGAACCACCTAAAGTGGTGTAATGGACTCTAACCTTTATCCTACCTGCTACAAAGTAGGCAAACAGTATTCACAAGCTGTTATCTTGGAAAGACACTTCACTGTGCTATTTCCGACAGGCTGTCCTGAGAAAATGAAGAAAGATAAATCTGCTGTTGGAATGCAGAAGGGAAAATACCCAGTATGGTCTCAAAACCAGCTCCCAATTCCTCAAACCAGAAGAGGAATAGGAAACAGATTTTAGGGATAGAAACTCCTTCTGAAAGCTGCGGTGCACTGGTTCTGTATAAAATTTCAGCAATATAAATGTTAAACTATAACCTTTTGGTATCTTAAAAGATGAAGGGGGAAAAATAGAAGCGTTAACTGTATGCAGGTTTGAGCAGCTTAGTAGTTGATATAAAAACTCTCCTGTTTCGAGAAGGCCAGTTAATGTGGCACCTCTAGCAAAGCTCAACTTTACTTTAATCTCAGCCAAGGTGATAGAACTTTCTCTTCTTAGCAGTGTAATTGCACCTTGGTCAGAAGGACGTACAAGACTGCAAAGTGATGCAATTCATGCTGTGTCATTTTGTCGATCTTGTTAGGCAGAGCACTTTCCTCCTTACACTTGTGAAGATGCCTGTCCTCAGAGGAGTCCAAAATTAGAAAATAAATAAAACAAAAATGAAAGTTGAAAATAAAACCACAAAACAAATTTGAACAAAATAAAGGTATTTCCTAAGGAACTTTTGAAAACTTAGTCCATTTCAATAGGGTCATAGGTGTTTAGCAAATAAGCTGATTGGGCATAGATGTTTACACAGGTGTCAGGTAAACTGCAAGTTTTGATTAAATATAGACCTAACTGAGAATGAAAAACCTGCTAATATAATATGCAGGCCTGTTTGGTTTTTTGTTTTGTTTTTCTCTAAGTACATTGAAGCAGTTATTCAAGTAGGAGTTAAGAATATAACATAATTGAGGGTTTTAAATCTTTTGTTCCTGTTCATGCAATTAAGCAGCATTCCCTGTACTCCTATTGAATATTTCTTTTTCACAGTGTTTTTGCAGTATTTGCAAGTGAGGATAAAACTCTCAAAAATGCTGCAGTAGGTAAACTTTGGGGAGATTGAAACTGACCGCAGAAAGTTAAGAATTCCCTGGTGTGAGGTGTCACACTTGTGTTTAAGACGATAGGGGTCATATGGAGAAAACGCTGGAATCTGTACTTTCTAAAGAAGATTAATTTCAGTTCTTTGCCAAATGCCCATATTGTGCAGCTGTTCAGGTCTATGAGACAAATGCCCCAAGGTTACTGGATGTTAGTTAAATCCTTGTTTTGTTCTGTCAGTCACCTTTAACAAGGAGCTGTAGGTAATGACTCTTGCTTTTTCATATTGATCAGGAAAGATTCTTGAAAGAGTGTTAGTTAGGGGTTTGAGGATTCTGACTTCCCAGTATCTCTGTGACTGCTATTCTTACACACTAAATTATTTATTTTCAAGCAGTTGGCTTATAAAGCTTAAAAACTTACAAAGGTAGAAATGTAAAACTTTTAACATGCTAAATTCATCATATAACTTTCTTACAAATTCCAGTCAACTGCAGAATTCTATAAACTCCATCTGCATTAGTACTCTATGTTTGTACATAGAGTTTGTAACATTTTAGGATTAATTTGAATTACGCACACTCCCAAGGAAGTGGTTTTAACTCTTTCACGTGTTTTTATACCTGCAGAAAAGCATTTTGGAAAATGTCTTTATAACTGCAAACATGTTGCAGGAGTCTTGACAGGATGTGAAAGTAGTTGAACTTCCTGCATAGGCTGATCCACTTCTTGTGCTTCCTCATGGGGCTTTCTAAACAGTACTGAGATTGTGACTGATAATCGGGCTACTAGATTAAATAAGCAATGTATTGTTTAGGAAAATTGGAGAGGAATAGTATTCCTGGATTCACTCATAAATATTTGCATGTGTGTGAGTGGGGGAAAAGGTGTTTAAAGACATGCCAGCTATTGGGTAAAGGAAAACTGCTTAACTTATCCACTAAAAAACTCACTTGCTGAGAACTGTTGCATTAGGAGTCAAAGAACTAAAACCTTTTCAGTCATTGTCTCTTGCTGTACATCATGTTGTACAAAATTAAAAAATCTTAAAATTTCATGCATAGGCTGTGGCAGTAACTATAGCGTTATATGGTATGATGTGAGGAAATAATTTCAGTCTGTTATTTCTCTTAAAAAAAATCAAAAACACCACAAAAACTCCCTTAAAAGTCACTGTTGCCAGTTTTGTATTATATTAATCTATACAGATAAAAGATTGAATTAATGCCTGTTCATCTCATCTACAGAAAATGTTACTGCCTATTTGTTTTGACAGAACATGGGACTGTTAAGTTTTTTCACTACTTTTGCTACTTTATTTGCCTTTACTTGTGTAAAGTGAGTGAAAATTAAGAGGTTTGCCGTATTCTTGAGTAACTGCTGTAATAGAAGCTCAACAGAAATGAGTAACTGTATTCAGGCTGTACCGGAAGTACTTTGAAGAACATTTGCTTAGAAGATACTTGTTATTCTTTATAGGTTTGTTGTTTAAAAAGTAAATTTGTTTGTGTTTTCCACAGGGTTATGAAGACTGGTTACGGCACAAAGCGGACAATGAAGTGAATGGTGCTCCAGTTTATGTTGTTCGAAGTGGTGGCCTTGTGAAAACTAGATCTAAAAACATTCGGGTATGTGCCTAAGGACAAATTGAAAATGGTGTTTCTGTTGCATAGCTAATGTTCTTCTTCCATTACTAGTCATTGTGGCCTGTTTCATCATGATTCAGTAACAATGCTGAAATGACTTCTCTTTTAAAACTCTATTTGTATTAAAACCCTTCTCTTTTGTGTTCACTTTATTAGGTGGGGGACATTGTCAGAGTAGCCAAAGATGAGACTTTTCCTGTTGATCTGGTGCTTCTGTCATCTGATCGAGGGGACGGTTCATGCCATGTTACTACTGCAAGTTTGGATGGAGAGACCAATCTTAAGGTCTGAGTTACCTATATGAAATAGAATGTAGTTAATTTGCTATGCCATTTTTATTTCAGACTGTTGAAATAACTGCCCCCCTCACACACACCGCCCCCTCCAGCCCCATAGTCCTTTATATTTAATTTAATGGACACTGTTTTACAGACACATGTTGCAGTCCCAGAAACAGCAGTGTTACAGTCTGTTGCCAACCTGGACAAACTTGTAGCTGTTATAGAATGTCAGCAGCCAGAAGCGGATCTATACAGGTATCACCTTATTAGTAAATATTTTGAAATCAAATCAGAACGAGGTGTTTAACAGTAGGAATGTTATGTGTCTTGCTGGGATTAAAATAGCTTCATAAATCTGCTTAAATTTTAGATTTTAATAATTAGCATGTTTATACATATGTACTCTAGTGAAAGTTGCAACTGAGAAGTCAAATTTGAGGATTTCAATAGTAAATCAAAATCATGGGATAATATTTACCTTTTGTGTTTTAATCATGACACTTAGGTACATTTCTGTTCTAACCAGTAAACTTGTTTCTAGGTCTTAAAAAAATTAAATGGCGTATGAATCTGAGCAGGTTAGAGAGAGAGTTGTATAACGTTCTTGTCTAGCAGTATATTTTTCTTAATAGAATTCAGCCAAACTGTAGCAAATTCTTGTAAGCTTATGTTAATTCTAAGGATATGTGTTTGTCAGATTTATTTTGCTTATGGTTAAGAGCAGATTTTAACTCAATTTTTCAGCAGCAAAACTTTAGATTAAAAACAGTGGTATCTGACTGTGCTACATTTCGGCTTTTAACATCAGCAAGCAATGACCTAGACTCAGTAAGAGTGTTATAGGTAAAGAAGTTACATTCCCATCGAAATTTCTCCTGAATTGTGTAATGGAAAATGGTAGCAGTCAAGTAGCAGTTTTCAAGATCCAAGTGTACCACAGCAGCAGTTCTTAAGGAAGCTTTCAGATCTGTGAGAAGTATTAAATTTTTAAAAGCCAGGATACTTAATTTGAACAGCTGTTCAAATATTTGCCGGGTTCAATTTGTAAGAACTTCAAAGTACAGTTACTATAGAAGCTGGGGTCATGCTAAATGTTCAAGTGTCAGATTTTAAAAGCAAGTAGGTTAGCTTTGTTAAATGAAAAATTACTATTTCTGATGGCTAATATGCTGACTTGTATTTGTTGAGGAAGTTCAGGTTAGATATAAGGAGAAAGCTCTTTACTGTGAGGGTCGTGAGGCGCTAGAATGGGTTGCCCAAGGATGTTGTGAATGCTCCATCCCTGTCAGTGTTCAAGGCCAGGTTGGACAGAGCTTGGGTGACATGGTCTAGTGTGAGGTGTCCCTGCCTATAGCGTGGGGGTTGGAATTCGATGATCTTAAGGTACTTTCCAACCCTAACTATTCTGTGATTCTATGATTATTTGTTATTGAAACATGAAGAAGTCACAATGTGTTTTAGCAAAGAAATATAATCTTTTGTGGCTTTATGAATGAAACCTAATCGGCTTCTCAGATGACTGTTCTTTTGAAGGATAAATGTTTGTTGTTAAATACCTTTTGCAAAATTACTGCCAGTGTTGCCATATTGGTTTAGTTTGATTGTTAATAAAAGTTGATTGTTTTGTACTTGTGAACCACTAATGACTTTTTTGTAACAGAGGAGGTTTTTATGTTTTTTTGAGTCTTTGTGTAGGTATTTCTAATGCATGGCCATCTTTCATAGGTTTGTTGGAAGAATAACTATAAGTCAACAAACTGAAGAAATTGTAAGGTAATTAAAATTTTGTAAGATTAATGTTTAGAACTGATGGAGTTGATTTAAAATGACCATCATAAGAAAGAGTTACTGTTGAATATATGAAAGGAGGAGTATTTTTACTGTAAGTATCAATTGTAGCTGCATACTTAAATGGAGATGAAAAAAAATTAGTTAAGGAAAGTTCATTACTACATTTTGTGCAAAACTGTTGCTTATCAGAGTCACTGAGCAGATGTTTTTGCAGTTGACATTCCTAAAAATTTATTTTAACTAAATTCCTGAAATGTGTTTTAAGAAAGCCTCTACTACAAATAGTATATGTTACACACTACCATACTGGACTGTACAGTTAAGTCCTTACATCTGTAATAGTCAACACATAACTGTGTGGATTTAATCATATCCTCACAACCTTTTCCTGTCAGTCATAGCAAGTCGCATACACCTAAACACGTGAAAATATAAAATACAAAAAAAGATGTGAAGCCAATTACAGATCCATTTATGGACTTCCTCAAACATTGCTAATTGTGGTGGGTTGGCTCCAGCTAGCAGCCAAGTATCTACACAGCTGTTCATTCACTTCTCACCATCACAATAGAACAGGAGAGAAAACAGGAAGAACAGGAGTAAGGAAAGTCATGGTTTAAAATAAAGACACGGAAATCACTTGGAGGAAATGACCAGACTTTCAGGAGTATTTAGCATTCAAGTTAATTAATTGTTTTTTATATTGGGTTTTTCAGACTGGCTTTACAAACTCAAAAATACTTGAATCCAGAAATACACATTTAGTCCCTTTTAGTTCAAATTCTCAGTTAAAGTTTGAGTCTTCCCTAAAATATTCACCTAAATACCAGTGATTTAAATAGCCTATCATAATCTGTGTGCAGAATTCATGTATTGTATTTGTAGTGGTAACTGTCATATTTGTGGTAATGCTTAAGTTAAATATTTAACTGTGGGGGGTGAAGTGTGGGTTTGGGTTATTTTTAGTAATTCTGGGTTATGGTTTCAAAGAAAATTCAAATAAAAGTGCTTTGTTAAGATAATCATGGACTGCTTGTGGTACAGCTAATGGAAAAGTAAGACAACCCAAGGGCTTGTTTGCTGTAGCACTTGGTATATGAACTTGAATTCTTTTGCTTATACCCAGTATATCACCCTGGCCACCGCAGTTCAATTTCTGCTTTTATTTGAAACCCTGGCAAAAGTAGTGAATTTTTTTTTTTTATTATTTCAAACTGTTTCTAAAGGTGATACAGCCACTGGAGTAGAACAGATCGCTCTAACCTAATATGAGCCTTGATTCTACCTGGACCTTTATTTTCACATGATTGTTTACAGCTAGCTTGGGAAATGGAATGAATGTAAATTATGGTAAAATTATGTTGTGACAGATTCCCTCCCCCCCCCCCCCCCCCCCATGTTTAAGAAATTTTACTCTTGTATTCGAAAGCAGCACTGTTGTGGTCATTTAGTGTCCATCTAGTTGTTTCTCTGGTATGAATAACTTTTTAACTTCTTAGATCATTTCAGTTTGACAGAGGGGTAGAAGTAAGATAGATAAATAAACCAAACCTAAACCAGCACTCCTGCACTGTGAGCTTGACTTTTTTTTTTTTATTCTACTGGCTTCTCAAGTAACTTGCAGGTATCTCTAACCCAGCTATTTGTTATATTCAGCTCAATCACTAATTATGGGATACTGAACAGTGGTGGGAGAGGATGGCACTGACCAAAGGAGGCGTGAAAGGAAACAAAGAGCACTGTGGAGATATGTGGGTGAGATATGGTAAAAGGGGTAAGAGCATTGAAGATGGACCTAAATGAGTGTGAGAGTATAGTTGTTGCAGTGGAAATTCATAGAGGATATAGGACAAATTTGCATAGGAAACTGGATTTCGCATAATGTAGAAGAACTAATTTTTTAAGTGCTGATATTTCTATTTCTTTTTAGACCTCTTGGGCCTGAAAGTCTCTTACTTCGTGGAGCAAGATTAAAGAACACTAAAGAAATATTTGGTTTGTAGACATCTAAATATTTAAAGAGTATTCTCTTCTTAAAACGTGGTTTAATTCTACTTGCACTGAAAAAAATGCCATAATCTTGCTGTTATCTGAAGGGGTATGATTATAGATGAAAGTAATGATAGTATGCTGAAGAATCTCTAAGGATATAAAGTTCCGGCTTTGCTCTGTGAAAATACTTGATGTGGTTTGATAAAGGAATAACTTAACTACAATGTGTAAATGACTGTTTTTACTGTTACCCATTTTTCAACACTTTCTCCTGAGACTTACCATTCTGATTTCCATAAAATACGAATTGAAGAGCAGTACAGTCATAATAACGAACAGCATTTTTGTAGGTGTTAAAATTAGTTCAGTAGTACTCTTACTATAATAGAGTATTGCAAATACTTAATACTGTCTCACTATTGTACTGAAGTAAACACAAAAGTAGTATCGCCTCTTGATTTTATCCTGTGTTCCTTAAAATGAAAAATTAAGCAAACTGTATATATGCAGAAAATAAGGTGTAACTCTTTCCCCTCCCATTCCTTCCCAGGTGTTGCAGTGTATACAGGTATGGAGACAAAGATGGCATTAAATTACAAGAGTAAATCTCAGAAACGGTCAGCAGTAGAAAAGTATGTTTATGTTCTAATATCTTTCTTATTTGTAGAGTTTTAACTTAGATTTTGCTTGGTAGCTTTAAAACCCTGATGATCTTGTCATTGGGTTGTAAGGAAGGGAAGAGAAGCTAATTGCTTTGCGTTCAGGAAGCTCTAAAGAGCTTCTTGATTTTTCATCCTTTATTGATTCTTTCACTAGCATACGAAGTTGAAATACCCGTACTTAAAAGAGGACTAAAGTGGGAAAAGTTCAGGTTTATTTTTTAGATGTGGAGATTATTTAATGGTAGGTAAAATGCTTTTTGAACTAGATGCTTAGAGATAGTTTTCACAACAGGTCCCGGTCTCCGCTCTTCTCTGCATCCTTTACTGTAAAACTGCATCCTGCCTTTAAAGAGGATGGATTGAAATGAAGTCTTAATTATTTAAAAATCTTTGTTCTGAATTTGATATAATGGAAAATAGCTTTGTTTCACATAGTCCAAAGGAGATAGAGCCTAGCCAGATACGTTTTGCAATCTTGCTTCTAGCACAAGTTGAGGGTTCAGTTTAAAATATCTTTGTGTGTAGTTATGGGATAGGTGTTATTGTAATAGATATTTATATGTTGAACCTCATGAAATATGTTAAGAGGAAAATGGAATTCTGCTATGTTGCCTTTATTCCAGTTACTGAAAAACTGAGATAGCCCTCCAGCATTCTTTTGCAAACACAGTATTGAGCTATAGAATGCACAGGAAAAGTTCAGTCATCAAAGCAAGGAGTGGAGAGGTGGTCTGGCTAGCATTACAGAATATAGAGGCAAGTTTGACTATATCCTGGTATAGCAGTGCCTGGGTTAAATAGTCAGATGAACATGGCAGTACTCTTCTAACTGAAGAAAAAGTTCCAGTGTGTTGTGTGACCTGCCTTCACAGCCTTGCTAGATACTTGTGGAAGAAGAGAAGGATAAGTCACTCACGAAACTCTTGGACAAGTGTGACACAAGTCAGCTGTTGGGGTATTCTTGCACCATAATCTAGTCTACATATTGCTGCGTGTAGACTATACCTTAGTCAAATGTAGGATTTCTTTTTCACTTCTGTCACTTGCTTGTGATGTAGAAACTGTCCATATTGAACACAGGGAACACAGGGTACTTTTTAATTTTTTTTTTTTTAATTGTCCAGTTAACCTCAGTGTGTCAACAGATTAAGTAAAATAAACTGAAATTGTTTGGTTTTGGTTTTTGTTTTTTTTTGTTTTTCTTCTTCGTAGGTCCATGAATTCCTTTTTGATTATTTATCTAATAATCCTCCTCTTTGAAGCCATTCTGAGCACTATTTTAAAGTATGCATGGCAAGCTGAAGAAAAATGGGATGAACCTTGGTATAATGAAAAAACGGAGCATGAAAGAAACAGCAGTAAGGTAATGTAGTTCTAACCAGTTGCATATCTGAGGAACTCTCAACCACTATATACTCAATGTGATATTATATCTCTGTTCTTGGATTTAGGCGTAATTGCCACATAATCTACTTGCAAATTTGTGTCCTATTGTCTCAGTATTTTTGAGAGAGTTAGTCTTATGTAGCCTCACTCTTGTGTAGAAATATCTTACCTCTGTTAATGGTTGGACTTTTTCTTTCTTTATGAAAAGACCAAGCTTTTTGAAAATTTTGGGTCTTACTAGGACATATTTCTGATGTTCTGTGTTCTTATTATAGATATGTTCTTTTGGGTATCTCCTGTCATTCCTTAAATAAAAAGAAAATAATTGTTCTTATGCACATTCCATTGCAGTGATTTCACAGACCAGACTTTCTGTGATGTTGAGCTTGTTCAGACAATTTTGTAAGGCAGTTTTATTCAAGCCTCTGCTTGCCTTCTCACTTTTCTGTAAAGATTGGAGGGACACTTTGAAGTTTCACAGTTCTGAGAAGTGTCCTTTTTTTTTTAATTATCTTTTTTATTTTTTTTAAATCATTCTGTATTTTCCTTTATTCTGCATTATTTTTTGATTTCTGTACAAGTCTGCCTTCTTCCAAAGCAGCTCTTGAACTGGCTAGAGCAAATTCTAGGAAGCAGAGAGGATTTTCAAAGCACAGAATAATGGGAAATCCAGTTTCAACATGTGATGTAGTGTCAAATATTTTAATACCCACACCTTCTTCTTCTCCAAGAGAGTGGAGAATTGAATGTGCTCACTAGGTGCCATGTGTGCGGAGAGGTCCAAATCCCAAGTCAGGAGAGTTCTGTTCTGCTTCCCAAGTAGAGTGCAATTTACAGTTAGTACATAGGGGTTCAGGAAGGAAAAAAGAAATTCGAGAATGTCTTTGATTCAAGGAGAGTTACAAGTTTACTGGCATTTTTGTAAAACATGCAACTTTCTCAGAAGCTTTGTCCTGCAAAGTGTTTTTGTGGTTAAACCACAGCATTGAGATGTTTTTCCAGTTAATTTAGAATTAGTAATTCAGGTCATCCCTACAGTTAACAAATACTTTTCAATAGATTCTAAAATTATCTTGTCTGAAAGTGTCACTGTTGAAGAGTACTAAATTAATTTAAAAGTTTTCAAATTATTTAGTGACTTTATTTTTAGCACCTCCACCCATCTAGCACACTTTCAACTATTGAAGTGGTCAGTAAAGTAAAATCTTGGTTTCTCTTAATTTGAAGTAGTTGCTATGTCAGTTAGACTAGCCTGTGGAGCTTTTTCAGTTCTGAATAGAATGGGATATACTCAATCTTTCCATTCCTTTACCTTTGCCTTTAGGAGCTCGCAGAGCCATCTGTGTTTCTGCAGTGTCACTCTCTTTCTACCATGTCTTTGTTTTTCTCTCTCCCTTGTTCACTTCCACAATCTGCTTTGCATTTCTCAATATGCTGACATCCTCACTTGGAGTGCTTTCTCTGTTCATCTCTTCTGTATCGTGCAGATTGCTATTTAAAGGACAGTGCTTGAAGAAACTTGCTAACCTTAGTAATTGTCCTTTGTTCTCAGTTTATCTTCTCTTAAATGAACTACTGCTCTTTGTCTTTTTTATTTAGTTTGGAAGATCTCTTAAGGCACAAAACTTCCTTAGTTTTTGTCAGACACCAGAATTATTGGTACTGATTTTTACTAAGTAATTATAGCAGTGTTCTAATTCAGAAGAGTAGACATTATTTAGCTTTGCAGACTGCAAAGCTTTATGCACCCTTTCTTCTTCAAAATGTTCTCCTACACTAGTATAAATCTCTTTCCAAAGTACAATTTAGATAGTGTTTTCTTTGCAAATCAGAGACTTCAAATATAGACTAATATTGCATTTCAGAGGTTTTTGAAATTATCGTACCTAATAAATAGAAATTTCTATCCTATTATGGAGCCTTTTACTTGAAACATCTATGTTGTACGCAGTGATTCGAAGAGGCATAAAAGAAGCCTGTGCCATTGAAGTCCACAGTCTTGTGATGTAATCTGGATCACCCACGTCACTGGGAAATGCTAGTAGACAGGAACCCTCTTGTCTCTTTGCTCTCTCAAATCAGTACAGAATACTTGCAGGTTCCTCTGACAACATGAAATGGCAGTTGTTTGCCTTCACCAGTTGTGGTTACTTAGAAAAGCTGTTTGGTGGAATGGGGAACACACGAGTTTTTTCAGACTGAACTCTTTCTAGATACCTGTCTCAAAACAGAATCACCATGACAGGTAATATTAGTCAGCAGCCTTCCTGACAGATTGAGTAGGAAGGACAAAAATTAATGAACTTGAGAATAGAAACATCCGGTCATAGCTTAAGGCAGTCTTCCTGCATCGGTCTGAAGGCACATTACTGGGACAACCTGGAAATGCCTGCACTGTCACTGTGTGCTGTCTTTCTCATGTATACATGGCAGTTGGTCTCCTCCAGCTCTGTTAATTTGTCATTTTTCATGCATATTGAAACATAGCTAAATAACCGTGTTGCACCACATCACTTTAATGATGCAATCTTTACATTTTCTCTTTTTTTTTTCTTCTAGATTCTTAGATTTATTTCAGATTTTCTTGCTTTTCTGGTACTTTACAATTTTATCATACCTATTTCACTTTATGTGACTGTTGAGATGCAGAAATTTCTTGGATCTTTTTTTATTGGCTGGGATCTTGACCTCTATCATGAAGAAACAAACCAGAGAGCACAAGTAAATACTTCAGACCTCAATGAGGAATTGGGACAGGTAGAGTAAAAAATAAACTGTTTCTTTTTCTTTTTCTTTTTTACCTTCTATTTTCTACTCCTTTCTTAATATTAAATTCATTACTGAAAACTTTTTATTGGTTGCAATTTGATTTCAGATTAATTTTAAAATAAAGGATAAACATCTGATGGCAGAAATAAAAAAATTTACATGACCAGAAAAAGGTGTCTTGTGGAGAGTATGAGTTGAGATATTTACTTTTTCCTTCTAATACATACATGCAACTCAAAGTCTGTTTTTTGTTTTATTTTACAAAAGGTAGAGTATGTGTTTACAGACAAAACCGGTACCTTAACTGAAAATGAGATGCAGTTTCGGGAGTGCTCCATTAATGGCATAAAGTACCAAGAGGTCAATGGTAAACTAACTCCAGAGGGGTTTTCTGAAGATTCACCAGATGGAAATATACATAGTTTGGTAAGACTTTTTTTTTTTTTTTTTTTTCCCATTAGACATCCCAGACAGAAAGTGGTTTATTTCAGAGAAATACTCTTCTAGCATCAGCATTCTAAGAAAAAAAAAAAAAAAATTTGAACTTATCAACAGTTTCAAGCACTTAAGTATTACTGAAAAAATATCTGTTAAAACATGTTGAGATGTGATTATTTAACATGGAATACTTGGCAGATTTTAAAGTAAAAACATTTTTTAAAGTATATTGAAAACTGGGTTGATATGTGTTACAAATTAAGTTTCATCTTTCTTATAGATGAAAGAGGAGGAGCTCTTCTTGAAAGCGGTTTGTCTTTGTCATACAGTTCAGATCAATGCAGATCAGACAGATGGTGCTGATGGCCCCTGGCATGCCGATGGAATAGCATCTCCATTGGAGTATTATGCTTCTTCACCAGATGAGAAAGCTTTAGTTGAAGCTGCAAGCCGGTGAGTTGTAGTGACAAAGCTATCTAATGTAGAAAATGCCTACTAGGGCAGGCAATTCATGGTAAAAGCAACCTTAAAAATTGCTCATAAAGACCTGTAAAGCCCAGGGCCTGGCAATGTTAGTTCACTATGAAATCTTAGAAAAATGAAATACACAAAACCCTACGCGTATTAAAAAGTGACTATTTAAAATATTTATGGGAATTCTTGATTATTACAGTGAATTACAGTCCCAATAATGGAGAAATTATAGTTTCTGTTTAAATAGTGCAGAAAGTGTGCTTTTTTTATTGTCTCAAAGCAGTAATGAGTTCTCTCCTTTTTTCCCCTTCACATCAACAGACATTATGTTTGATGATTAAATGTATATTTTCTTTTAATTTTAGGGTTGGAGTTGTATTTACTGGAACTACTGGGGACAGTATGGAAGTAAAAAGTCTTGGAAAACCAGAAAGGTAGTAATTTTGATTGTTTCTTTTGAAGGACAGAACAGTAGTGAAAATTAATGTTCTCTTAATCCTCTCTGTTTATAAGAAAACTTTGCTTATGCACAGCGTGCTGTTTTTAATGGTTTTCCCTTAATATCTTCAAGACAGCTCACATCTTATTTCTTACCAATTTAGACTGAGATGCAAGAATTCTGTATGCATTAGTTGCTCTGTGTAGATGTGTACTTAACAGTTTACCTTTGCCCATTCCTCAAAGGTTGAGACCGTAGTAGAACTGGAAAACTGGATTGCGTATTCAGGTCTTATTGTTTGTGCTTTCAGGTCCAGAAGTTCTCAGAATCAGTGTCATACATGCATAATCTAATTACATATTTTAAAATTTCCCAAAATGAGTAAAAATATTATTGATAACTGTATAGCTGCAGTATGCCACGACACCTTATATCTGCTGGATCTGTTTCAGTTATTTGGCAGTAATTTAAACTTAAATGTCTGAAGTTAGTTTTCTAAATTAGTGGTAACATAACAAAAAAATAGTCGAGTTACAAGAGAACATATACTCTCCTTTGGCTGTGTAGGTTGTTAACAAGTGTAAGCAACAAAGTGTAGTTTGCAAAGTTACAGCTGAAGGAATGATAGAGGGGTAAAGGAATAGATGGGAGGTGATTGTAATCTCCAGGTGAAAAGCTCATGTTCAGAAAACTATTCCTGTTGGTGGGAAAACCTCACAGTATAAGGTATATTTGTGAGTAACTGACTCTGGAAGTTTACTTCTAAAAATATTTTATTCCTTTTCCCCCTTCTGTTGAAATACAAAATGCAGGTATAAATTACTTCATGTTTTGGAGTTTGATCCAAATCGCAGACGAATGAGTGTCATTGTAGAGAGCCCCTCAGGTAAGTGATCAGAAGTTGCACAAACTGCAGTGGAGAACTTCTTAAATAGTATGTATTCTTAATTTCTGTTCCATTTTACTTTTTAGGGGAAAAGCTTTTATTCACAAAAGGAGCAGAATCTTCCATTCTTCCTCGTAGTAAGAGTGGAGAAATAGACAAAACAAGGATACATGTGGATGAATTTGCTTTGGTAAGTGTAAATGCTTGCCCAGCTCGTCAGAAGAAAATACTGGTGCAAGTTCTCTGACTTGAACTGAACAAATGGCAGGTGGCACCTTTTTGTTAGATCAGAATCTTATCTACTCTGAATGTATTCTTTTATTTTCTCACAGAAAGGGCTAAGAACTTTGTGTGTAGCCTACAGAAGATTCACACCTGAAGAGTATCAAGAAATTGGCAAACGGCTCCATGAGGCTAGGACTGCCTTACAACAACGGGAAGAAAGATTAGCAGATGTATTCAACTTCATAGAAAGGGATCTGGAATTACTTGGGGCTACAGGAGTAGAAGACAAGTATGCAATGGAGTTTCTGCTAATTACATTCAAAGCCATATTGAATTTAGGTTTTATAACTGAAATATGATGTATGGCATGAAAAACTCTTCCACAACAACTGAAAGTTCTTTGGATTGAGGAACATTCAAAACACATGTTGTACTACCTGTTTATTGGCTTAATAATGATGTCATACAGTAGTATTCATCAGGAAAGATTTAATGTGTGTGAAACAGAATAGTTGCAGTAAATATTTAGAGTAATTGCTAATTTCTTGGGAAAACTTATATACATAGCTACTTTACAAAGCATTCTGCTTGCATAGCATGTATTCTGTAACTCAGAGGGTTTATTGTACACTGGAGCGTATAGATGAAACACTTAAAAGCTTTTCATGTACTACAGAAGATAGTAATTACTGTGGACTGTTTTAAAACTTCTCAAATGCAGCAATGGTGCCTAATTTAAGTTAAGATACAATTTCTTGATCACTTAGCAGGATTGAAGTTAAATTTTATTTCATCAAAGCCTTCATTTTATTGCTGGTAACAGAATGTCATCTGACAGACTGATTCTCTGAAAAGCAATGTAACACTGGAAATGCAGTCTTAAATCATCATGACGGGAGTAACATGGAATTACAGCATGAGCTCTGTTTTTGTAAAGTCTTTGATCAGTTATTTAAGATTTTCTTCTTTCTAGACTGCAAGATAAAGTCCAAGAAACTATAGAAGCACTCAGGTTGGCTGGTATCAAAGTGTGGGTACTCACTGGAGATAAGCATGAAACAGCTGTTAGTGTCAGCTTATCATGTGGACACTTTCATAGAACCATGAACATCCTTGAGCTTGTGCAACACAAGTCAGACAGTACATGCGCAGAACAACTGAGGCAGCTAGCCAAGAGGTAAAATACCTGAGATGTCATTATCTCAGTGATGATCTTAGCTTTGTTTTCTTTTATGCTCAGATTTTATGACAATCTCTTTGATGTATGTGCCAAACACATGAAGTTACCTTTTAAAAAAGTTTATTTAGTAGTATAATACCAGATTTATAGAAGCCGTCTTTCTGACAGGCTAACTTCTTTATCTGTTGTATGGGCAACTGCATAGTTCATAACAAAATTTAAATTTTCCCATCACAGTGATACAAAGCCAACATTTTTGTTCCTAATAGAATAAAAGAAGACCATGTTATCCAGCATGGACTTGTTGTGGATGGGACCAGCCTCTCTCTTGCACTCAGGGAACATGAAAAACTGTTCATGGAAGTTTGCAAAAACTGTTCTGCAGTGTTGTGCTGTCGCATGGCACCCCTTCAGAAAGCAAAAGTAAGTGAGAATATAATCTGGGTTGTCTTGTATTTTTGTCATGCTTTGAAAGAGGCAAGGACATCAGGAACTGCTTTGTTTCTCGGTCTGCCCTTCTGTGTGACTTTTGAATTCTTTTAAATTCTGTTGATCTGTAGTAGTTTGCTACTAAGTTTCTAAGTGCATTTGTGAAAATTTGCAGGTGAATTGAGGAGATAGTCAAACTGCTGCTACTCTGCAACAAAAAGACTAATCTTTAATCAGCCTCTTAAGTTTTCTGTAAGGCGGTAGCTATCCTGGTCACCTGCATGCTTTGGCATTGCCTGTTCTATCACTTCTTCAAACCACAATTGAAGATTCATGAAGCTATATGGAAAAGTGTGCTGCTTTAAAGATTTAAAAGAATACCAAGTTTGAGGAGGAAGTAGAAGGGAAGGGAAAACAAGCTGGGGCCTAGTTTCCAGGAGATTTGCCTTAATGCTATCTTCTGAGGCAATTTTTTTCTTCATGGATACTTAATTTTACTTAAATACAGGTCAAATAAAATTCAAATTTAGACTGATTTTTTTATTTTTTATTTACTCTAAAAAGCTAAGCTCTGAAGAGCTATATTCTTTTTTATAATTTTAATTATAAGATTGATATTATAATATTAGTATTATAACTTTAGCTCATCTATATGCTTTAAAGTCTTTTTGCATGTAATTCCAGTAATATTAAGACTCTGAAAAGGCAGTTGTCTACTGTATTTTTACACCTCAACAAAAAGAAAAGGAAAAAAGACATCTCTTTACCTTAAAGACATAAGAAATGTGAGGTACTAGATTTGCAAAAGAGACTGTTTTACTATAGTACGAGTAGCCTGTTTTGAGGTCGCTCTTCCTTCTTCCAACATTTAGTCAGTCACTTAATGCAGTCTTTAGAATTACTTCATTATAAAACTACTCAGTTGTGTATAAAACTTGGTATAATAGTAGTTTTGGTAAAATGTTAAAAAGAAGTTGTTTGTAACAGCAATAAGAAAAATCATTTGTTGGCTATGTCCACTTTATGTACACTCTCTTAGGTGAAATTTTTGCTGTCCTCTCTCTTTAAGATATAGTTATTTGCTTATGTTGTGTCCTTGTTCTTACTTTGTCATTTAACTTGATTTATAATGTGTTTTGTACTGCCAAATTTGTCAGAACAGCCAATAGCGCTTTCCTTAATTCTTTTCCTGTCCATCAGATAATCTCAGTTATTTCCTGTATTTTGTCGTAAAGTACAACAAAACCTAATTTTGACGGCAGTGGCTTTAAACACTGAAGTAGATAAATGACTGAGATAAATGCTGCACACTATAGGAGGGAAGGGTAGGGAGGGAATTGTACAGCAGTTTAGTCCTTGGGTTTGGTTTTCTACTTGTCCTGGGTTCAGCAGTAGCAGTCATTTTTTCTCCTTCTTAGTAGTTGGTGCAGCGCTGTTTTTGACTTTTGACCTGTGGACAGCACTGATAACACCGATGTTTTTAGTTTACTGCTCAAATGTTTAGTCTGACCAAGGACTTTCTGAGCCTCGTGCTCTGTCAGGGAGGAGGGGAAGCTGGGAGGAAGCAGAGACAGGACACCTGGGCCAAACTAGCCAAAGAGGTATTCCATACCACAGCACATCATGCCCAGGAGGTAACTGAGAATTACCCAGAAGGGCTAATGCCCTCCTGGGTCTGGCTAGGTATCGGTCAGCAGGTGGTACTATATTCTCTTTCCTTGTTATTTCCCTTATCATTATTATTATTGGTGGTAGCGGTAATGATTTGTGTTGTACCTTAGTTACTGGACTGTTCTTATCTCAACCTGTGGGAGTTAAATTCTTTCAGTTCTCCTTCCCATCCCTCTGGGAGCGGGGGGAAGAAAGAAGGGGGGGGGGAGTAGACTGCGTGGTTCTGATTCACAGCCTGGGCTTAAACCACGACACTGCTGTAGGCACCCTTTTTGTGAGGTGTATTCCAAGGTCAAGATGGAACTCAGTATTTCCCACATATTTTCCTGTAATTTTAATGCTTGTCAGTATATGGCTAGCAGTCTCACTACTTATTTTCGTATATTTTATGGCTCAGAAACCTTTTCAAGCATCTTTCATGTCAGTAATTCAGAGTTGCTGCTGTTAATATTTGCCAGAGGATTTGTCTTGACCTTTTTGTGTAGATGTTTGTCTGTCTAAATTACCACAGTGGTTGGTATCTTGTGAAAACTGATCTGGGTGACATACTGCAGCCATGCAGTAAGGCTGCTTAATAAGATCTAATGCTAAATTTACTTGAAATAATTACCCCTTAGGAATGGGGAGTTTTAAAACCCGAATATTAATACCTGTAATTAAGGAATGTGTTCCCACAATGATGTGGATTTATCTGAATTGTGGACTGTGTTTAATCACTGTTGTGTTCCTTGTGTGAAGCATTACTGGTCCTATGAATAAGCACAGTGACATACTAGCTAGAGCTCAATTGTTTGAACTTCACTTACTTCATGCAGTTGTTGCTCTGTTGATTATTTCCACTTTGAGTTTTCTGGAATTTGGGGGGGAATACGCAGTATTTTTTTGTTGATAAATATTCTTTGTTTTTAGAAAGTCTTCTGGATCTGCATTCTCACCTTTATCTCTTCAGCCCATTTATGACTGAATTAGTGAAGCCTTTACCTTTAGTTAGAGCTCTCTGGGAGGTTAATGAATTGCTAACTAAATCCTTAACTAAAAGCCTCATCTAACTAACTCCTCTCTATTAAGAATATTGTTGGCACTTACATTAAAGATTAGTTTCCTTTCTGCAAAGAGCAGATATAACTGCTCTTCTTTTGAGTATTTTAGAGACTTGTAAACAGTTTTTTATTCCATCTGTCATATCTTCTTTGTGACTTTTCCGGAGGAGAATACCCATTGTTGATAATGGAGTTACTTTAAAAAGAAGTTATTTTTTTGAGTAACAGTATGTATTGATCTTTGATCTAATATATTGGTTTTTTTTCAGATTCCTCTTTTACAATGATTAGTTCCATTAATTGAAAGTGTGAACTATCTGGGCACATCTAATAAAGGATGTTAAAGGATGGATTGCTCCCTAAGTAAATTTCAGTTCCGACTTTTACTTGACTGTCTTGTATTATAAACCACCAAATTAAGAGTTGTAAAAGTACATCTAAATAAGAACAGCAGAATAAGCTGAAGGCAGTCATAATATTTAAATAAGGCTTGTGCCCCAAAGAGGGAGCTTTTCTAAAGGAGCAGTGAATTTGCACATGTCATACGCCAAAGATGTGTTTTACCCATGTGCATATTCATGGAACATATTAATTATATTTACAGGTAACTAAAGTCCTTGGGAATTAGTGGCATGCTTTGTTGGTAGACTGCCTAATCTGTAAAATTTCTGCCCTCCCTCCTTTTTTTTTCTCCAGGTAGTGCGACTGTTAAAAACATCCCCAGAGAAACCTATAACATTAGCGATTGGTGATGGTGCTAATGATGTGAGCATGATACAAGAAGCACATGTTGGCATAGGTAATTGTCTTTTGTCATAAAAAATAAAGGCAAATAACATGCAAATTTCAGTAGAGTGTTCGATCATAAATAGTGTTTATAAACAGATAAACTTACAAAGTTTTTGCACCTGTGAATGACAGGGTGTTTATCTGAGTCATTCATTGTAGCAGAGTTTTAATGAATATTAAAATCTAAGGCTGTTTGCTTTCAGAAATGTTAGGTTTATTGTGTAGTCCACCAGTAATCAGAGGTCCTGTTTTATGCTGAGGTAAGAACACCAAAGATTCTTTCTAACTAGAATCTCAGAAGTACCCCATGTAAGGTATTAGAAGCGGTTATAACTAACTTCAGCCATTGTCAGGTTCTAACTTCCTGTGTAAACTTGACCTTTAAACCTTTCTTTGTGCTCAAGTGACACTGTTTGCACCACATCTGTATTATTGTAGAAATGCCATTTGTGTCTAGTTTGGCTTTGACGAGAAGAATTTCTTTCTCTCTTGAGAGACTGTTATTGATTTTCAGGTAAACTTGCTAGATTTCTGTTATCTGGCCAGGACTTTATTTAAACTTTTTTTTTCTATGTTATATAACTGAATTAACAAAACCCAAACATACCTAAAACTGAATTGTTACCCATTTTGAAGTGTTTTGATATTTCCTTTACTAACTTTGTTGGATGGTGTTTTTTATAGTAGTAAATCTGAAGGTATTACCTAAGGTATTAGTACATAAGGATATTCAGTCTGTCACCCTGTGTGATTTAAAAGGTGTACGTAATGTTTATCATGTAAATCACATGCCCCTGATTTTTAAGACCATGGGTCTTAAAGACAATGGGTATAGCCCGCTTGAGAAGGTTACGGGCCAATGGCAAATGATGCTACAGCTAGTTTGTCAAATAACTGAAGCTTATTAAAAATTATCCAAGTTTTTATTGTAATTTATAGCATACATGTACACTGGTCAGAACCAGCGAGTCTTTGCTCTTGAGAATGACTGGACCTTTAGACTGTTTTCTGTTCAAAAGCAACTAGCACTTTCAAAGGTCTGGTTTTCAGGAGTCCCAGACCATTTTTCTTGTATAAAAGAGCAGTTTGTCTTCTCTGTGTATGCTTATCCTAACATTAGTAATAGTTTTTTAGAAACTAATTTGTGTTCAGCTGTGACAAGTGACAAGCACTTTCAGCCCACCAGACTGAGTAAACTGTTGCTGCAAGAACAGCACTTCTTTTATTCTGCTGTTGATATAGGGCATATTATTCCCAGAAGATACTGTAAGAAAAACCTCTCTGAAGTAAAATGTAGTAAGTAAATTGGTGACTAAAGATGGATAGATAGTGGTTTGCTTGGTTTGGGAATTTTGGTTATGTATGAGTATTGTTGTTTTGTTTCTACTGATAAATGTTTTCTTAAGTATAACGTATGGAAATAGTTGGTGGGTGAGTTTTCTAAATTATTTTTATTAGTTCAAAGTGTCATGAATAATGCCTTCTTTTGGAACTGAAAGTTAATGAAGCCTATAATGTTGAAGTGCAGAAAAATAGAAATGTAGCTTCAGTTTTTTTGTCACTGGGTTTTTTAAGCTTTACTTTAGAATGTTTTACCTGTTTTCTATTTCGTTTCCCAAATATTACAGGAATTATGGGCAAGGAAGGAAGACAAGCTGTAAGAAACAGTGACTATGCAATAGCACGGTTTAAATTCCTCTCCAAGTTGCTTTTTGTTCATGGACACTTTTACTATATTAGAATAGCAACCCTTGTACAGTACTTTTTTTATAAGGTAAGTCTTCAGAGAGTGCCAGTGAAGTTCATGGAAAATGTGTAACTTCCTTCCCACCAATAAATTTATTTCAGATCTAAGATTTTTTTCTGGCAACAGATTAAATATCTCTTTTCAGACATGATTTTTCAACTTTCTTTTTTTATAGTTTACAACCCAATGCAGTAGCTTCTCTGTCAAATTGTTCAGTACTTCCACCTAGAAATAGGTTTTAAATACCACAATGAGTCTGCCTCTCAGCCTAGGCAAACATGTTTGCTCTCTGAAAGAAGCATTACTAGCTCAATATTAAATGCATTTTTTAGCAAGATGTAAAAGTATAACCTATTTTGTTTATTGATTTAATATGAACCAAATCTGTTCATCTATCTTAAAAGGAAAAAGGAGTATAGGAAGTAGAGAGAGGAAGTAGGAGGGTGTGGGGAGAGAACATGCTCTTTGCTGGCAGGCTTACCTTAAAAAATTCTAAGTCTTCACTTCAGAAACAGTGCAAGGGACTGAGTTATATCTGGATACCTCTCGGGGAGCTATGGGTATGGTGCAACAGGGTGAGCTTAAGCCAAATGCTAGAAGGAGTTGGGGGGCATGGGCCGGGAGTGTCCTGAGAGCTCAGTCATGGTCTGGGGTATTTGAGCTGCTCAGAATGTCTTCGATCTTACTTGAAATTTATCAGAGATGCTAGCATTGGCCACCAAGCCACATTTTATCTTCGATTGTTTGCTTTCATTTAAAGATCACAGCATCGTCTTCGGTTTTGGTTTCTGTCTTTCCTACTCCCATACAGAAAGCTCACAAGCAGGGAACGTGATTTCTTGAATGAAATGTAGAAACTATTTCACAAGGAAATTACTAAAAAGAAACTAAGGGGGAAATGAATGGGTTTCTCCTCGTTTAATACTATTTGTACTCCTATAAAGAGTTGTGTTCATCAAGCACTGCAATTAGAGTTTATATTTTTCAGGTTCATTGTTCTAAAGGACAAACAAAATAGGCTCTTAATCAGAGCATATTACTTCACTTTGCCAACTAAAATGCTGAAATGCTTTATACCCTCCCTGTGTATTTTTGCCAGCATCTAAGAGTTAGCAGTTTCTTTCAGTACTGTGAGACATATACTGAGGATTAACTGTTTAACTATTTTCTTTGCTTTTTTTTTTTTTTTTCCAGAATGTGTGCTTTATTACGCCACAATTTTTGTATCAGTTCTTCTGTTTGTTTTCACAACAGGTAAGTATTATGTGCTTTACATCATGGTAAATGTGAATTAAACACTCAGGGTAAATAACTAGAAAAATGGGAAAGAACTAGACAGGAATGGCAAGATTTTACACTTAACAAATATTCATCTTCATTTTTTTGTATTTGATAGCTTGATGTTCCTGAATGGTTACATGAGCATAGCTTTTTTTCTAACTAGCGAATTCACGTAATGATTTGTTGCTGCTATAATGTGCTGATAAATTTTAATAAATACAAACAACTTTTTTCTTTACAAGACTCAAAATAATTTTTGTTTTCATTTTCAGACACTCTATGACAGTGTATACCTGACTTTGTACAATATTTGTTTCACTTCCTTGCCTGTCCTCATATACAGTCTTTTTGAACAGCATGTGCATCCGCATGTATTACAGAGTAAACCTGTGCTCTATCGGTACGTATATTCTAATATTGTCACAGTAGAACATCATTTAGAATAACAGCAGCATCTGCAGAAGTCTATGAACTGTGCATTCCTACAGTATTTTTATCTGTAATTTATACAATTTTTAGTAACTATTTTGAGAGAGAACTGCAGCTACAGTTTCCATCCTAAAAGTTAATTAACATGAGTATTTTAAGAGAATCATGTTAATACTGGAAGAGAATTGAGCACTTGGTCTGCTTACATGATTGGCAGCTTTCTCTTCCATTACATGTAGGAGGTGAAAATCAATCAAACACACAAATGAATCACTAGGACACTGTGGTTGAGGGAATCACCACAAGATGTGCTTTACTGGGAGGGGAAGTGATTTCATGTAGAATTAGATGTCCTCCCAGTGGTAGCATATTGCGCTGCATATAGCTTTTTGGACAAAAAAAAAAAGCAACTGTATTTTTGTTAAAAAGAGAAGTCTCTTAGATGTTTCTGTTTTCCTGAAGGTCTTCTAAGTAGATCAAAGGGCAAGTGTCAGGAGATCTGGCTTTTTCTTCTTGCATAGTTTGTGCTATCCTACACTTGACCCATTTGAGGCCCTTGCCATTGGCGATTCCTGCATATAGTATAGGCAAATCATGAGTTATGTATTTTTTTTCATATATCAGCATATGTATTTTGTTAAGTGTGTCTTGGTGCAGTTGAAAGCTTTATTTATTCAAAGTAGTAGCAATCACACAATGGGAATAGCTGATGGGTACATAAAGACAATCTGAAATTCTGCTTTATTTCTGCAGAGATATCAGTAAAAATGCCCAGCTGGGATTTAAACCATTTCTTTACTGGACCATCTTGGGCTTCTTCCATGCATTTGTTTTCTTTTATGGCTCGTATCTTCTAATGGGAGAAGATACTTCTCTACTGGGAAATGGCCAGGTACCATATCATAGAAATTATTCTACCACTGTATTTTGGTGATACTTCTTACTGTCTTTTTTTTTTTTTTTTTTTTTTGTAATCTTGTATCAGAAAATTGTATGTTTTTTTATTTTTATGAACTACATAATTACCAAAGGTACTTTGCCAATATTGATGTGTACTCTCAAGAGTAACATTTCTTAGTGTGGAAACTGTAATGTTATCAGAAAGCGTATGTCCATGAAGAACGTATCTTTCAAGATAATAAATGTATTATGTTTGTCTTAAACTTTGTTTTATTTTGTATACTGTTTTTGTCAAAATCGTATGTCATAACTTCAGTAAATGAGAATTTATGTTCAGTCATTCAAAACTCCTTTGGAGTTGGACTTAATTGCTCTGTCAAACAATGGCTTATCTTTTAGCATCTGTTATGAAGTTAGGCTTAAACTGAAAGTTGGCAAAAGTCTTAAAAGCTTTTCCTGAAAATGCATTATTCTAGTTACTCAGAATTTTAAAAAATGAAGTTGTGCAAGCTGCTCTTAAATTACAGTTTTTATTCAAGAAATATTTTTAGGACAGTAACTTAACGATATCGGGACAGTAACTTAACGATATCGTCCACTACTAATTTAGCACTTTCTATTTTAAAGATGTTAAATTTCACAGGAAAAATCATATACAAAAAATTCCTAAAGCTTGGATAAAACCATTACAAGTCTGCTTCCTCATTCACACCCCCCCCCCCCGAGGAAAGTTCAGAGTTAGTTAAGCCAATTAAAACACTTAGATACTGAATTTTTCTCTCATAAAACTTATGGGTAATGATGCAGAAATACATTTGGTTCTCTCATTGTGCCATTCATACTACTGACATGAAGTGCTTTCTGATTCTTGTCTAGTGCTTGTTAGAGTTATATATTGTGGCACAAGGTACAACAATAGCATTATACTGTATTCACAGTGGTCATGGGGGAATTGGAATGCGCATGAGCTCCGGAAGTTTAGCCAAAAAAAGAATTTCCATATAATGATGTACAGGCAATGGCCAGACTTGTCTTGAGTGACTAAAATCAGAGAGCATGTGAAAGGAGCAGTGAAGAGGGAGTGGTGCAGCTAGCTGGAGTACCTGTTTCGTTTGGGAGGAACGTTAAAATAGTTGTGCTTTAGACTAAAATGTCTCTTACAGCTGAGGTATGAATCTGCCCTCTCCTGTCATTATTTTTTACAAGCTGTGTGACTTCAGAGTTCCTGTGAATTGGTAAAGGGCCTTCAGTACTCTTCTGATGAAATAAGTTTGCACTATGGAAATCTGTGCATCCGTCTTAGTTCTCAAAACACCTTGCTTTAAAATTGCTTACTTAAATGTTCACAGGGCAGAAACAGACTTTTTGCATTGTACTTAGTAACAGATGTTTAGTTTAGGGAACGGATTTTCTTCTTTGTCTACACCTGTATGTTAATGTAGGCTTTGTGGAGAAGGTTAATGGTTTCTTCTGTAAGTTAGCCTCAAGATTATTTAAATATACTTGGCGTACGAGCATACTGGACATAAGCATTCAGATGCCCTTTGGCTTCTTGTGTTTCCTGTGATGTGACTTTAAAAAGTCTTAGAATTTATTTGGAGTTACTCTGCACCTCTCTTCTGAAAGATGGTTATTTGAACTGGTAGAACTGTGGTTTTGTTACAGTAAAATACCTGGAGTGCATAAAGTATGTTGCAAATTTAACATATGCCTGAAAAAGCCAGGTTAAGGGCAAGAGAAACTGATACGCTGCTGACGTGCTTTCTTGTAGGAAGTCTTCAAGACTTTGTGATCACTTTGTGCAAATGGGTGATGCAGTGTAGTGTTCATGCAAGGCTTCACATTTTCATTCCAAGTTCGCAGTTTGAAGCAAAGCAGAATAGAAGAGATTGTAAATAATTTGTTAATGTTGGTGGTTTGTTAGGCTTACCTCAACATATTGTGCAACAACTTGATCTTTTAGTTCTTTTTTTTTCCCCCCCTTTTTCATGCTGTGCATGTCGTCAGATATTGAAACCTAACAGGCAAATGGTAAGAGTTTAGAAGAGGAGGAGATACAAAATATTGTATCTGTACTTTACAAGATTAAAGGATGCAGCATCAACAGTGTAAATGTGTTCAAAAATAAAATGGTGGCAATAACCTGTTCATGTTTTGCATTCTAACTCTGTCACCTTTGAGAGCAGTGTTAGCAAAGACACTTTCTTTCACAGGTCGCTCAGAAGCAGTAGTCTAGTTTTAAGATACTATTGCAGCAGTTAACAGCAAGCTTGTTGCTTGTTAAGTATTACTATCAGTATGAAAAGTAAACAGAAGGCTTCCGAAGATGTGTTTTAACAAACACCTGTCAAATTATCAGCAAGTCCAGAGACTCATGGCTGCTTCATTTTTGTACCTTGTGTAAAGATGAGAAAAGCAGTTGTGAGATCTGTCATCAGGCTGTTGGGATTTTTTGTTTGCTTTTGTCAGAGCTCTGTAACAAGGACTACAACTGTGCGAATCCCAGTTCCATGCCTCTGTGCTGTACTAACAAATCAGCTCTAGGATAATTTTGATTGCCTGTCTGCATGTGGTACCTTTCTCCTTGCTTGCTTAGTTTCCTATTGGTTAACAGAGTTAAGGATTTGGTCATTGTTCAGTATTGTAGTGGCACAAACAGCTACAAAACAGCAATGTCTTCTGCTTCAGCACCCAGACTGCTTCCAAGGGCAGAGCAGTTGGACCTGTTGAAGATTCGCAGTGTGTGTCTGAGTAGCATGTATGTCGATACATTACAAACTCGGCATCCCTGCTTGATTGTCAGAGCTGAGATTTTATTGTTGTAGAACTTGTTCAGAGTTTCAGTAGTTTAATTTATATGGGCAAGAGAATACGGAAGTGACAGATCCTGCATTGTAGAATCAAAGTTTCATTTTGTGTTTATTAGCCTTGAAACAAAGTGTCTTTTCCTTAGAGTTTTCTTACAGTGGCACCATTATTTTTGAATTTTAAATTGTGTTTGGGGTAAAAAGAACTTTCAGGTGATGCTGCATGTTGAAAATGATCTGGAAATGTTTAAACTCAGCGTGGTTTGCACTTACGTTAAAGTGCATACCTTTCACCCAGTATTTGATTTCTATTGGATGCTTTTACTTAATTGATCAAATTGGTATCTTCATATTCCTGTCATTTTATGTTACTGTTTTGTACTTTCTTCATATTTCATGTAGCCTTTGTGGTGATCTGTTTTGAACCAAGGAGAAAGACGACTTGTGGGCTGTAATTTTGCTCTTAAAAGCTGTATTTCCTAGTAGTTTGTGTTGTATCCTTACTGTATTTTCAAGATGATTAGTTGTCATAAGCTTATGTCCACAGACTTCTTTCATTAGTGTAGCTGACTTGAGAGGAATCTGACTTACCATGAGTGCTCTTAACTAATTTTTTTTTTTCTTCCGTGACTTGCTGTTTTCTTAGATGTTTGGAAACTGGACATTTGGTACTTTGGTCTTCACTGTTATGGTTATAACTGTTACAATGAAGGTATGATGTTATACTAATCGCTTTTTGTGTTTGGATATATAGGCAAATATGTAATATTTATTCATAAGTTATACCAAATTAATTGATTCTTGAGAATTCCAACTAAATGATTTTTGTTTGGTTTCAATGGTAGTTAAATTTTCTCATAGTTTTTGCATGTTATGATGTTTAGTGTTTGAGCTGGAAGTTCATAAGCACATTCAGACTGGTATTTATCATTTTCTGTGACATGAGGGGGAAAGGAAGTTCACTGACATTATCTTTCTTATAGATGGCACTAGAAACTCACTTCTGGACATGGATTAACCATTTTGTTACTTGGGGATCCATTGTATTTTATTTCATATTCTCCTTGTTTTATGGGGGAATAATCTGGTAAGTGGTTCCTTCCCACCCTCCATTTCTATAGCACATATGATAGATGAAGCTATGAAAAAAACATTGAAATATTATGTTCTACCATCTTGCTCTGAATTTTGTGACAGGTGTTGGAAAACAAATTTTTAAACCTAGAGCAGCCACTTGCTTTTGGTGTTTTTTTTAGATATTTGAGCAATGCTCCTAAGCTGTCCTGTGCACAACAGGTATTATTTGTCTCTGACAGCCTGTGGCTTTAAAGGCATTTTTGTTTTTAAAAAGTATCTGTGTTCCCAAAGGTGTTTTGTAATAAGTAAATGTTTGAAACAGAAATAAAGATGCTAGAATTTGAATTATTAAGGGGATGTATTTCTGCTTGTATTTTGGGGTCTTGGAAGGATAGGATGGCAACTGATTTCCTGCAAGACAATTTAAAACTAATCCAGAACATTGCTCTCCGAAGTTCAGTACCCTCCTTCCCTAGAGTTTCTTTGCAGGTCAAGTCCAACAGATGGCTAGACTTCATGGACACCAGGCAGTTGTAACTGCATCCTGAGAGACTTGCTGCATGATGTAAAATAGGATCCACTTGAGCCTGCCTTCTTCTGTTTCTAGAAGTTTCTTCTTGTAATTGCCACTTCTTTTAACTTTTCAGGCCATTTTTACATACACAGGACATGTACTTCGTATTTGTTCAACTGTTGTCAAGTGGTTCTGCTTGGTTTGCCATAATCGTCATAGTAGTTGCTTGTTTGTTTATTGATGTTGTGAAGAAAGTGCTGTACAGACATCTACAACCAACAAGTACTGAGAAAGCTCAGGTAATGTTATGCCTTTGGATCCAACTTTATCAATAGTTAGAAGGTAACATTTGTTAAAATCTGTCTTGTAAAATAATTAGTTTCCTGTGATATTTAATGATCCTTTTATGTTTGTCATGTTTAATGCTTAAAAGAGTTTTAATTTTGAAAGATAACTGTTCATTTAAAGCTATAAAAATGAGGACACCATTTTACAAGGAAATAATGTTTAATTGGTATTAGCAATAGCATAATTATAAAGAGGATCGCTGAGTCTTTGCATCTCAACTTGAAACTGTGTATCATATTACACATTTTTGTACTTCTTTAGAGATAGTAACTTATTTTCCTTTTTGTCTACATATCAGAAGCTCTCCAACTGCAATTGGCACTGAATAGTTCTTAAAATGTGATGAAAACAATGTTTAAAATTTGTAGGACTTGGTTTAGTTAGTATTTCTTAAATCTTGATCGTGCCATATGCCACGTATTTGATTGTTGATTATGTAATTAATCACCCATGTGGCATTTTCAGAAATTTATAGAAGACGTCAAAAGATATGCTGTGATAATGCAATCTCCCTTTTACCAGATACAGGCTACAGAAACTCCTTGAAATCATGTTGCAGTTTGTCTGTCTGTTAGGTAAATATCTATGTTTGAGTGTTTTCTTTTAAGTAACAACTATGGAGAAGTCATCCTGACCCATTGTTCTAATAGTTACTGTCTCTGGTTTCGGTTTTCAGCATTTTGTCTTTTTGTACTTCTGCTAAACTGAAAAGGCTTCTATTAACAGGTTTTTGCTTTGTTCACTGTTAGGTTTTTGGTCAAGTTAATTTTCTCACTGATGAATAAATTGGGCTTGCATCTTTTGTCAAAAAGGTTATTTTCCTCTTAATCATTCTTGTGGTTCTCCTGTAATCTTCACCATTCTTCAACCTGTCTTGAATTTCGGATTTCACCAGTGAACACAATATTATACACAGCATACATCACTGCCAAACATGGAAATAAAGAATCCCCGACCAGTATTCAGTTTATGAAATCATATGCATCAACAACCTATTATCTTCTGCATCTCTTTCTCATCTGCAAGTGATTAGGTTGATTTCTTCCAGGTCATTGATGACAGGTCAATTAGCATAGGGGAAAAAAAAGAAAAAAGAGTGAATGCAGAATCCATTTGACAAAGATATCGTATATACAGTTATGTTCTGATGCCTGCTAGCAGTTTTTAGTCCGTTTGTGTGCTGTATTGACTTTGTTGCGTTCTAGTTGCTTAATCCAAATTACGCTGAGCTGTGTGCCATACGTACGTCATAACTACTTTACATCAGTAGCTAACTTTAGCATCTAACCTTGTAATTATTTGACGTACATGCATGTTGATGTACTTAAATTATATTACCCTTCTAATCTGTGTGTTTAAAAAAAATATCTGAGACATTCTCTTGATTTGCCTAGGATTGACATCATGCAGAGAAACCTGTTGCAAACCAAAATATGCCCTTAGTCACTTTTCAAAACTGGAATATTAGCAGTTTTTTCCGATTTTTGAATTTAGTACCTAAAAGCCAAGGCAAATAACCACTAGCTTTCAGAAAGCTGTTCAACTAGACCTGATAAGACTCCTGATTGCATATTACTGCACTCTTTGGATTAAAGAGTCTCAATTTAGGAAAAAATCTGTAGGTAAGGAGAGTAGTTACTTATCTTTCCTTCCCCCTCCCTTCTTCCCTCCTCGCCCTCAAAAACTAGTGGCAAGATTTATTGAACACTTCCCCCTCCTTCCACCCTGTACATCAGCTGTTGCGCAGTGTGTCAGTATGGTTGTTGAGGTTTCTCATGTTCTTTAGTTGCTTCAGTTAAAAAATAAAAAAAAAACCACATCATTTTTCCCTAGCTTGATCTGTATGCTTCTTTTTTGCATTCTCCTGCATTATGAATCAATTCTAAACAATTTCTGGCAGCAGTTTGCTTCCATTACAGTTGTGTCATCAAGGACACAGTTGGACTTCTTTTTTTTTTTTCTTTTTAAGAAGGAATCTTGATGAACGTCTGACACCTTTCCTGTGGCTATTGCTTCATTCATAGCCGCAGGATTTTGCATTGCACATATCTGTTAGTAAACTTTTTTCTTCTTTTTTTTTTTCTCTCCCCTTATTCCCATTCTGCTTTGGGATTTGACAGTGTCAGAATTTGTGTCTGTGTTTACCAAAATACTGTCTCTTTCTGAAAACATTTATTTCCTGACATTGCAAACCTGAACTCTAAATCCAAATCCTAAAATCTAAAATCTGATTTGACCAGAAATGCATCAGCAGCCATTAGGTGGTTTCTGTCTTTGTGTCTGATAGTGAAATCATAGTTTAAAATGTATTTGCAAAAAGAAGGCACCTCTTTATTCCTTGTTTGAGGTTTAATCTGTTGAGATTTTCCCACTCTTACTTTAGATGGAACAATCAGCCCCACTGGATTTCATCAGCTGTTCCTGTAGTGAGGAACTAGACATGAGGAAAGACGAGCACATGACCACTTTAGCACATTCATTGTCAAGAAGTGACAGAATGCTTCTTTCATTATTATATCTCATTAGAGGTACCTCATTAGGTTTGTTTAAAATTTCTGGTAAATATTTTTCTTTCAGTTTCAAAGCAGAGGAGAGGACTCGTGACTTTCAGATAGAAACGGAGTTTGGAGAATGTCTGTCTGAAATGCTAAGGATATTTTTTTGAAAGTCATTGAAAGACTGAATATGAAACTTTGTATATTGCCCCTTTAAATGTATTTTTTGTAGTGTAGGTGCACCCTCTGTGTATGTAAGAGTATTTTTAATTGTAAGACTAAATTAGTATATTATGGGAAAGAAGAAGTTTAGTTTACAGTTACTAAGTGTTTATGAGGGCAAGACGAATTGTTACATGAACTAGTCAGTGATTTTTAAATTGCAGTTATTTATTTGTTTCTGTCCACCATTATTTAAATTCTAAAATATTCCCTGGAGCAGTGATCAAAACACAAGCTTCTCAATGGAAAATGCTTGCTGCCATTGTTCTGATTTTTCAGAAACTAAGAGCACACTAGCTGTGTGAGTTGCCCAACCTAGTGCTCTGAATTCACTTCAGAGTACAATACTCAATGCTTGCGTAGGCATCTGCCTTACTCAGGAACTTGATTTTATATCTTTTATTTAGTTTACAGCATCAACAGTCAGCCTTCATCTCAGCAGTTAGGTGTTATGTGTAGCTAAGGCATTCATAAGAGAGCAAAGAAGTTTAACTGGTATGAGAGAGAAATACTAAGAGATTCTGCTAAATATAAACTAAAAAAAATGTTCTGTCACAACAACTTAAAAAAAATAAAAATCTCTGTTTCATGTAGGAAGTCAGTATATAAAAAATTTTAGAGGCAAGCATGGGTTGACTTTTACAGAGGGATGAATTTGGTTAACTTCATCTTCCTTAAATGCACCGAAAGTGCATGTATGTAGAATTTCTTGTTTTGTTTGTTCAGGTTTTTTTCTAGGTTCCCAAGTGGGTTTTGCTGGCCTTAAAGAAAATACATCTTATGTTTGACTTCATTCTGTTGCCCTGAAGTAGCTTCTAGGTGATTTCTGACTATAGGTCACTTACAGGATCATATAAGAGGAAGTGGACAGTAAGATACATCTAAATAAAAATATAAATCTTTGGGTAAATACAAATCACAGCACTACTGAGGGGAGAAGGTAATACTGAATAAAGATGTCTGGTAAAGTATAAATGTAAAAGCGTATAGGCCTTTTTTCTCAGTATGAAAGTTAAGGTATACTTAAGAATGGTCCTACCAAAGAGTTAACTGGCTGCGATGATCCCAGGAGCTGTCCTGAAGGTACCAGGCTTGTGTTCTGTATATGATGTGTATTCCAGATAAATAACAATGTCTTGTCCTGTGTCTTTCTATTAGAAAATTACTGCTGCTACTTACTGACATGTATGTTCCATCCCTTCTCTGTCCAATTGTAGATGTACTCCAACAGAGTTGCTTTAAGTGACGAATTCATCGCACTGCAGCCATTGTCCAGGGCAAGGAATCAGCTGAGCAAAATTAGGTAGAGTAGGAGGGACAGTTCCTCATCAACTCTTATGCATGCTGAAGGTGAACTAACCAGTGCTGAGAGAGATGGAAAGAGGCATGAATATTAGTGGGTTGAGAGGGCAATGCCTCTAGTGTAGAAACGTTCAGTTTGGTTATTTCTTGGCTTTGCTCTGTGCTTTTGAGCCAAATGCTTCTTCTAAGTAGCATGCATTGGACGTGCTTTTTTAGGAAAAAACATCCCTAGCATGATGCTCAACTTTCAGAATACAAATCTAGCTCTTCTTGCATCCATTTTTATATCACAGTTTCTAGCATGGTTAGAATGCTTTTGATTTCATTATGATCAAAATTTAACAGTGCTTTTTGCATGTTGGATAATTTCAGCTTCATAAGGCTGTGACAGGAAGGTCCATATATTCCAGGCAGCAATTTTTGTGAATTGCCTGCCCATTTTAATTTGCTTTCTCTTGTGTTGGAAGAGCAGAAAATGTTTTATGTTTGGGTATGTACATACACTTGTGTGCCTAAGACTTTTCGTGTTTGTTTTGTGCATCTGTAAAGTGAGTGTTGTTTGTTTTCAGTGTGTATAGATACATATTCCTAAAGACATTTGGCTATGAAGACCTAGAACATGATTTAAAAACATGGAAGTGTACATGTGTCTGTGTAGGTGAACCATTATGATTCTGAAACTCTTCAAATGCACAGAGTTCAGTACATGAAATGCTATTAAATGCTGATCCTCCTTTGTGAGACTAAAACATTCATACACATCAGTAATGTTGTAACCTGTTTGATGTTTTATCCCACCCTTTTTTACTTCTATAGGAAGAATTAATGTGAAGAATTGCATTTTGCCTTTTAAAGTATTTTTTTGTTTAAGGTGACTTGCATTATTTAAAAATGTGAGAATAGGTGCTAGGAAAAAGCAACCAACCTGCATATTTGGGACATAATTGCTGTTTAACTGAGGGAAAGTAGGAATCCGGAAGCTGACATTGTAAATTATTAGCAGAAAATTTTTAGTGGCTAATTGAAACAGATAATACAAGTCCTTTTAAAGAGAGAGGAAAGAAATGCTTTGTATTTCTTCTAAGAATGTGCTACACCTTTGCAAGGCAAAACTTGAAATGTTGTCCCACTGTGAAACATATCAGCTTAGATTTCCAAGCACCAGAAGGAGGTAGTGATGGGGTGGGTTTATTTTGGTTTGTTGGGGTTTTGGTTGGTTGGTTTGGGGTTTCTTGGGGTTTGTTTTGTTTGGTTGGTTTGTTTCTTTCTTAATTTAGCCCTTACTAACTTTAAAATCAGCAAACTGCAGTATACCTCTTGAATTTTAGTAAACTTAGCAACATATTGGGGAGATTCTGCTGTAACAGCTTTCACAAATTAACTTTTAAAATTCTTAGTTTATCAGTGTCATGTAAATAAGTTACCTTTTTAAAATTCTGGTATAAAAATAGAATTGTAGAATTGTTTGGGTTGGAAGGGACCTTAAAAATCATCTAGTTCCAACCCCCCTGCCACGGGGGTGGTTTCCAGTAAAATTCTCTTTTCTAAGTGAATTATGTGGTGTATGATATCTACACCAAAGGTTTTATAAGAAAAGATAGTTAAACTTTCCCAAACTAAACACGTTTTAACGGTTATGCAGTTGGATGGTGAGGGGAAAAAAAAAAAAAAAAAAGCACTGTCATTACTAAAATACTAAAACCAGAACACTTGCTAACTTGAGGGGATTTTCTTTGTATTAAGCTTAGGGAAATGGTTTGGAAAACTTGGAAATCTGTTTTGTCCGTGAGTAACAAATAATTATGCAAATCCAGTTCTCTTGTATGTCAGAATTTTTGCACTTGAGTATCTCGTAGTAAGGTACCTGGAATATAGGCACTGATTGCCTTATGCTATGCAGTTGAAGTTATAAAATGTGACAAGGAAGAAGTAAGGATTTGAGTTTCTCTAGCTCTTTATTAGTAGTCTTCAGACGAAGTTCAGAAGCTGTCCTGTGGACCCTTAAACAGTATAAAAGAAAATCGTTTAATAAACTACTTGCTTCACTATACAAAATCTAAATAAATAAATAATAAAAAAACAAACCCAAACCAAACCAATTTAGCGTGAAGACCATGGATTAGTCTGTAGTTGCCCAGGGCAGCTCTATTCCAAAAGCAGCAGAGCAGAGGAAGACTATAGGAACATGAAACAAAATAGCTGATTGATGAATGTAGGTGTAAGCTAATTTTGTCACACCCCTTTTGTACATGCGCAGCTGGTAGCTTTGTAACTGCAGAATGTATGTATATTGATAAACAGACTTTGGCAATTTGTTGTTGTTTGTTAAATATGTATTAAAACCTCAAAATTATTATAGCACCAGCAGGTTATGCAGCCTTCTGCAGATGTGCTTACTGTTCTGTTGCTACACAAAAGAACACCTCTACGAATGCAAATTAAGTCTGTTATAATAAATTCTAATGTCTATAGGCTTCACAGTGTGCAAAAAATGTTCAAGTTTATATTAAGTAAATTTGTGCTGTACAGTCAAGAGCTTTGAGGGGGGAAGCGTGGAGGGTTTTCTAAGTGCCCATGTGATTCCAGTAAGTCAGAAACGCAGCCTTGTGTGTGCCTGTTAAACTCTTGCCTCTGAACTTTTCTGTCACTTTAGTAACTTGGGAGGAAGAGGAGATCAGTCAGCACAGGTCAGGTGCAGGGTTTATGCTTAACTGGAGACTGTCTCAGTGCTTCTTCCTTCCTGTTCTTGAAACATGTAAAATGTGTATCTTAAGATACTAACTGGGCCCCATTGTATCTTATTTCAGTTTGTTCTTTGTAAATGAAGTTTTGTGTGTATATGTATGCATATATGTTGCTGTGCTTTATAACAACTGTCAGAAATCTTAAGCCACATGTGCTAAGTGTTGCTAGGACAGATGTTTTAATTCTACTTACAGACGGGATTAACTGTGTTTATAGAGTTCACCTTTGGAGAGTGTGTTACAACTGTACACAATACTAGGGAAACATAAAACGCAAAGGTTTTTATTTACAGACAAGGCTATGACTGCATAACATTCTATCTGAGACTCTCAAGCTGTAGTACTTGCCTTAGCACAGCCAAGACCCTGTTCTTTCTCCATCTGCAGGCCCATGAGTCCGTTGTTAGCTTGTTTTTCCTTCGTCTCTGTTCTCTGCTTGCTTTAGCTGTCTCCATAACTCCAGACTCCTGGCCCTGGCTTTACAGCCTTCATTACTTGTTTGTTATTTTTTCCTCTAGTTACTGTGTCATAGGGTTCCCCTCCTAATTGCCTACATACCTGATCCAGATATGAAAGCTATACAGAAGTCAAGAACAGGTTTCTGTTCCTTTTATACAGCATCTGTTTTCTGTAAGGAGCATATAGTTTCCAAGAGGACTGTTTAAGTGCAAACTTGCATTTGCACTAGTGGAATATACCAGAACATCTTAATATGTTAAACTTTGAACAAGGGTCATCTTCCTTTACAGGGTTGTATATTGTGTTAGCATAGTTTGGTGCTGATCTGTTAGCTAGTCCATAGAATTATCGCAGCAAGAGGGAATAAATGAGAGAAGAGTGGACTATTTTGTGTTTATCGTCAGTCACAAAAGTACACATATTTACTTACCTTGCAGATACTTTTGTCTGATGACTTTGAAATAATGAAATAGTTTGGCATTTTTAGGTATATTTCATTCAAAGAGATGAGGAGTAGAAAAATGTTGAAAACATAAGTGCTAGTGAAGTTGTTAGATGTCAACAATCATATATTTTCTTTTAAAATTTTAAATCTAATTGTTTGGGATTTTAATATACATTATATTAAGGGTGAAAGAAAGTGAACTTTACAGTTGGGAGCAAGGTTTTAATTTAATTGTGGAATTGTAATAACCATCTCATATTTTCTGAAATACCCTTGTGGCTAGGACCTGGGCTCGGGAAAATATGCTGCAGTGCTCTTACCTTGGTGAACAGGGTTAAATATGTTCCCTGTTCAACAAAGTCCCAACTGTATATTTCAGTGTGATTAAATGTTTAATTTAAATGTCTGTCTTGTGGCATGCAGAATACCCTGTAATAAGACAAACTGAAATTACCCTTTCTATTAGAAGGGGGAAAACCAAACAAAACTGCAAAATCTGAAACCAAAAAAATGAAAAGTTGAAATAGATTTCAAGTTTGTTGAGCTCTTCCCTTCTGTAGTGTGTGGTGCACAGAAGGAACAGACACTTCTAATACTTGTGCACTGGTAAACTGTGTTTGATCCAGCAATTAATTTAAAAAAAAAAAAAGCCTTTTTACCTTGTGAATATGCCTTGTTCTCTCAAGAGCAGATCTGTAAAATGAAAGTTCATGTTAAAATGGTAACTGTTTTAAAGCAATGCAAGCATGGAGCTTTATAAGACTTGTTGCTTTTTTGTCCTTCTAGATGGAAGAAGATAAGGGTTCAGTCAGCTCAGCATGTGACTTTGCTGAAAGCAGGCACAGAGGGGAGGACAATAGGCAACTGCTAGATCCATCTAGCCTACCCGACAGTACTTACATTCACTAGGTAGTACTCCTGCTCTACCCTAATGTGTGTGTATATATATTTATACGTATCATGTATAGACAGTCATGGAGCCATCTCCAAAATACCCATATTTTTGGTATCCATAAGAAAATTTGCATCATAGTGTGTGGGTTTGATTTTTATACACACACACACCCCCCCCCCCCGATCTGAATCATTCCTTAATTCTGCACTTCAGTTGCTTTTTGAGTTATTACATTAAATGGGCCATTATCATATAAAGTGTGATGTTTGTTGCAATCCTAGATCTTGACTCATGAAAATACTTGATTTGCAGCCCAAATATTACTAACATAATATATTTCTCTATACTTACTATTTGAAAGCACTGTGTCATCTGCTTTTTGTTTTGTGAAGGTTGGTTTCAGGTCTTCAGAGACCATTATGCTGTACTGCCTTATCATGTGAGATTTTTACTTTGATTTAAAACTGTGATCATGACTGTCTGCCACAGAGAAGAGTGAGAGAAGGGACTCTTTAGCATTAAGTACCTTCCTTCCAGGTAGTGGATATAAATGTAAAAGTCCATGTTCACCAGGCAGAGAGACACTATATATCTACACATAAAATCAAACTTATGTTGTCCTTAATGCTCTCTCCCAGTGTTACATTACACTTAAATGTGAGTTTGATAAAACATAAGTGTTGTTCCCAGACTTATGTAAGGTCATTTTTAAAATTACCCATTTAAAAAAGTTTAAAAATAACAGCTTTTCCATAAATTGTGGTTCAAGCATGATCCTAGATTTTTATGAGTATCTAACTTGGGAAGAACAAAGCTGATACTAGAAGAGACACCAGACCTCCAAAATCCAGAGCTGAGGGTTCATTCATTGGAAGATTGTTTGGGTTACTCTTGGTTTTTCTTTCTGCCAGTCTTTGAATAATATCAAGGAGTGCTAGCTCTCAGGTCAGCAAATTCTAGAGGAGGTGGGGAAATGTCTGGTCCATCTGATCCTACATACATCCAGTTTATTATGACCTTTAACAGCAACTCTAAAGGTATGACTTGGTTGTCTTCAAGACAATGGATGAACTAAATATTCTTCTTGAATTTCCAAGTGTAGGAATTTTGATTGTTTTGTATTGCTGGGAACACAGCCGCAAAGATCACTGCATATGCAGCAGAGAGCTTGATTTCTGACCTCCTAATAGGAATTCCTTCTTCCCTGTGCCCTGTGTAATTTCTTGTCTGATACACTGGTGAGTGCAGTATGAAGTGGCTGTAAAGGTCATATTTGCTAATATTGCAGTGCTACAAGTGGTGCTGTTCCTAATCATGTTATCTTACTGACAGTACAATTGTGACCAGGTGTGATGGTCATCAAATAAGGGCATTCAGGGATCCAAGTTCTGTTGGAGGTGTATTTTGTTTTAACCAAAACCCTCTTAGTGTAATGTTTCTGCTCCTGTCTGTTATTTTTACAGAAGTTCATTGTGGTAGTAAATGCTCATTTTGTGTCCAGAAGACCTCTCAGATGAGTGTGAGTTAGTCAGAAGTGTGTGTTCTGACTGCACTCATTCACAGTTTTTGAGGTGCAGCAACTAAATCAGTGGTTTCAGCTTGTATGCTTTGTCTAAGTTCATCCAGTTTTAACTGACAGTCCTGTAAGCACCACTTTAAGCAGTGTGATGGGAGTATCTGAAGGTACCATGGGGAATGCAGAACAGAGCTGATAGAAGGAGGAGGCAAAGTAAAAGGTGCATGGACATACTAATTCTGAATCCCTTGATTGTGAGTGTGCTCCCTTCCTGTCCTACCATTTGGGATTTTCTCTTGGATTTCCAAATGCCTCTTTTTTCTGTTAGCAGCTCCTCTGTAGTATAGGACTTGTTCTGCTATGCAGCAATAATTTGTCCAGTTGCCTGTTTGGGGGAATTAGGAAGGAATGTGTCCACTCACAGTAAATTGTTCCCCTAGGAAACTCTGAGGTTCTTTGCTTCCCATGCAGTGTTGAGCAAATGGAGATGTCGTGAAAGAAAAAGGGGTTGGAAACTGAAGTCTTTAGACCAACAGCCAGTGACCTTCATGTGATGAAAACCTGGGGGGAAGCTCTTAGGTGAGCTGTGTCCTATCATAGACTTAAGATGCCTCCACCCAGTTTTCTTCATTCACTGGTGTCTGAGAGTGAGCTGAGGATAATGAATGCTTAAATTTAGCCTGTGTGTTCAGCATTTGTTTGACAAGATGCTGTCATGGAGAGGTTCAAATTAACTTAAAAGGATCCCCACACTCCACATTCTTTGTTTCCTTTTGGAAAGGATACTGAAATTGGTTTTGGATATTCTCTCTCCAGCAGTACTAGATTTCAGATTTATTTATGTTGTGGTTGACTAGTGTGAAGAAGTAATACAGAGGAGCACAGCGATAGATGACACTTAATTAACTTCAACCATACATCCCTGTATTACTACTTTCATTTTGTTTGGGTCTTTTTCTCACCTACAGAGAAGGAACAATAGAAGTTTATTGTGCTAATGTTGAATTATTCTTCATGTTGTCGTGAACGTGACTGTACCTTTCTAACATCACCTTTTGTTTGCATTTAGATAAAAGATACTTGCAAAATCAGGAATGTGCTTTTGTTCCCCATCAAGCTAAGGGTATCTGTGGTAGTGATATAATGTAAATTATCATAGGGAGTTACATTCTACACTTCCTGAGGAAAAAAATACTACTCTACAGTCAGGTTGCTGCATTGTATTCTGTAGCCCTGGTCTGAAGATTTCTTTTGATAGATTTCCCTTAAAATAGGACAGACCTGCAGCTTGTATAAATTGTTGTAGCTCCGCTGGGGTGAATCAAGGCATCATGGCTTAAACTGCATAACACTGTGCTCCACAGATTCATTATAGCTGTAATGCAGAGAATTGCTGACTGGTTTGTTTCCAGCATTAAGCAGAGTTGATGCTAAAGGATTTTCATATGCTCACCAAGGCTGTATTCAATCCTTGGGAAGATCAGATTTTAGGAAGGGAAATGGTAGCATTATTGATCACTTTAGTTCTGTATAAAATTGAAAAATATTCAATGCTCTAAGAAAACCTGCTTTAGCCACATGTTTTCTGGTAACATCTTCATTGCTAAAATCTGCAAGTACTGATTTTTTTTTTTTTTTTTTTTCTTTTTACTTTCTTTTTCTCCCTCTTTCCAGCTTACTGAGGCAGGTTCAGGTATCAACTGCTTGGACTCCATGTGCTGCTTCTCAGATGGGGAAACAGCATGCACATCTATTAGAAGAATGCTGGAACGACTAATGGGAAGATGTAGTCCAACCCGGGTCAACAGGTGTGGCATTTCTCTCAATAGCCTTTGCTGCAGACGATTCTCCTATAAACTGGAACCTGATGAGCCTGCAGCAATAGATGTCTAGCAAACCAGCTGCAGGTTTTGCTTATTTAAGTAGCAAATGCAACTCTTTATTGTACTTTCTTCATCCTAAAATATTAGTTTCTTGTTTGGTTTTGAGTGTTTTCTTTTGGGATGGGGGGGGGGGGACGGGACAGTTTTCAAATTATTTCTGTTAAAATTTAGTTTGGTTTACTGCAAGTTCTTGTGTTGTATCAATCCTAATTTCTCTTGATTTATACATTCTTCACTTTAGAAAATCATATCTTGCTGCTGGTTTTGTTCTTATGATTTTTTGTTTTTCTTAACTGCCTTCACTAATCAGGAGTTGTTTGTAAAGTCAAAAGATTTTTCTGTTTTAGTTCTTGATGTACAACCTCCGAATATTTTCCTTGGAGCTTGCATGACTCCCGAAGATATACAAAAGGCTCACACTCCCCCCCTTAAATATAATTTTATTGTTAGAAAGAGAGTCTTTAAATCTTTGAGCCATTGATTGATATGAAGATGAAATATTTTTGTAGTCTAACTTTTATAACCTATTTCTAAAATCAGAGTAATTGACAGAACAGAGCCTTCAGATTATAAGAATTTTAAATTTTTTTTTGTTCTAGAAGGTAACGTTATCAAAATCATGTGTGCCATTCCAAAGTATGTGCTAAATAAATCTTTTTTTCTTTGCAAACCACATGTAAAACTTCAGTGGCATAAAAGCATGTTAATGTAATACATCGAATGAGCAATACTGCTCTTGTGGTCAGCATAACCGTGAGAGAAACTCTTACTAAATGTGCTGATGTGCCATCTCCCAATTTCCAGTTAAGATGGATAGCTAACAAGCATGGAAATATTTGGGGGTAGAAATAAAAGTAGTCTTCTGTATATCGTAATCTCTCAGTCCCTGAATGATATCATGGTCAAAAGGCAAGCGTGAAAAAGTTGCACTTCAGACATTTTCAAGGAAACTCTTTTTGTATTTGAACAACTTTGTCTCTTTTGGTTAAAGGTTGTGATAATATTCATTCAGTATAAAATCTTGTGTGGGTAACTTCACTGACAAGCTTTGTCAGTTCTGATTCTGCCTTTAGGTATTGACTTGGTATATAGTACATCTCTGTTTTGAACTCATGTTGAACACAGTGTTTGTGGTTTTAGTAAGTTTCTTCTGGCTTGCTTGTGAAATTAATTCAACATTTCTACAAATTCTAGGGTATGATTTATGCAAAATGTTTCATTCTATATGAAAAATGAAATGATTAAATACATTTCTAATTCAGACTCTTGCTGTATAGAAAGCAGGCATGATGTATAAAATAAACAATTTAATAGCATTTTTAATCTACAAGGTGAGCATTGAATTGGTCTAAAAGAAATCAACATTTTGGTAGCAGTGAGTTTTTTGGGTGTTTCCCACTTCTCTACTTTCCTAATGAGGAACTTCTCACGCTACTTTTTAATTGACTTATTGTTATCTAATTAGGGCAGATATTTAGTTAACATTGCCTTAGTAATGTGTAGCCTTATAAGGTAGGCACGCTGTGTTTTGTTTTTCTGCAGTGCATTTACATTTTTACAATGTCTTCTTTTTTCCCCTCTGTTTTTCTGTCTTTGAGAACTTAGAAATACTTATTGAAGGTAACTCATATTTGACAGAATATTAAAACACTTTTTGAAGACTGCTTTTTCTCAGATTTCCTGTGCTTACCTCATGTAATTTTCGGATGAAGTTCCATCAGGCTGAATAACTTTAGAGTTGTTAAAACACAGAAGTTAGTATTATGTTTGAAGTATATGCAAGACTATCTTGGTGCTACATTAAGGGCTTGAAGTTCTGTAGTTTTTGCTTCTGCCTGTGGTTAAAGTTACTCTGAACCATCTTTTAGTTCCACTTTATGTACAGTACAGCTAGAAAAAAATCTCAGTCTTAAGTGCTTTCTTCAATGACTTTGGTTCCTTCCACTAAGCATTGACAATTAAAACCTGGTTTAAAAGTCAAGGTACTAAGACTATTTTTATCCCTGCACTTTCCTGGAAATATGTGGAAGTTTTTGGTTTTTTTTTTAATGTACTAATTGCTTAAATCACATAAGGCAGTTACAAGTTGTGAAATTCTGAAGGTACAGTTAAGAAATCTATTTAGTGATGTAAAAATGCTTATAAAACTGTTCAGCCTTTGTTCACAAGCTTGAGCTGCCTTGATTTTTACCTAAATCCTCACAGATTGTGCAGTCACCAACAGGATGACCTTTTGAGTGCTTGTGCTTTATAAAACAGCTTCTTATTCAACCAGGAGGTAGCTGCATATTATTTTTCTTGAATGAAGTGATGCTGATAAATATTGTTTGTGAGAGTGCTGTAGAATGACGAGCAGTTTTAAATAATGTTGCTGTAGCTAGCATGTGTTGTATTTTGTGCTCTTGATATTCTGTCAAATATGATATTCTGTCAAATATGATATTCTGTCAAATACAATAACTGAATATGAAATAAAACGATATCAAATTTTGATAGAAACTTTGATGAATCAAAGTTGTACAAATGCTTGGAGTAGGGGGCCACAGGAATATAATCTGTTGTACTTAACCTACTGCTTGTAAAATGTATTCGAGAAGTATTTTCTATAGCTTCAATCACCAGTTAGAATATAAAATGTGTGGTGTGGTATGATAAAATGCATTTTGTCTGTCTGTTCCATTAAATTGTCTGTCAACTTGTCAGTCACTAAAATATTAAGAATGCTGGATCACATACATTTCTTGTACAGTAGGATTCATTACTGAATTGTTCAGATCTCCCATTAGTCGTATTCGTGTCAAGGCATTGCATGTTAAAGTTCTAAAGAAACAGCAGATTTCTGACAGAGGCAAACTTGGAGGGATAAGTTTGTTATATTTTTGATTTCTTGCCTTCCAACCTTCTGTTTTTCAGCTTTTCACATACAGTGCTATAATATCATTCAACCAAGAAGAGTATTTCTTCCTAAGTAATAATTAGTCCTTAAGAGAAAGACTTCGCAAATGTCATCCAAATCAAAAACTGACATGTTGGGTAGCTTTCCTGATGCCTTAAATTTTAACTTAAGGGGTGAAGTAGATTCGTGGTTGTAAATAAGTTTTGCCTACCCACAGTTTTAGACATCCTGGATGTTGAACATTAAAACACCAATATACAGGGTTACCACAAACAGACTCTGTGTTCCACAAGGCTTTACTAGAATCACTTTAGGCTATATCAGACTGAAGCATTCACAGCGCCTCAGTTTACACGTGCAACATTAAGATTTTCCTTGAGGCATGATATTAAAACCTGAGTTGTAAACTGGTGGATAAGCCCCTGGTCATTTTCATAGTGATGAAAATATCTGTAGCTGTAAGTTTGCTAGAAAGGTAAATGTAGAACAGTTAATTACATAGTTGGCATGATTAATTGTAGTCTGTTTTCAAAGGTTTGAACGAATTATAGGTGCCTGAAATTAGTAGATGGAGTTACATTTACCTAATCTTCTAACACTTTTATCTTTTGCTTTCATAGACTTTTTTCCTTACCTCTAGATTGTAAGTTCCCAGTCAGCCAAACTTTTCTTTTATTGTTACTTTAGATCATGGAGTTCATCGGATCCCTTCTATGCCAACGACAGAAGCATCTTGACTCTCTCCACAATGGACTCAGCCACATGTTAACCAGGGCATTTGTAAATGCCTTGTGGAAGCTCACACACCTATAGTAGGTTCTGAAGCGAGTTCAGTGCTACATCCCTGTCCTAGGAAATACTAGTATCACTGCTAAATGCAAACTGTGGCTTGTCTTGTGGCCTAGTGTAAGTCATCTGGACAGTAATCACTCCCAGGATTTTTTTTCCAATTATATCCACAAATTGCTAACTATATATGTATATCTCAACATATATATATATATTTTTTTTTAAGGAACACTTTTGCTTCTGACCATTTAATCTTTTTTGTTACTGTATGAGCAGATTGGAATCCTGCATTTGATACTTCAGACATCGCTGTAGCACAAAAACAGTGATCCAATAGAACTGAATTTGCACAATTAAACTTTAAAGTTTCATTTTTCATGATGACCCTTCATTCAAACACACATTCACTTTGACTTGTCTCTTACAGATGCTGCCTTAGCAGTTTGCAGGTCAATTTTGTTATTTCCATGGATGGTTAGTGTGTTCTGTAAGCAATCTGTTTAGTAATTTTTGAGAGTTAAATACAATTCAGATATTTATGCTGATTGCTGGTGTACAAATTGCAGTGGAAATATATAGGGATAGAGGGCTTTGATAAAACACTGTTAACTTTGACAAATCAATAATTTGGAATAATAAGGGATATAACAGGTAAATGTTTTCTTAAAGTATAATTCTGAAGCCAGTCATCTTCTTATGCCCTGTGTGTTTTGTTAACAATTCTTGATCCTTACATGGGGAAAAAAGCATGTAAGGATCAGTGGATTGTGCAGAAGTACTTTGAATTATTAACCCTTTTAAAGTTGGGGTTTTTTTGCATGTTTTGTTCTTTTTCATGTGTTTATATTCGGTCGTATTGTACTTTGAAGATACAGTTAATGCTTAATTATCTTCATATATCTGAAGAGTCTGAGACATTGATGGCTATGTTTTGATACCTAAGTATGCCAATAAAAACAAATTGCACAGATGGAGCTTGGCATGGTACATCTTAGACATACACCTGTTGTCCCAGTATAAATGTGCATGCTTGGGGCTGGGTAGCAACATTCACCTGTTTGCCCAGCTGGGATGACTAAACCTATGGTTGTCTGCGTATGTGGGAGATAAAGTAGATATCCAAATGTTAGCCCAGAAGCAGCAGTATTTTTACCAGCCTCTAGCCATAAAATCTGCTGTACCTAAGGCATGCTCTTGGATGTCCCTGGGGGCAGCACCTGCATTTCAGATCAGTCTTTGACACTGAAGTCCCATCAGTAATTGGCAGAATCTTACTATCAGAGAGTAAAACATGTAAAGCTGCGTATTAGGATTTTCTCTGGGTGGCATTAGCTACAAATCAAAGACAGACTGCAAATACCTACAAGAACTTCTTTAATAAAGATGTGGTTAAGCATAGGATTTGAACAAAACCAGTACTAGCTGCTTTCACCCTGCCTCCACAAGTTTCCACTTTTGGCTTAAGTACTGTCCCCCAAGCAAATTACATGGCAAATACTCTTTATTTCGTAATTCAGGCAGCCACATCATATCCTCCTGGTGGGCCCTGGCCTGCTGCCAGAGGAGTGTATCCCTCTTACCATGGTCATCCCAAATCCTCCTGACTTCAGTGAGCTGCAGGAGAGGAAGTGTTCAAGAGGTATTTACTTTCTTCGTATCGAATGTTTTGGATGTTCCTTACCTGTAAACAGTTCTGCTATTCCTTAATTCTTATTCATGATTTAACTGGTATTATTCCAGTTCTCTTAATTCAAAAATAAGTTTCAACAACTGGAAGCTTCACTCTGAAGTGATGGCTGCAGGTACTGCTGGATTTTCAAGATCCCATTGTTCAAGGCAATGTATGGAAATTGTTACTGCAGCCTTGTTTTGAAACTTGTAGTGATTTGAATGTGCAGTACTTGAAGTTTTTGTCTCACTGCTATAGATGAAGACGGACCAGTTCACAAATTAAAAAGCTCTTAAAAATTAATGATGAAACAGAAAAAAACAAAAAATATAGCAAATTTTCCTTTTAATTAACTGTTTAGTTCGGTGTTCATAGCTCATATCTGTATTATGCCTTCAGATATATAAGTGCAGTGAAGGTTAAGCTTGAGAATTTCAATTGTACAGTAGATCCCCACATTGTATGTCCAGACAATGAAGATTCACTGAAAATTGAGTCTGTTTGATACCTGGTTCCTAGGCAGAAAGGCTATAAACTGATTTTTACCAGTCAACTCTCCAGTCCCCAAGAGGACTTTTATCCACATAAGCAATAGTAATGAGAGATACTTGAATTTCTTTCACCTTCTCCTGTAAATTAACTATATATTGTATATATCATACTAAATCTGTTTTTAAAATAATTATTTTCTTCTTAGTTTCTCATTCTAAGTTTGTACTGCTATGGGTGCCTAGGAATAATTCTTCTAAGTACCCTAATCAGGTATCTGCTGTTTATCTGTGTCTTTTATGTTGAAATCAGTGTTCCATGTTTCAGAAGTACTTGTTTGTCCACCTCAAACACAGCATTCTTATCATCCCTTCAATTTGTGTGCCATGCAGCCTCATCACTCTGTGTGGTTAGTGTATCACGTACTGAAATATAAACTGCCATTTTATGTAGTAGAAGGCAGAGGCTTTGGATGTATGACCCCACTCCAAGCATTGAGACTGGCTCGGCTCTGTACATAGATAAGCTTTAGGCTTTTACCACACAAGTGTGTTAATTTTATTTGCACACAAGAAGCACCATCCTGTATTTGAAGAATAATTTATGTTCATTATGTGTTTCTTTAAAACCTTCCATCTCCTCTTCTCCCTCTCCCCCTGCTTTTCCTTTTCCCAGTGTTTGTAAGGTCATCAAGGAAACATGCATTTAAACAATTCAGGAAGAACTTAAGAATCCATCTGTCTGCCAAGGTATATTTTTCTATTTGCAGTAAATCTAAATCCATAATTTCTCATTTAGTAAGAACTTAGGAGTGGTTTGCGTAGGACCAGATTTCTTGGTCTGACATATTTTGGATGCAAGAAGTGACTGGTTTTGTCCTGATGTCAGAAATCTTTTAAACTTGCTTCTAGTAAAAAGACAGATTTTGTGTATTTCTGTGGCAGCTGAAGTGTGTGAAACCATTCACTGTGCGTTGGGTACAGTGTAGAATTCTTCATGAAGAAGACTGAACAAAAGGCAGCTAATTCAGTAGCATTCATCTCGCTGATTTACAGTAGGAATGGATGAGGAAGAATTTGCCATAGAAAGCAAATGTTTTAGAATTACCTCTTAGCCTCGAAATCTGTAATGCACGGCAGAAAAGCCTGGAGTAGATGTTTTAAGAATGGTGTGTAGTCACTTTACTATGCAGTGTCTTTACAGAAGCACCTTCTCCTTCACCTCCTTCAGAATGGGACTGAGTTCTCGGCATATTTTAGTTCTTGTTCTGTGAAAAATAGGGTTTGGGTTTGTATACACAGTTGCCAAATTTGTGCTTTTTTTAAAAGGTGCAGTGGAAAAGATGAAGTACGAAGATGCTCTGAATTGTTTCACAAACTAAAATGTAACTATTATGCTTAAGATATTCTGTGTATTTTTTAAGGTTATGAGGAGGAGTGGGAACAAAAATGCAAATGAAGGAATGCTGAAAACCGGCTTTACATTTGCAGAATGATTTCTTGTTTTCTAGTGCAAAAGCTGATTTGAGGAATGATTATGCAACAGAATGCATATTAGGCAACTATAATTTCTTACTGGAAAACTTTGGTAGTACTTTCAAGCAGGTTTTTTTTATGACAGTGCAACTTCTATATTGAAAAGAAAACCTCATTTTTCTAGTGTTAGAAATGTCTCAGAGCTGTAGTCTACCTTATTTTTAATAGTTTTATCTGATTCTTCTGTACTCTAAATATTAGTGATTTTGGTGAAATTCAGTGTTCAAAAGTGTTTGATCATAATGTGCTTCTGAACCATTTGAGTCTTGTTTTCTTGGTATAAAATACCAAGTCAGTAATTCCCACCAGCACTGCCATTTACAGCCATCACTACTTTAAAAGAATTATGCCTAGAGCTGGGTGAACCCATCATTATGGACTGATTTTAGACTTTTTTCTGCTCATGTTTTTTATTGGTGGTTGTTCTGTATGTTCTTTGCTTCTGTTGTTTGCTTCCAGTGGCATGATTTGTCTGGTTTCTGCTCTCTATTGGAATGACTCAATTTATAACAGGAGGAGGAAAGATGGGATGCTCGTGGCTGTATCAGCTCTGCCAGAAGCGCAATTGCATCAGTATATTTGCAAGGCTTCTGCTTTCCATAGATTTTTTTTTTTTTTCCTTCAGCTAAATACTGCTCATAGGGGCATCAGAAATAGCTTGGTAGAGACCTTGTGCGCTGCCCAAGCTTCTGTGGCTTTTGTTGAATGTTCTCACCACTTTGAAGTACATGCCTTTTCTCTAGCTGTTGCCACACTATGATGTTGATTACAATAAGTACATACAATTGTCATTACTGTAGATATGACTTTTTTTGTTGTTGTTTCCAGTTAGTATAAATGCATAGACATGAATAAAATCTGCAGGGCCGAAATGTTAAAGACCTCGGCGTCTGACATTCAGGGGAAAAAATGTGCTGCTGTTTATCACACAAAGTATGACTTGACATGTCTGAAAGAAACCCTGAAGTGCACCTAAATGGCCTGTGGTTTGTATTGATTTTGCCTCAGCCATTTTTAAAGAAATTACAAGCATGTTCTCAACCTTTTTATCTTTTTGCGACGGGATATAAGGTCCATAGAGTTTAGGAAGGGGAGAATGGTTAAAAATGAGACCAGCTTTCAGGTATAAATAAGGCCTCATTACTGCAACAAAGAATAGATTTTTCCCAATTCCTAATTACGGTCCCATGACCATAATGAGAGATTTCAGGTCCTATGCACACTAAAATGACAAAGTGTCTAGACTCCTGGGTTGTTTGTGTTTTTTTTTTTTCACTGAAGCGTGATCAAATTCTGCTTCCTTTTTTGAATTAAAAAAACTTGAATGATATCATCTCTGTAGGAATTGCCTTTGAAAGAGGTTGAGCCTTAATTTTAGGCAGATAAGGGGCATTGACAACTGGAAACTGTAGCAATAATTAGTACAAGGCATTTTGGACCTGACACTGTGGCTGCCTCATGTTATTTTTGATTCTCTGACAGCAGGTCTGTGTGCTTGCTCATTGTACAGCTTGGTCAGTAGAAGTTGTTTTAAAAATGGTTTATGAAAATTATATTTATTAAATAAATCTTTCGCTTCTGAGTCTGTTTTAATTATGTGTTTGTTAGAAGAAAATACTCCAGAGTAACGCAAGGCTTGCTGCTCCATTTGAGAGCACCGACATGAGCGTGGAGGGTACCTCTTCCCCAAGCTTGCTGCCTTCTCTGTCTGGAGAAGTCCACTTGTAAGGTGTGGGTGGGAGGGGGGATCCCTGCAGCAGCTGTGCTTGGCCACTGACCAGAAGCACCAGGTCACAGTGGAGACAACCACCAGGTTTACTTAGTGATCAGTTATACCACAGGCTTCATTCTTCCAACAGCACAGGTCAGTGAGCCTCCAGGAGGCTACCCAGCCTCTCCAACCCATCTACAGCTCAATCATTTCTCTCCCTCACAGGCTTCCTGCTCCTTATTTATCTATAGGGTTGTCACTCTGGCTCCAGCCAGTTGTCCTTTGAACTCTTCAAGGAAGGGAGGGCTTGAAGTTTTAAGTTCTGAACACACAATTTTAAAAACAGCTGTAATTTCATGAAAAACAGTCATGATATTTGTTAAATTGAGAACCTGAAGCCAATTAGTGGATGCACTTCCAGACTGGGGGAGGGAGGAAGGAAGAATTTTTTGTACCAGTTTAAATGTCCAGACTTGTGTTTGAGTTACAGGTGTCTGAACAGTCAGGCTCAAAGTCTTTAATCCTGCCAATACTGCTACATATTGGTAACAAACCAGTCAACTACAAAGAGTTTCAAAGCTAAGGCCTATTTCTGACAGATAAGGTTACCAAGTATTCAGTGGAAAGTCTACTCTTTGAGAGTTCAGAGGCCTGAATGGCACCACAGGTTTAAAACCCAAACTTAGGCAGTGTATCATACTCAAATAAAATCTACAGAGACTTCTGGCAACATTTTTTAAATAAAATGTGAATGACAAATTTTATTAAATGCATTTTTAAAAAAGTATATCTTTCTTAAATAAGGATTTCTCAGTATGGATTTCAATGTAAAACAGTTTTAAGTCATAATAATTAACAGGATCAATAAAAAAAGTCACTTATGTACGGTAGTCTTCAATCATATTTAAACATATGCACTGTGTGTGGTGTCCTCTTTCACATGCTAGATGATGTCTGTGCAGCATGGCTGGACAAGATCAGCTCCATTTTGTACTTGCACACATTTAGAATAAGCAGTAGGCAAGGGGTTGTAGCAGTTCTTAGAAACCCTCCCTCTTCCCCCCACAAAAAAAAAAAGGCTTACCAATACCGTGTATTTTATGCAGAAGAGCATGCCATGCTGCTTTTTCCGCTGCTTAAAAGCACGTTTTAGAAATGTCTTACAAATAATACACTGAAACAACGCATGAGAAGACTTCACCATGGCAATTTCACTGGAGCTTTATTGCCTCTGTTGGTAATGAGAGGGATTGTAAGAAGTTACATTGGAACTTACAGAGATATGTAAATGATGGGGTTTTTACTAAATATAATCTTGTAATTAAGTGTTTTATATCAGGGCACTTCTAATTTTGTACATATTTAATGTATAAAACCAGGTTACAAACATGATGTTTGCCTTTTTTTTTCCTTGACATTTGGCAAAATTAAAGTGATTCATTTAAGGGGAGATCATCAAATTGAAGACATAAGCACTTACGAACGAATTAAAGCAATCCAAGTAAGTAACTGGCTGAATTCTTAAAAAAAAAGAAAAAACACACAAATATAGAAGGAAAAAAAAAAAAAACAACAAAAAAAACACACATGGCCACATTGAGCACATTTCAATGCAAAATATTCTCTGTAACGAGGCATTTTGTCCTTAGAACAACACCCTGTTAAATCAATGTTTCTTTCAACTTCAGTCACTTGTTTTGAAAAACTTTTAAGATGCCATCATAGCACAAAATAACCCTTTCCTGCAACATAATTAGTCAAAGTTTTATGTATTTCTTTATAATTACACAGTAATTATAAGCATGTAGTACCAAACTGATGACAACACTATTTTGTTGAAAAGATCTTGCATTCAAAAGGAATATTGTTTAAAACACCACGGCATTATGCCACTACCCAATCTCAGACTTTTTTGAACGACAAGTCTGTACTGGGATGAAAAGCAAGTCAGTTCTCTCCAAACACAGCATACTTGAACTAATCAATCTGAAACTGTACCAAAACCCTCAAGACATAAAACAGCACGCATAGATACCTCGTAGAGCTTTTCCACCCTCCCGCCCTGCCCCCTCCCCCCCACCCCCCACCCAACCCCCCCCCACCCCAATTTCAAGTCCCTATTTATATTTACACAAAATTGAGAAAGGAAATACTGAAAGCAGCAAAACACACAACTTTTGGCATAGCCAATTCCAGTAGCCGGAGAATGTTTGCAATGCTTTTGTGGAACAGTATTCTTGAAATAAATGCACAACTGGATTTTCTTAACAGGGCACTGCTGCAAGAGGAGTTCACCTTACGCTCAACTTCAGAGAATACAAATATTCTTTTAGCGGTTCTTTTAACATCTGCATAAAAGCATTCTGCTGTACAAGGCAAATGCCAGTTACTCATCTCAAATATAATTCTGGCCTTATCATGGGACTGTTTAGAGCATGGACTTAAACTTACCTATCCTTACTAATGATAGCCTATCCTCTCCTGGCGCCTGTTCTTTTCCAGCTTGTTTTACATACCAGTATTTCTCAAGTATCTTCATAAGTAACTGAGGCGTAAAAGACCATGTTTAGCACAAAAGGAGATCTCAAGTTCTTGTAATATTAAAAATAAAGAATGGCAGCTGATAAAACTTGTTTTGAAAAAAATGAACTTGATTTAGCTAATGTGATAAGAAAATAAGAAGTAGGATGATCAGCAAAATAATTTAAGCAGACAAAGCCGGTATAGTATTTTATATCTATCTGATCTGTGCTTGTTTGGGAAAGTTTGACTCTCAGTTTCTGTATTTGGCAACCATAGTGATAAGTCAATTTAAGGAAAACTCAACAAAATAAAAAAATAAAAAAAAAGAAAAAGGATGTCATCCATAATGGCAGTACCTCTATGTTATAAAGAGTTAACTTACTTTTCAGGATAATGGATTTGAAAACTAGATTCACATCAAACTCGCCAGCTTCTTGTAACAATAGGGCCATTTGTTTCATCATATCTCAACCATAAAAATTACATGTCTCAATTTAAAATACTGTATTGTGTAGCAAACATTTAAGACACAAATTCAGTATATTCAAGTTTTAAGATTTCCACAGAAATGAAAAACCTTCCTTTGACAGACAGATAAGCATTTCAAAACTGTAATGAAATCTGATTTCTTAGATAATAACCTAGAGAATATTAGATTCTATCAGGACGCACACAGTTTATCTCAATGACACTCACTGAAGGCTGACTATAACATTACACACGGGTGCTTTAAGTGCACAGTAGTTGAGTCGTACTTCAACTGTTCTCACAGTCAGCTGATGTACAATCAAACCATTCAAATAGGCACCTAGATACCCCAGTATCAACAACCTTGGGTTTTCTTGGTTATTTCTGTAATTCTTTTATCAGATACTCAGACTCACTTAGACAATACCTGTACTTTTCCAGAACAGAAAAAAAAGTTATCGGACCCAGTACGCTTAAATATATCACTCTTACAGGAAGTGCTATCAATAAGTCTTTGCAACTAGCCCCAAGTGTATATTTAAGGATGCTTTTAGAAATTGTTTTGATGTTGGTCTGTATAATTCAGATGCCATACAACAGTTGCCTGATGATGACCAGCATTGTGCTTTATGTGAAACCAGAAACCTCAAAATAATTATAAAGCTTCTAGGATTTATGGGAGATGAAACCAGGGTGGTCCACCAAAAAAACAAAAGCCCACAAAACCAAAACCCACCAAAAAAAAAAAAAAAAAAATCCATGATGAAATCCACAATGTTGGAATTTCAATGGGCAAGCGCGGTCCAGACTAGAAGAAAAGCCCAAACCACCGGTAGAAGAATGAAATATGATATGGTCCAAGATGTATCCTTAAAGGTTTCTCTCAACCCTCAACCATACTGTGAGGATTGATCTTCAGTTCAGTCCAGCCAGCAGAAATTGACTGTGCAATTTTCCATTTCAGGTATTTGTACAGACTATGTACACTCTAGAAGGGTCCTTTAGTGCTACACTGTCGTACTTTTTGTCCCAGCAATTTGAGGGCGTGCAAATTCCACAAAGTCATCAATAAGCACTGGCCATGCCCCTAAAAGAAAAAAACACCACACCATAAGAACTAGGTTCAACAAGGCAATATTTTTAAAGCTTCAGATCTAAACAAGCTATTTACTTCCCAGTCTTAACTAAGCACAGTTTTCAGGAAAAAAAAAAACAAACCCAACAACAATTAACACTGTAGTTTGTTTTTCTTGCTTAAAACTTGAGAGCTGGTTAAAGACCCCTACTTCCTCTGGACCCAGTTAATATACATCCCTTTCGATGGTCAAAATTCCTTTATCTTTCTGAAAAAAAAACTGACAAAAATTGTAGCTTAAAACTGTCCTGGGTTTAGCACTAGAACTCAAACTTGACCTCCAGGATGGCAGCAGATGCTTGAAAAAAAATACTGAACACTGGATGAAGCAGTCAGTCTATGTTGTAAGCAGCAGCACATCATAACATGCATTTCCTGCAGCACAATATGATGCTGCATGAATGCAATGCTTATCTGTTTGAATCGGCATACTTAGGCATACCTGAGAACAGTAAAATGCTCTCCGACAGGCACCAAGCGAGTATAACGCCCTAGAAGGCTGGTGTTACACTATATACTCTTTCGTATTTCTTATCAAGAGGCAATTAAAATGCCCATCAATATTTTACATATTACAGGCAGCCAAAGATGTCCCCAGCCATGTGCATGAGTGTCATGTGAAGGTTAAAAATTGTGGGTTGGTTTACACTTTCTCAGCTATTCATTTATTATGGACAGGAGCCCATTTGCCCAATGATAAGGGAATGAGAACAGCCTGTATTTATGAAATAAAGTTCCAGAAGCTTGCTCCCTCTGCTCTGGAAGTGTCAGAAGTTTATAGCTTCTTCCACTCACTGAACTGATCTGCCACCAATGACTGAAGGTAATTAGCTGGTCTTGGCTACAGATTGACTTGAAGAGGAAAGATCAATACAAAAATTTACAAGAAACACATATGGTAGGAAATAACAGCTTTAGCAATCCCTGTATGCTGCCACCTTAGCTTCTACGTTATTATGTGTCTTCACATAAACTGAAGCAATCAAACTTAAAAAATATCCTCAGCTGAGAAATGCAATAGCCAGAAGACCCTACGAGAAAGCATACAGGCCATGAATCAGTTACTTAGTTGAAGATGCCAAGAACTGTGCTGACAGAAAATCTGCATTTTTCTAAATAAAAAATAGCAAGGTTTGCCTCAATAAGAAAGAATTAGAGCCTGAGGTCAGACAGAAGAAAAAAAGAAAATGGATTTAAGAAAGTTTCAGCATTTATTTTTTAAACCTGCAGTAACAAACAGATGATAATAACATGCATTAAAGTAGCTCTATCCAGACATTACATTACCAGTGATACTTTAATTATGCTGCTATTAGACAGGTGTGCCAAAGCAGATACACAGTAATAAATGTAGTATAAAACACAGAAGTTAATGAAAGAAAATGGAAATGTTTACCTTCCTCATCATAGTTAGACATATCATCTGCTATCATTGTACTAAAGTCTAGAAGAAGGTTCCAGGTATCCTTAGGAATTGATCTTTTATGATGTTCCTGTTTGGAGGAGGGGGAAATTAATATTTAAAAAATAAACAAATAAATTAAAACCCCTTATACACACTTGTTCTTACTATCTTGGACACATTCATATTCCCAGAACATATTTTGTTTGTATACACTATGTAAAGTGCAGCATCTGGGATGTGGGTCAAAATAGTCTATTTCATCTACTCAGTCATTTAAACGTATCTTCCAAGTTTTGAAAATACGGCAGTATTATGTAAAGATTTAAACTTACCAACAAAAATTTGTTCCACAAGTCTAGAAATTTAAATCTTCCATTAAGTACTAGATTCCAGTAGGCAATGGCCATTTCTAAATCTGTAATATTAAAATATTACTTTTAGAGATATACATTTCAAATATATAAACTCCACAGGTATCAAACACTAAGATGAACCATATATTCACAAAGGTCAAAAGATTCATCATGCACATATACTCATGGACCCTTTTCAAAAAGGCAACCATAAATAAAGCATTATACAAATATCTTCTAGATTTTGATACTATCACTTGAATACAGAAGAACTGAAAATTGCCTACGTTAATATCTAACATATCCAAAACATGCAAGAATGTCATATGCCTTTTGATATCTAATGATACTTTAGTTAAAATTCAGTGAAATACTATGTTGTAGAAATGCTGGTGACTTGAAAATTTGTAGTGTTCTATAGCAAGATCTTTAACCTTTTTCTGATATATAAATTTACATAAAATAGGTTTTTTATTATTTCATTCTTAGAGCAACCTTGTTACAGCTGCTGGTTTTCTAACATGACTTCTGTCAAGTGTTTATTCAGGTTTCCTTTTGGAAGAAGTAAGTACTGTACAAACAGATGGCTGGTTTGTTGTTGGTCTTTTTTTTAGTTGGGTTGGGGTTTTTGGAACCGACACAGTTCAGGAACAAGAACAACCTGCTTCTGGCCAGGCAACTGCATGCTGTTGTCAGCAGTGGGTGCTGTTATATTGTAGCAGTTAGAAAAAGACACTGGTTAGTCTAGCATGTAAGGAAAAAAACCCTCACCTCCCTGGTACTTGCCAAAGGCTAAACTGACATGCATTTACCGTTTATTAGTGGCATACAGCAGCTTGTTAGCTGATAAAAGAAACTTACATATCTGAGTTCTAAATCTTTACCTAGTATGATCTCCATTACCAGGCATTAACAAGGACCTCTGACTGTGTAACAAAATGCTGCTGTGATCTTACTGAATTCAGTACCCATCACCAAGTACATACAGTAACTCCAAAAGGCTACCTAGTCAAGTGACTAGGTTTTTAACAAAAGCTCTTATCTATTTTGTAATCTTCCATAAGCAATCCTCTCGTGAGAGCAGAGAGAAGCACATGATCAACTGCACCTCAGAAAAAAAAAAGAAAACTTAAAAAACCTGACAACCCAAGATGCTGGAACTAGTTCAAAAAACAGCGAGGTGGATCTCAGAGATGAAATCAACAGCAAACAAAACAAAGCATGAACTCTATGTTGCTGGAGGGAAAAGAGATGGTGATGGGGGGAGTTCCAGAACTCTCTACCATTTCTGATATTAAAAGTTCTTCTCAAACAAAATATTCGCATTATAATGCTTCCTGGCCAAAATAAAGAATGTAATTACTGACTGATTTTCCAGCAGCTAAAAAGGGGTGTGATTTCAGACAAAAGTGTAAGCAACGTACACTAAAAAAATGTAAGTTTCAAGAGCAGAAACAAATTAAACAGAAGTCGCTACTCCCCAGGAAATGAGCTGTATGTGAAAATGTAAAAACTAGGTATCCCTTTTTAACAGAAGATTCAGATACAAAAATATGCAATTCAGCTTTCAACTGAAATGACTGTCTTTCTAAAATGAGATACAAACTTCAGATTACGCTGATCAATTTCTCAAGGAAACAATTATAAAACTAAGTTTTACTTAATTGTGATGCACTAATAGCAGGCATACGAAAACATGCAAAATCCCTGCATATTTACAGTGGTTTATAAACAAACACTATAAACAAACTGTGCATTTTGACAGGCTTATACAATTTTGAGATTATTCTTCCGGCTAAGCAAAGGCCTTTAAAAAACAAATCTCAGGATGCTGCAACCTCAAACTCATTATTGTGAATCCATGAAATATACGTAAAGCACAAAGACATAATGCCTTAGGACAAACTACAGGTTTTGAAAGAAATTTTATGAAATAACAAAATTGGAAAGATAAAATTTTACATTTTCACATGTGAATGACTACTCAGGAAAGTCCTCATAAATCGAATATGAAAGTCTCAAGATATATGCTCCATTTTGAGTTTTATCCAAAGAGATGCAAACAATGTTTGAGACGAATATCAGCTAAAAGGTATTCTCAACTGATATGCAAATATCACAAGAACTTTTAAAACAACCCCAGTACTGACAGGGTAGTAAGCAATTATGCAGAGGAAATGCATTTCCAGAACTATGCCTGAACTACTACACAATGTTTGGAAGATTAGAGACCAATATACATTAAAATCAATTTGCAAGTTCCTACAAGCTGTTATTTAGACACTCCAAAATTAATTGCCTAACAAGAAGCATGCACTTTTCAGCACTGTATTTGTCCCAGTATTTTTTTGCTTCAGGGTTTCCAGAATTATTCTGCCATATTGTTAAATTCATGCCTGAAACTGTGTATTTACTGGCTCCAAAAGGGCCGGTAAGCATCCAGATTTTAAGCACAGTTCTACATCACTTCCAAACCCGGATTGAAAAAAAAAACAAAACAAAACAAAACCAAAACAAAAAAAAGCCACGCAACCAAAAAAAACCCACCTTGTACTATGAATATGGTATATGGATCTGAGAAAACTGTGCTTGTCTTTGTCACTGTTAGAGCTTAAATTGCATAAAGCTTTCATATGAATGAGAAATAAAGCAAAGGACTTAGTTTTCCTGGTAAATAATTTTTACCAGTCTGTTCCATCTGGGATACTCAATCATTTCTATATAGGATTAGGGGGAAATAATTCAGAGAAAGAATACAAATCTTATACCTCAGAAATGTGAAGAAGAAAATAAAGAGGTTAAGTACAACATCAAATGGTTCTGGTATTCTGAAACTTTGAGAATATTAAAAATGACCATTTAATTATATCATTGTAATTTCTTATTTCACTTTTACCACCTTACAAGGGTTTTGAAAAATACTCCTTGTGGTGTAAAGGTGTTTAAAAATTAAAACCAACATAAAAATGGTACCCATAAAAAACAAAACAAAACCCTGCAACCATTCATATTGCAGAATTGATTCTACACTGACACTCTCCAAAAACTAACTTCTGTCTTCTCACAATTCAGTTACTGTCCATATTTTCCTTGTTCTAGCAGCCAAAACGAATTAATACACCTTTTACAAGAAATGAGAATCAGCCCTTTTATTTATTTGCAGGATTCTGATCTGACTACATGCACACACAAGAATTTTCAAACAGTTTAGCAGTGCTCTTTTAGCTTCTTCGAAGACAAAGAAACTCACAATTCAATTGAAAACAAAAACCAGAATACAGAAAGATGTTAAAAATGACAGAGAGTCAAAACTAAGACATGGAGATTTTGCTTATTTACTTATTTTTCAATATTTATTTTAAGCCAGAAGTTGGTCTACATATAGAAAGAAGACAACAAAATGAAAACAGAAGGCTTATTTTTTCACAGCACATGAATGCAAAACTGGTCAGTAGCTGTCGGTTTAAGGCTTTTTCATTACTGAAAAAAATCACAAGCTGCCAAGTAAGAACCTAGTAGCCTTTCAGTATTTTATTTCTGGTCAAAAGTAGAACAGTTAAGTTAGCATTTAGAGTCATGACATACTGCTACTTGTAAGTAATATCTGAACTACTCTCTACATAAATTAATATGCATTCTGGTTGGTTAACATTACTGCTTCAAAGAAATTTTTGTTCCCTCATTTTTGCTCTTTTGAATAGACAGCTCTACAGATTGCTCATTCAGTTCCATCAGAACTGTGTTGTGCCATTATTTTTAATAAGTGATTCTTTCACTTCACCTGTTACACAAATCAAAAGCAAAATCACCAGAAGAACCATAAAATAATGGGAAAAAATAATAATAACCAGTGAGCTGAGGAGGAAAAAAAAAAAAAAGGAAAAAGGCTGTAAGGCTGTAGGGAGGCACCTATCACCAATGGCACAACAACAGGCATCAAGACCAAGATACAGAAATTTATTTTGTACTATTCCACTTCTATTTTGCCAAGACATCTGAAAGCATTTTTTGGTGATACAAGAGCCTGTACAAGTGCATTTACATGGAAATCACTTTTACAGCTTAAACTTGTCTTAAAAGTGAACATTCAATTAATCTGTTCAGTGCTGCAAATTCTAAGTAGTATAATTATGCCTTTAGTGTAAGGCCATAATCCACTGTGCTTACTGAGAGATGCACATACTCTCTGTGAAAGAATAAACCTTCTCTCATAAAATTTTGTAGAATATAGTAATGATGAAGATATTTCTATCAATTTTAACACCTCAAATTGACATCCTTCACAACAGACAGGTGTATTTTATCCCAAAGGTGGTAATCTTTCGGACTCACTGGATCACAGTAATACTTTCACTTACTGCTTTAATCAGTCATTTCCCATATTTATGAACAAATATTTACAATTAAGAATACATACCTAAACCTTTCTGGCCCGGATTCTTTGCAAAGTTGAAAGTAAACTGATAAAAATCCTTAAATCTTCCTGGCTCTTTTAATTCTTGTTCCATTTTAGGAATTTGGGCCTTCAGTTTTTCTATGCTGTCACATCTGCATTTTAAAAAGCATGTTTATTGGTGTATTAATTCATTTTTCTATAAAGTACAAGTTATAACTTAAATAATTGTGGGATACCATATAATTATTTAAAAAATCAGGAAGCCATTAATTAGTCTGCACCTATACAACTATTTCATTTCTTTATTACACTCCCATTTGCATATTCTAGCTCATACACCAAATTCCATAATACAACTGATTTTAGGAAAATGTGATAAAGACTATTACATTTTCATAAGGCAAAGAAAACCCAGATGTTCTAGACTGCAGACCGACATCCTTGCCTTACCCACCTGAGTAGCTCTATGGCAAATAACTGAAATACACAACCAAGGCAAGTAGCACTCAAAGCTGCCTCCCCTTTTTTGGTCACTAAGCATCTAGGACAAAGACAGCAGATGCATTTTTACAGAGGCAGATAAGTGATGCTAGACTCCAAAAAGTCTCTGAAGTCTGAAAGGACAATGTGATTGTGAATTCCCAAAAACAGGGCTGCTGTGTCACTGTATATTCCAGTTTCTGACACTGGGTTACACTATCCATGTCTAATACTTGCTGCATACTTACCCTAGCTCAGTCATCCCATCCATGAATTCCACCTTTGAAAATTCACACTGTGTTGCAGCTCGGAATTTCCATGCAATGATGAGTACAGTAATGCTGGCTGGGTCAAGAGCTAGATCATCACAAAACTGCTGTATACCATCTATACCAATTTTATTTTCATCTTGAGGATCTTTGGGATATAAAAGTAAGTATCAAGAAAAACAGATTTTTGAAAAAGCTAATTTATTATATAACTGCATTTAAGATTTTCATGACAATATATTTCAAACATTTTCATGACAATATTTTGGGGATCAGGCCTCATAAATGAGTATTATAAAAGCAAAATTAAATTAGTATTTTCAATGGTTAAGCTTTAAGAATTGAAGCAGTTACTACAATAAAGCCTCCCATACAATAAAGCTTATGTTATTTTCATTGAGAGACAAAAGCATCACAAACATTTGTTTTCTGCCTAATAATATGCATGATACTGCAACTCACTCCATACAGAGAACAGTTGTCCTTTCCCACCAGCACACTTAATTATTGGCATATTTGGTAAGACTGCTGATCTGCGTACCATTACAAACAATTCTGCAGTGTCCATTTGTAAGCTGTACTGATACTGATTATGGTCAGAATAATCAAATCTGACCATAAACTAAGTTAATCTTAGTTTTATGCATTTTATGGCAACGCCAGCATGCATGAGATTGGACCAATCCAAGAGGAAAGTCCAATCCAAGAGGACAAGAGGAAAGTTACGTTGCCCTATCACTGATTCCAAGTCAGCCAGGCACAATCCTTTTTCCACAAATGAATCAACATCTGGTCTGGAAGTGAGATGCTCACATTTCAAGTGCACTAACAAAGATCTACTAACTTAAGCCAACAAAGACTTCAGGAAAATGGTATTTGGATTACACGCACATATGAAAAATGACAGAAAACATAGCACTCATTTTTAATTTTTTTTTTAATTGCTAAACCACAGAATTTGTTCTACTGTACTGAGTCCCCTTTACTATTTGTGGTAGGATTATCATCAGTTCAGCACTGACTAAATAACTTTGTTTTCTTTTCCTCTCTGTTTGTAACTATTTGATAATAAGCACAAGGTGAATAAAAATCAAGGCAGAATCCATCTTTGGAATGCAACCTATCACTTTGTCAGGATCCAGTCCCGAGTGATGTGCTTCCCCCAGAACAATCACCTAAAATCTACATTAACCATTACTCACTGTACACACAATTCCAGTTCCAAGGCCCTATCCTTTATAAATGTGTGTGTTTTAAGCACGTAAACCAATCACACATAATCCTTGTGAAGCAGAAGCCTACATATTTTCCCCTTCAAACCTACATTAGTAATAGGATAACCAAAGCTGAAAGAGTCAAGATTTCAAGCACAAGAGCACAGCTGCAATGATACATTGTAATTAAGAATATATACATACAGCTATGAAATAAACCTTAAAATTCAGGGTACTCACCTTTGTATCTATTATATAGCTGTTCTAGCTTCTTTCTGTCCAATGATCCTTTAACACTCTCTCGTATATAAAGTTCAGGATTTTGGAAAAAGTTATCTGTTGCAACATCTAACTTCCAGTCATTTTGAGACAGACAACTCACCGCTGTCTTTTCACTAGATTGTGTGAAGACCATGAACTGACGCACTTTATCCTTCTGTGATGATTTCAACTTGTTCTAGTAAAAACAGACAACACTGTAACTAGAAATGTTTTACTGGACACACAAAAAAAAACCCAATACCTAAACCCCAAAACCCAAACAAAACCAAACAATTTTAAATTAAAACAAACAAACTCACCTTACCTTCATTCTAGGTACTTTACATTATATCCAAACTGAGTTAAATCATCACAAAAATCATGCTGGCATGATTCTTAATAGAAGAATGCTATACTATCAATAAAGGAGATGCCTAAATAGAACCCATGGCTATCAAACTATTTGACAGGAGGGCCACGAGCATGATCAGGGGACTGGAGCACCTCCTGTATGAAGGTAGGCTGAGAAAGTTGGGGCTGTTCAGCCTGGAGAAGAGAAGGCTGCGTGGAGACCTCATAGCAGCCTTCCAGTATCTGAAGGGGGCCTACAGGGATGCTGGGGATGGACTCTTCATTAGGGACTGTAGTGACAAGACAAGGGGTAACGAGTTAAAACTTAAACAGGGGAAGTTTAGATTGGATATAAGGAAGAAATTCTTTCCTGTTAGGGTGGTGAGGCACTGGAATAGGTTGCCCAGGGAGGTTGTGAATGCTCCATCCTTGGCAGTGTTCAAGGCCAGGTTAGATGAAGCCTTGAGTGGCATGGTTTAGTGTGAGGTGTCCCTGCCCACGGCAGGGGGGTTGGAACTAGATGACCTTAAGGTCCTTTCCAACCCTAACTGTTCTATGATTCTAAGAGAATAGATATGTTTTGAGGGTGTTTTAGAGATTTTTCACTTTGAAGGTGCTCAACTCCACCTACATGATTTGCACAACACTCCTGTGAGGAGGCATTGTTTCAACTCACAGGTGCAACAACTGAAGATAAAAAAAATTTAAAAAGAGGGTAAGTAATTTTGCCAGAGGCAGGCGGGGGAGTGAGTAGCCAAGGTGAGAGCTCTGGAATTTCCGGCCTCCAGCCCAGACCAAGACACATCCCTCTCTGCTCTAGTGCAGAACTGAATGGAGAACTTGCTGCCAGTCATTTATCAGCATAGAAGGATTCCCAAGGGTATTTTCTTTTATGAGAAGCACACTCACTGTTTCAGGGGTATTAGTTACACAAAACCAACTGCTGATCAGGAGAAAGCCATCATGCAGCACTGAATCCAAATTCAGTTCTAAAGTATACTTGATAAAGCAAAAAGACTCCTAATGTTACAACTTGGTAAATAAAAGTTCTGACTTTTAACTTGGAATTACATTTCTTACATGGCACAAATATTTCATTTGCAGTTTACCTTGCATTCTAACCAAAACTTGTATATTTTCATTAGTGTAATTTCCAACTGCATGGCTCCTTCTCAGGGACTATGGGGAAAAAGCGAAAAAAATCTCTGGACGTGATAAATTATCCTCAGCTAAAGAACAAATGGCTTAGGAGTAGTATAAGCTCAAGCTCCTCATTCCAAAGGATCATTAGTTTTCCATTAGAAAAAAAGAACTAACACTTCAGAACACAAATTCATCTGTTCTAAAAGTCAAAATCAGTTTTCTGCTGCTTGATGACAGTGAATGTGAATGCTAGAGAATCACATCTGGCTTAAACTGACACCTCCACAGTGTACTAAGGAGACCAAAACCCTTTATGATCCCTTAAATAAAAAAAAAAAAAATATATTAAAAATAAACTCCCCAAACCAAAACGACCCTGTAGCTACAATACTAAGCTAAAGCCAAAATTTCAGCACACACTCCAGACAAACAGTGACATTAGGTTAGGCTATACTACTCAAGCTATGAAGTGTTGCTGCACTATTTCAGTCTCTTGAATAAATTTCTCACATTGGACCTTTTGCTACAAATACGTTCCTGAAACTCAGATTTTTCAGAAATGGTTCCATGTAAAGGTAAAACCATCCGAGCAGGTCCTGAAAAGACCCACTGCTGACTACTTCTGCTATTATGACTATTTCCCAGCAGACATTCAGCACCTTACAATACTGAGCTCAAGCTTCCACAAAAATCACTTACACTCACAAAGCCATGTGGAACGACTTCCAGTAATGACTAATGGATTTTTAGCTGCAGTTTTCAAAAACATATTGTGAACTCTGGTATATTAAAACAAACCATTGAATGAAATTCCATATGAAGATGAAACAATCCCAAGGCTAATCTTCTGTGCCAATTACCAGCTTCCTCAAATCAGTTCCACACAACTGGACTGCCACATCACTAAAGACAGACTCAGCTATACTTTACAAAGCTGGTGCCTTTAATCATTAGGTTTTTGTTTAGGTTTTGGGGTGGTTTTTTTCTTTCTTTTGGTTGATTTTCTGATTGGTAAGCTTTGTTTGGGTTTTGGGGTGTTGTTTTTTTTTTTAACACATACACATAAGTATACACAGCCCTTTTAATAATAAGTATTCTGTAGAACCTCAAGAGGCTTTGTTCTGCCCTACTTCTGCAAGGGTAAACTCTGAAAGCAATGACATACAACAGAAAGTCAATGACATACAACAAAAAGTCAAGGAACAAGTTTAAAATGGCTTCACAGCGGATGCTCAAGACCACAAAAGGTAGTATGTTTTGAGTACTGTCACTTAAAAGGAGAATACAATTTATTAGATAAAAAAATTGCAGTGTAAATCATTTTTATGATAAAATTTAAATCCTATTATGCACAAGAGATCTTCCTGTGCTTAGGACTCCCCAAGTGATTCTCACAATGTAAAACCTTTTTAAAAAGAACATTGAACTTGCCAGGAGTCAAGCAGTTAATGACACTAATCAGTACAGCATTCACTAATACATGAAGATGCAATAAATCACACAGCTCAGCCATAATCTTTCTCTGAAATAACTATATTTTTACTGGTCAAATACAAGTTTATTTTTAGTGAAGAAGTGCCAAAGCCCTTTCTTTATATTTGATGAATGTTTCCGCAGAAGCTTGCCAATGTAGATGAGACTCCACATCCCAAGTGACTAGACAACTATTTGAAGGCCTACTACAGGACAACAAGAGAAGAAAATACTGCTGAGTTTTTATTATGCTATTACAGCTCTTCTTTCATCACATTAAAAACCCACACTTCAAGCAGGAACAGGTTCCAAGCCCTCTGCATTTTTAAGGGCTATTTCTAGAAGCCAACCTCTAACAGTCTATTATTGTTTTAAGTGTGCAATACAGAAGCCAGAGCACCCTATAACCTTTAATCCTGTAGTCATCAGGCAACAAATATCGTACACTGCACTTGTACTTGCTGTATTGCAATGCAATCCATTTAAACTGCCTCAATTTTAACACTAGTAAGGAAGACAGAATTTTGACAGGTATCTACCTTGCTAAAATATACAAGTGAAACCCAATGGAAAACAAATGCAACAAATTTTCTAGTAAGTCTTATCCCTTGGGGTAAGGGGAAAAGGAAAAACTCAGATCTGCAAGCCTTTGATCAAGCCTGTGTGATAGCCAAGCTACCTCTCATAATGAGGATGTCACAGGAGACAGAAGGTTAACTTACTTGTAAAACACAGAATAACTTCTCCAAATGAACAGCTACATTATGTATTCCTAAAACAACAATAATTGTATCATTCTAATGAATGTCTGATGCTGTAACACTGATTTTTAAATGAAAATTTGCCTCTTCCCACGAAGTACCAAATTTGACCATTCTAGTTGAATAACCTATCCTTGATCAGATAATTCAGTAAAAGATTAATAATGAAAATTAAAAAAATAAAAGTACTTGCGCATTCCCCACCCCAAGTTGTCAGTGAGGTTTTATTTCTGGCCTGACTGAAAGTCCCTTCATCTAGGGGAGGAAGCTTTCCCAGTGTAAGGAAAAAAAAATGGTGCAACTGATCTGCCAACTCAGACTACATGGTTGTTTTTCCTTACCTTCTACATTCAATTTTTAGTTACCTCAGATTCACCAAGTGAGACCCCACTTGGAGTACTGTGCACAGTTCTGGTGTCCTCAACATATGAAGGACATGGAGCTGTTGGATCAAGTCCAGAAGAGGGCCACAAGGATGATCAGGGAGCTGGAGCCATATGAAGGCAGGCTGAGAAAGTTGGGGCTGTTCAGCCTGGAGAAGAGAAGGCTGCATGGAGACCTCAAAGCAGCCTTCCAGTATCTGAAAGGAAGCTACAAGGATGCCAGAGAAGGACTCTTCATCAGCAACTGCAGTGACAGAACAAGGGGCAATGGGTTTAAACTTCTACAGGGGACTTTCAGATTAGATACAAGGAAGAAGTTCTTTACTGTTAGGGTGGTGAGGCACTGGAACAGGTTGCCCAAAGAAGTGGTAAATGCTCCATCCCTGGCAATGTTCAAGGCAAGGCCAGGCTGGACAGAGCCTTGGGCAACATGGTCTAGGGTGAGGCACTCCTGCCCATGGCGATGGAATGGAACTCGATGATCTTAAGGTCCTTTCCAGCCCTAACCATTCTATGATTCTATGAACAGCTCTGCACAATGGTCATCAACATTTTCTGGATAGCTAATAGCTGTATGAGGGCTCCACTGTCCTGGATAACATCCATGGGAAACAGTAACAACCTTCATCTCACACTGCCTGGACTCTAAAGCTGAAGATTCCCACCAAAATCCCATTCATGGCCTTTGCTCAAAGGTTATATGCAGCCATCAGCTAGACAAACGGTGCATAATCAGTTTGAAGTATCACTGCTCAAAACTCCTTATGGCCCCCAGAGAAGACATTCACACAGTTACTCCTCAGCCACTGCTTAGAGATGATCTGATTCCTGCTAGTTTCACTGCTAACTACAGGAATTTGAATGACGTGATGATACCTGTGCTTTTGTTTCTGGAGTCAAAGAAAGCCTGTTAAGTTCTCATGCATGTGACAGGTAAAAGCCTATTCCAAAATAGTATCAACCTCCACAAACTCTAGGCTTTTATACTAACTGCATTTATACTCCAGCAAGATATCTGGCTGCGGGAAGCATACTTGCACTTTTTAAGGACCCCAGTGACGTCAGTTCAAACCCAGAATAACTTCATCTCGCACGCAGAACGGGCTTGTGCATGTAATAATAACCTCACAAATCATGACTGATAGTTTTGTCGCATCTTTATATGACACTAATGGTCAAGAGGATATTGTTCCTTTACAGTGTCTGAATCATTCCATGTTGGGCTGTAACCATGAAAGGAACATAGAAGGCACCTGGCAAATAATGTGGTTCCCTGCTTGTATTCAATAAATACATAGCTAAGCTTAAATGGCAAAATCATGAGTGTTTTTATTAGTTTACTAAGAAAACAAAAATTCACAACAGAAGTCATGAATACACTGAATTACATATGAATCCATTATCTGTGATGGCATACATGTATACTACCAAAACCGTCATAAAATCCAAGGTAAAGACAAAAACAATTCAAGTAAATAGCCACAGTTTCTGTATAATGTAACCAAACATGTCACTCAACTACTTTATATTTTCTACAGCAGCTTCTTGAAAAGAGGGCACACAAAGTAAGATACGTAATTTTTAAGCTTCTGTTTCAAAGTTATGTGAAATCCATTTGCCTGCAGTGGAACGGAGCAAAACAAAGATTTACAAGGTCTGCTGATGTATAAAATCTAAGGAAAAAAATAAAATCAAAGTTGCTTTTTATGCCCTCTAATGTTCTTTTTAGTGGACGAAACAATTTTAGTACTTGCGTATGAGCAGAAAGTCTTTCTTAGAACATCAATATAAAGCTACCTAGAAGAATGCAGTAGTTGCAACAGTCTTTTTAGGTCATTCATATTAGCCCAAGAGGTGAAAAAAACCACCAAAAATCTGGCCTTATTCTATTAAAAAAGTAAAAAATAAAGCTGTCAGTTGTTTAGCATTCTTAACTCTGGTCCAGGTCAGAAGCTGCATTCATAGCTTATATTTGCATTGGCACCATAAAACGTAAGTAAAATATCAAGAGCTACATAATACTTTTCACACCTTGTTCTCAAAGTAGTTCATATTCCTGAATAATTTTTTTCATGGCTCTAGTTAAAAGCAATTTTACAGTATAAGTTCAAAGGATTCTCTGGTAAGCTAGAAGAGGAAACAAGATCATGCACCATCTTGCCTAGCACTCTGACTACTCCATCCTAAGCGTAATGCCAAGGATCTTAAAGTTTTACTACAGGATAACCAAAACTAAAACATGTAATACCAACAAACTGCTATAGACATCAATATTCACCACAAAAACAGCCTTACAGAACAGCTTGTTGAGTGAAACACTGCATAACAATGTCATGAGCTACAATACCATTACAGGAGACAGCGTCAGACATGAAATTCTTGTAATACTAAATTTTTACAATTTCCTGTCACCTCAGGTTTGCAGTAGGAAATTATGTATTTATCAGCATAGAAATACTCTTCAGAGACTATATTGTACGATGTAATAGGTAATGCAAACAGAGATAAGGTTAACATTTGGCTCTGGATAAATAAAAGGATACTCACACACTTGCCTTGACTATCACACATAGTTCCAAATTCATTAAATTATTCAAAATACTACAGGTAGTGGCTCTTCTCAGAGAGTACAATGGACCAGCTTGCTGCTCTGTCTTGATTCGCAGGCACATTACTTATCCTTGTGGTGAGATAAAGCAATAACATACTAAAAGGTAAGGTGAAGGAGAGCACTTCTACAGATGCTGCTCAGCTCAAATGAGAATGTGGGTAAGAGGCAGATTGCTATCAGCAACCCAAGGAATACTGCCAGGGTGGTGTACCTGAGCACTGGACAGAAAACACTTTCCAAGTTTCACAAATGGCCAGAGTGAACCTAACAGGCTGCTGTAATGGTGTCCCTCCCACATATTGGACAAAGACAGTTCAAAACCAGGAAACCTGTGTCCTGAAAACCACTGGACATACAAACACTGGCGAGACTAAGTCAGAGCCAGAACTGCTCTAACTGGCAGTGCTACATGGCAAGTAAGAGCCAGGCCTCAGCTGCAGAAGCCTCTTCCATAGCATTTACTATGCCAGACAAGCAATTTAGCCCCAGGAACATGCCACAGCCACTGGAAGGACTAGCCAGGGCAGTAGTACATATGGTCAGAAAAATGGGATGTTGAATCTTAAGTATCTGGATGGACATCTTCAAATCTCTGAAGAAGTCTCCCTACTCTTTCCCCTAATTAAATAGAGAATTTTGACATACCACAAGTATAGGTACAAAATCCTATGCCTGGCCACTAGAAATAATTCATACCTGCATTTACTACTGCTTCAGCTGCAGGCTGTCATTTCATCCCACTTCAGTGTCTATGTCATCCTTTCACCTGGGTGTTGGAGTCAATGAACAACCTGGAACATAGTTGTTTGCATAGGAGCTAAGAACGATGCCCAGGGCCATGACTAGAGTATTCAGATACTTCCTCCAATCTGATAAATACCAATCTATCAGTATAGTATTGTTCCACAGAATTTATCTGCTAGTTTTTCAGTGAAGTATTTCCAAGAAGACTTAAGCTGATAGCATTCTGCTGTTTCTCACAAAAAGCTATTCTGAGGATAGCATGCGTCACTATTTCTGTTATCCTGCCACTTGCTCGAGTACTGTACAATTTACATTTCTAATCACATAGCCAGGCAATAATATCTGTCTGTACAAAACACCAACAGTGTACTTATTCTGCATACCTACACTTAATATATTGCGAGACAGTGCTAGGTGATTTTTATGGAAAAAAGTCTTCATAAAAAGTTGTGTAACATGGATGCATAAGTGCAATTTGAGACAGTCCCAGAACTACAGGGTTACAGTAAGACACCACTACGGTCTGAACTTCATCCAGACTTTAGTTTCAAGCTCCCATTAAAAAAAAAAAAAGGAAAAAATCAAGTGAAGATCTATATCAAACTACTTAATTAAAAATTATACTAGTAACATAGCGACAAGTTTATTATAGAGGCACCATCTAGTACGGCACCACTAATTAAAATTCTGCGTAACCGAATTTTTATGCCAACATAACTCAATTATAACTCCACCAGTTAAAGGTGACTTTTTTTTTTTAATACTCTTTTAACACTGCTGGCCAGAATAATATTAACTGCAGGTATAAGATATCTTTATACCACTAAGTATGCACCAGTAGATCTTAAAATTCCCTCCTACACCCATCCTAAGACAATACAGCTGCCACAGAAAGTACAACTTTTAACTGCACAGGTATAGCTGAAGCTGCACAACTCTTGTATACAGAGAAGGCCTAGAAGTATGACTATAAATACACTCCCTCGGGTGCATAAGACACTGTGCAAGTGACCAATAAAGAGTCCCCTTATTTAAAGCTAAGGAATGTCTTTTTCTTTGTTTAGGCAAACAAAAACATCATATTTTGTTCCAACCACTGCGGTTTCCCTCTGTAAGAGAAAAGGGAGAATGTCTGCCGACTCGAGGATCCATAGCAAATCCTCAGTTAAAAGGAAAAAAAAATACTATGGCGAAAATACAAGATAACTCTTCCTTTACAGCATTTATATGAACAGGAGCCTTACCAAAATCTCAAAACAATTATCCAGAAATTCTCCAGCATAATCCCAGTTCAAGAAGCACCAACATGCCCAAGTTCCCCAGTGAACTGACAGCACTTAATGGGCCCTGACCTTCTTAAAATCCTGAGAAAAAAAATCCAAGTAGCCCTGGTTTCTGGCAGCCTCCTGTACTCTATCCAGTGGGATGCTGTTCACCATCCCACACAGGACACAGACAAGCTGCCCACAGAACACCTCTACTGCCCCTGTCCTGTGCAAAGGCGCCTGGACGCTCATACAAGGTGCAAGCAAGTACCTCGTCGCCGTGAGGAGGCCTGACAAACCCCCGCCCGCCGAAGGCCTTCGGAGGATCCCGGCGCCCCCCACTCTAGGCCCCTGCCCAGGGGCTACCTCCTGCCCGCCGGCCCCCACGGCCAGCGGCCGCGACCAGCTGCGCAGCCCCTCCCAGACCGCACACGCTCTCCCCGTCCTGCCTGGTAGGAGGACCGAGGAGCCTACGAACTCAAAAACACCATGCCCCTTCTGCAGAGTCCTCGGGACCGGCCCTTTCGCCGCTCCCGTCGAGCCGCTCCCGGACACCCCAGCCCGCCACGACTAGGCCCAGATGCCCCTGCGGCGCCGCCACGGCTGGCCAACTCCGAGGCACGGGGCCGGACAGAACCGAGGGGTAACCCGGGAGGACACGCACCATGTTGAGAGCTGTGCAGGCCTCTTCCCTCACGGCTCAGGCGGAGACTGAGGGCGGCGGCAGCAACGGCTTCCTGCGGCGGCGGCAGCTCCCGGCTCCTCACGGGCCCTTCCGCCGCCTCCCGATCATGCGCAGTGCGGCGCATTCCCCGCGCCGGGAGCCGACGCTGCGCGGCCGCGGCGCAAAGGGAGGGAGCCCGCACGGCGGGGAGGCTCGGCGCGGCCAGCCCTGGCCCGCTCCTGGTGCCGTCCGGGTTGCCTGCGGGAGCGGCTGCCGCTAGCAGCGCGGCATTTGCGGCAGCTGAGGTGGGGAGTGCCGCGCTGGGGGAGAACAGGAGGTCCTTGGCTCGAGGAAGGGAAGGGAGACGAGCCCACCTCCGGTGTCCTCGGGGTTGGGAGCGGGGCGGACTCCCCTCCCGCGGTGGGCTTGGTCGAGGAGAGGCCGCGGAGCAGGAGCAGGCAGCTGTGGCCTCAGCCAGGCGCGGCGGGGTGCCGCCGCTTTAGGGGCGCGGGCCGCCCGGGTCTCTCACCCCCTCTGCCGCCTCCGACCCCCGGGAGCCGCGGCCACCCCGCGTCCCTTTTCTGTCGGGGAAATACCTTATTTTCTCAGATACCTGAAACCAAAACGTTTCGCGAGGTGTGCACGCTCGTGGTTAACAAGGGCGCCGCGCTCGCAGGGGTGTTCCGCGGTTTCTGTCGAGGGCACAGCCCCAGCGCATGAACTTCAAAAGACGTAGGATGGAAAAAGCCCGTGGGGTTTTCAGGATGGATTCGGAAAGGATGCAGAAGGCGTTTGCTGAGGAGCCACGGAGACTTGGGGAAGGTGAAGTCACAGGCTAGCAGCTTTAGAGGCATTTTCCTACGGGACCATCTTCGTACTTGTAAGATCCTCCTGCTGGAGGTTGTAATCCCCTTTGGGCAGCTATTGCTTCCAGGGGGCTGTTGACAGATGTAGCTTTTTCTGCAGTAGCGTAGACATGCTAATAAAAGAGGTTGCAAGCATTAAATCACAGATCGTACCAATATCCGAGACAGTTGATTTTTCCCAAGAAAGCTTACTTTACCTACTACAGATTTCTGGCAGCTGAGGAGGTTTGGGGAAGCAGAGTATTTGCTGATAAAACTCTCAGTGGTGGCACACTGACTGCTAATTGCGAAGGACAGGTTTGAAATCTCATTCTTGTTCTCTCATTTCCTGCTGAGCTGGGACCTATTAAAATAAGCTGCTGTATTTGTATTACATGACTGATATGATGGGACACACACGAAAGAAATTAAGACTTTAGAAAACCATTCTCCATGATTGAGGTCCAGGGTTTATGTTTTTTAAAGAAAAGGGCCTCAATTGCTCCTCACTTATTTCACTGAAAAGCAGAGCTAAGCTTAGATGGGAGTGTGAGGAGTTAAAGCACTATTTGGAGAGGAGAATGAGGCCTGACCTGTGGAGTGTCCAGTTTTGCTGGTGTTCTGAAATGGTAAATTTAAGAGTTTCTTCATATTAAGTATATGGTAATATGTGTGAATTCAACTATCCTGAGAGACGCTAGTTGCCTGGATACCTTAAACCCCACTGAAAAGCCTGTGTTTTGGAATCAAGGATGGCTGCAAAATGGCCAGTGTAAACAGCCATGAACACTGCACACCAGCCCAGTCCACGTGAACCAGGGCATGGGAGGCAAAGCCAAACCTGAAAATCTGTTTCACTGAGTTAGCTAATTGCCATCACTATAATGTGCTGTGACAGTCCTACAATCTGAAGAAACAACTTAGACCTGGAGAATTACTGTGACATGTAACAATAATCTGAGAGATTACCTGTGATTGCACTGGATTCCACAGGACAGAGACAAGATTTATAAATGGCTTGTTTTTCCCAAGTATCTGTGAATCTTCCTGGTTTTCTTTAGTGCAGGGTCTGCTGGGTTGGTTGTTTTTTTTTTGAGTGTGTGTCTGGGGACACACTGTGCTTACTTACTTGTCTAAGAAGTTGTACATAAGGTTATTTTAACTTCAAAGAATGTTGAAAAAGTCTTTAATTTTGCTTCTTTTGTTCACTAAATAATGTACTAAAGCATATTTTGAACGTTTTCTTGTTTAGGACCTAATTAAAAAGGTAGACCTGATTTTATGCATTCAACCTATGTTTAAAAACATTCCTTGAAAAATTCACCATTGCTACACCTTTTTGTTCAATCTATTATTTTCTTTGTCAGCCTGGGTTACTAATTAGTAGTATTTAAATTAGCTGCAAGTCTGGTGGAATTTATTCTCAATACATTAATGTTCAGAAATTGTTCCTGCCATACCATTTTTTTTCTGGGAGTCAGGATATTTGAAGCCTGCTTCCAACTTTGACTGACTTGTGATTTGATCTCTCCAACTTACTAAATTACTCCACATTATGAATTCCTGTTGTATAAAACATAGAAAATCATATTTAACTGCTTTGCAGGAGCTTCTTATTAGGGCAGATAAAAGCATATGATTCAGTAAAATGCAAATCAAATAAAACGTGTGAAATGCAGATTAATGCTGTTCCTATTGTGCATGCTGCTGTTTTGTTGTTGGCTTGGGTTTTGTTTTTTTGTTTGTTCTGTGGTGGTTTTTTGTTTTTTTTTTTTATTTGGGGGTTAGTTTGGTTTCATGTTTTTTCAATTTCAGTTACAAGGTGAAACTGTACACAAGAAAATTAGTGGCTTTCTGCTGCCATTTAAGCTGTAAATCTAGCGTTACTGATTTTAGTGGGAGCTACAGTATGCTCTTCTGTCTTGTTTATTACAGTACTTCCGTGGGTATGCCTGAATTGACAAATCAAATGTAAGTTACGGTACCCAGAGCTCTTTACTACCACTGCCAGGCTATCTGGTGCCTCAGCCTGAGCCGGTTTGATTAGACTGCTTGAGTTATCTTCTCCATACATGGCACACTGCAGTAGGCATATCCTGCACAGCAGATGCTTCAGGACACAGTCAGATGGCCCCAATTCCATTCATGTCCATATGCCTACTGGCAGGCTGTACATCTGCAGATGTAGATCTGCAGTTCAATGATGCGTGTGCCATCTGAATTTCAGAATTTCTGAGCAGAGGAGATGCTTTATAAAGCAAGAGGCACCGTGAGGCTGCCAAAAAGTGTACGTGTATGTGTTCAGAGTAAGTTGTCTAAATTGGGCTTTTTAGCTTTTGTACAACTCCATCCAGGATGGCACACCAAGTCAGACCAGTGATAAACAGCTCTGCTATTTGTAAATGGGACACACATGCAGCGATACAGACTAGGAGGAAATATTATTCATTGTGCAATCTGCATGCAGCATAATCACTGTGACCACAGTACATAATGACTTGTTTAGTTTATGGTAACGCTGACATGCTTGCTTTGCTTTGTTGTGAGATCCAGTGATGTTTTACCATCTCATGTGAACCCTAGAACTAGTCAGTGATTTTTATGAATCCAGATGTGTCACATGCATAGTTGTGAATATAACATTGCTCTCTTTTACACTGACTTGAGCTCTCTAGCAGGCAGAGAAGAAGGTCTCAGGTGGAGTTAGTGCAGAATCCATTTAGTGTAATCCCCTTGTTGAGAACTTCCAGTTAGAGCAATTTCTGAGGAAGAAGCCCCAAGCTTTATGGAGGATAACAGTAACAGTAACCTGGAACAGCTTGACTTAGAAATGTCTTTCTAACCCACATATCTTTTTGGCAGCTACTTTCTACTCTAGAAAGTGAAACCACCAATTCAGCTTACTCTAATGGTATAGCTGTAAAGTGGTTACAACTATGTCCCTTTGCCTGCAAATGCTGACCCCATGTTTAAAAGAGCAAAGTCCATGAACTGTTCTGCACAAGGAGTTTTAATGCCACTCTAACCTCATGAAGTTCCTTAGCATCCACAGGTACAGACACAATGGTCTGCTCCTATCCACTTGTTCAGCTGATATGGTTGGAACGTCTCATCTGTCTGGGTTTTTTCTGCATTGAAATAAGCACAGAGGAAGTAAACAGTCCAAGAACTCCTGTAGTATCTGAGCAATTTAACCTGCAAGCTGGCACATCACTAATCTCTGAAGATTATTGTTAATAGATTGCAGGGATGAGTGTTCAACTTCCATTAAGTTTTTCATCCTTCATGCATTACACAAGAGGCTAACACGTTACTATGCCCAGTCCATGGCACTGTTCTACATGGTATTATCTGTGGAAAGAAGCAGGACAGGTTTATGTGACAAAGGAAGAAAAGTCAGGTCAGGAAGTCTATTTAATAAAGTGTCATGGTTTAAACCCAGCCAGACAGCTCGTTCACTCACTCCTCCCCCCTTCTTGCCCTCCCCCTACTCCCGGAGGGACGGAGAGGAGAGTCAAAAAGAATTCAACTCCCACGGGTTGAGATAAGAACAGTTTAGTAACTAAGGTATAACACAAATCACTACTGCTACCACCAGTGATAATAATGATAAAGGAAATAACAAGGGAAGAGAATACAACACCTCACCACCAGCTGACCGATAACTCACCCCCCCCAGCCCAACCAAGCACCGACCGATACCTCCTCCAACCCCGCAGTCTCCCAGCCCTTCCGGGTAACTCCCAGTTACATCCTGGGCATGACGTGCTGTGGTATGGAATACCTCTTTGGTCAGTTTGGGTCTGGTGTCCTGTCTCTGCTTCCTCCCGGCTTCCTCTCCTCCCTGGCAAAGCATGAGGCTCACAAAGTCCTTGGCCAGACCAAAACATCATTGTTATCAGCTCTGTTCCCAGGCCGAAAGTCAAAATACAGCACTGCACCAGCTACCAAGAAGGAGAAAAATGACTGCTACTGCTGAACCCAGGACATAAAGTCTGAAAGTTTCTCATGTATGTAACTGTGTACCCTGGCAGGCCTGAAAAAACTGAGACTGTCCAGGACAACTAATGGGCAACAGTCTGCAAGACTCCTGTTGGTTTTGCTGGTTTGGGTTTTTTGGTTGGTTTGGGTTGGGTTTTTTTGGTTGGTTGGTTTGTTTGGGGTTTTTTGTTGTTTTCTTGGTTTAGTTTGGGGATGGGGTTTGGTTGGTTGGGTGTTCTGGTTTGTTTTTTTTAAACTCATCAGGATTACTGAGATACATGTATTAAAATTAAGGCATTTTAAGTAATATGAATTAAGAAGTCAGAGGGCTAAAAAATTGAGCTAGCTAGTTGACATTTCCTTAGTTCACAACTTTTGTAAGCAAGGTATCATCTTTACAAACAGAATGACTTGAAATTTCCCAAGCTATGAACCAGACAATGCCATCATAACTATGACTTGATGATTAAAATCTATACCTTTGAACTGTAAGCAGTTTTCCATTCTCACTACAAAGAATTATAGGCAATTTTAAGAAACCAGGAGACTGAAACACACTATTTCCCTATCACGGTGTGTGATAGGGAATTTTCTATACATGCCATCTTTAATTGCTTATCTTAATAAAAATAAGCTATGCTAATTCAGAGCACATTCTGCTATTAATATATGAAACAAGATTTAAGTTACATGTATGGGAGTCAGAGCCTTTTGTCTCAATATAAGCAGTCTGCAAGAGTAATGCAGACATACAAAGCAAGGGTAGTAAGAGGGTTCTTACCTCCTGTCATATCTGTTACACATTTAGCTGTTTCCACTCCTCACAGTGTCATAGCAGCAAAATGGTTTTTGGAAACATGTCTAGAAAACCCAGCCAGTATTCATTTTCTGATATCAAAGTGGCAAATTGAAACATCCATGCCCATGACTAGCTACCAACATCAGTACAGTGGGTAAACTTCAAGGAGAATATGCATTAAGCACATCTGTACATAATAGTTCTGGTTTTAAATTGGTTCATTCTAGTGCACGCTTGATAACAACTCTAAGAGAGGAGCTATGTCTTATGTTTCTGGGATGCTCAGCAGAGGACACTGAACACACATGGGGTCCTTGCCTGCAGTTACTGTTCCGGTGTTTATCACTGAGTGCTTCCATGTGTGCCATAGCACGCTGGTGAGTGAGAAAAGAAAACAGTACAGCCCGGGGTAAGATGTCTCTTTACAGAAAGGCAAGAGAGGGATGCAGCTCTTGGCAGCAGTTGTTTTCACCAGTCTTCAGAGCTTTACTGGCTCTAGTAGGTTAAGAAGCAGGGAAAGTGGAAGATGTTAAGTGATTATGTTGGCTGCCATTCACAGAGACCAATTACCATTTCAAAAGCAACTTTTTGGCCTGAAACTGTTTATACTGAAAACAGATTGTCCTGGTTTAACCCCAGCTAGCAGTTGCTATCTCACACCCTGCCCAGGTGGGATGGGGAGGAGAATCAGAAAAAAAAGTAAAACCTGTGGGTTGAGATGGGAACAGTTTAATAATTGAAATAATGACAAGGAGACAGCAAAGGCACAGAAAACCCAAGGAACACAAGTGATACACAGTACAATTGCTCACCACCTGCTGACCAATGCACAGCCAGTCCCCAAAGAGTGATCAGTACCTCCCAGCCAACTGCTCCCAGTTTCTATAGGGAGCATGGCAACCTATGTACAGAATACTTACTTGGCTCATTCTGGCCAGCTGCCCTGGCTGTGCATCCTCCTGGCTTCTTGTGTTCCTCCTCACTGACAGAACATGAGAGACTGAAAAGTCCTTGATCAGGGTAAGCACTATTCAGCAACAACTAAAACATCACTATGTTATCAACATTATTTTCATTGTAAAGCCAAAACACAGAACTGTACTACTTACTAGGAAGAAAATGAACAGGACACAGATGAACACTAAAATCCAGCTAGTGTTAGAATTTCAAAATCCAGTAGGACTCTAGACAGGCATTTTATTTGCTTATTACTGCTGTGATAAAAATTGTGGGGTATTCAACCATAATATTAAGGTTTATTTTAACATCGATTCATTGTATAATCAACAGATTTTAAGCTAACATCAAATTATATCATTACATTTACTGCATTACTTTCGAAAGAAGAGAGCCTGCATTCCAGGAGATCCACATCAGTTTGCATAAAAATAAACGCCAAGGTTTCAACTCTTAATTTCTGCCTTTTTTTTTTTAATACTACATTCAGTTAGGTATATTAATTTCCAAATGGAATTCTTTTGCAGAGGGCTATGCCCTAGTATCCTAAAGATACTACGTGGCATTTACCGGTGAAGCTATCACAGCAGTTGGAGTATCTGTTGAGAGCACACCTTGTGTAAAAGCTGTAAGTTCAGACCTTAACCCATTGCCATTGACTGCTCCATAAACGCATTCAGCACAGCACTGCTGGGCTTTTTACATCCAGAACAGATAAAACACAGGCAAAAAATTCTTGATCTCACTGAACAGAGGAATAATCAACAGAAATTAATGATAAATGTGCTGGTTGATAAGCCCTTTAAAATAGGTACAAGTCTCTTCAATAAAAGTAAAATTTAAAAAGAGAGTAGTATGCTCAGATCAACACCCCACCCCCACCTGACTGTGTTTTAAAGGTCCTGCCAAACACTTATGTATTATTTTCTTAATCCTGAAGACAGAAAGTAGGATTTTCTGGTAACTAGGTAGCATAACCATTACAACAAAGGACTCAATACACACTGGAAACTTTGAGGCTTTATAATTCATTGGTATATATATTTACTGTACAAAAGGTTAAAAAAAAATAACCTTACAAGTAAAAATAGTCTACACCTGAAACTATAGTTTTACCAGCAGGCATGGAAAAATGAGTATTTGTAAGTCACTCTATCCACAAATTTTGCAGTGTTTTGATTAACATCAACCTTATTAAATAGGAGGAAACACAGGCAAATATCTATTAAGTGACTTGTCTGAAGTCACCATGAGTCAGTGGCTGAAATAAGAATGCAGACCTGCTTTCCTCTTCCTGTGTCCTAATCACTGATCCAGCATGAAGTCAGGCTCCACACCACAGATCTTCACTGGGTATAAGCTGTAGTAATTAACAGCAGCTGAAGAGTGCAAGAGAGATGGAGATCCCACAGGTGGGTAACTGAAGTTTATGAAGGGCTGTCCTTTTGGTCTAACATTCACACTACCAAGCAGGATGTTCTGTAACTGGTATAACCAACTGACCAGTAAGCTCACTAAGTGTTACACTGATCCCAGCTCACAAAAGCCAGTCTGGAATACTAGTGCCCTTGTTCTTTCCTGTAGGCTATCAATTGTGGCTGAACTACACATCCCATGACTTGGTCCCCTCTCTCTTCCAGCAGCAAGAGTAGGTATTAACAATTAGAATCAGTTCAGATTCCTTGTTTCTATAAACATCTGTTACTCTTGTATCAGAACTACATCACTATTTGAAAAAGGTACATTAATAATGAACAACTGGCAGAGATTATCCTTTTAGCTTGAATACTAAAATACTGCATTTTACACAATTACCAATTTTTTTTCTTCCTTACTCTATCACTAAGTGTTCTACAGACAACAGTTTAGTTACAGCTGTGTTAGCATCATATGGCTCTTATCAATTCACATTTATAATAGAAGGATTTATCTGTAATAAACATTTCTGAATATTCTGTAAATTAAAATCCTGGGTTACAAGAACAACCTACCTTTAATCACTTTGTTATCTCTAAGTTCAGTTAAATCACATTATTGCAAACCATTTGAAGTGTGCAAATTCTAACAGTTACTTCTGCAAGAGATTTTATGCAGAAATAAACAAAGCCTTCACTGGTTGAAAAATCAATCTCAGCAAAAGCTTACAGGGGGGGGGGAACAACACACTTCCCCCCCCAAAAAAAAACCAACCAAACAAAAAAACAAAACAAAACAAAACACACCCAAAAGAAACCCTGCTAATTTTCAGAAGTGAAGGAAAATTAAAACTGGCAAAATTATTTGTCTCCATTTGTAAGAGAGGACTTTTTGTCACATTCTTGTTTCGCTGGCTGGCTGAAGGAAGCAGCGAAGACTTCCTGACAGAGAACATCATGCTGTGAGTTTTAAAGTTTTGCTACAGATTCAGTGTAGCAAAGCAAGTCTAGAAACACAGCAGTGACATGTAGAAATTAAAAAAATAAATGCCATGCTGCAGCATCTCTTCAGGACCGAGTTCACATTTCTATATGTAGATTCATTTTTAGATAAAACAAGTCACTAAACTTACTTGCAGTGAAACCCATTACAACTATCTGGATTACTGCTGCCTAAATGTGATCTGCAGATTCTGGTCTATCTATCATCATATGATATCTCACAAACAGTTCCTTAAAACTCTCTCATGCATAAACATAAGCAACAAAATGAGAAAAGAACAAAATGGAGAAAAATGAAAACAAACCTAAATTCAAAGTTAGGCTTAATTTTTATTTGGCAGTAAATAAAAAAATCACTATGGCAATATTCTACATGATGATCACTCATTTTTTTGTCAGATCGCCATTGGATTACAATGAAAACTGAAAAGTATTACAGTATGCTTTTAACATGTAGACCATCCAGAGACATTAGTTTTACAATTTTTGTCTGCATTGCAGGCAAGACTACACAGTTACAGCATCAGATTAGAGAATTGCCTACGACATATATTGATTAAAAAATGAGATTTCATGTTAAGTATAAGGATCCATTTGCACAGATGTAACTACAAGTTTGGGATCACTGTAGCATCTGTGGGCATTCCTTTCTGCAGTATCAATTATACTATTGTCTTAAATTAGTATATCAAAAGTTCATATGACAAGCAGAACTTAACTAAAAATGTGAAAATATTTTGCAACAATTAAAACACTTTTTCTTTCCCTTTTCCTCTTAGGTGCTTTTCAAAAGAAGTTACATTTATAGCAAATGATCAGAATACTGTGTCTGAGAAATATTTTCTTTGCATATCCTACCAACAACCTACTAGTTTTCCCTGTTGCAACACTGCAGATACAAAATATACTAAGTAATATACTAAGTAATATACTAAAATATAAACAATATGGGAAAAGTAATAAGGATTTTGAAGTCAGTATTTTGGCACCTTAAGTACCCTTTAAGTATTAAAATAAGATTACCATTTTTCTATGCCACTTTATGTTTGAAGATAAAGTGATTTTTAGAAAGCAAATGTTCCAAGTGATTACTGCCGCAAATGCTAATATGTACTTGAAAAATGCTTTGTATCAGATATTTCAAGGTATATTTTTGAAATGAAAATTTTCACTACTCATTGAGGTAAATAGGAAAAAAGATGCACCGAAAACTTAAGAGAGATCCTGGGCTAAGGAACAATCCCAAATTCCCTATTCAGGCAAAAATGTAAGGCACAAACAGGAATTTTTCTAGAGAAATGGATTCATAAAAAAATTGTCACCTTTCAGATTTTCTTGAAATCAATGCTGTCACTTCTCAGGCAAAAAAAAAAGCAGCTGTGAATGAAAAAACAGGCAGAAGACCCCTGCTGTGTGTAACTTACAGTCCTAACTAACCTCTCCCATACCGTATGAGTTCCACATCTTCCAGTGTAATGCCTTTTCACAGACAAACATAAACACTGAACAACAATCACATAGGTCCACAAGTTATTTATACGATTACAGTACAGTGTATCCAAGTTTCAGTAAAGTCACCATAATATACTGTCAAACTATGCAGGAAGTGCTGAGGAAACCAATTCCCCAATCTACTACACAAAACAGTTTGCTCAAAATATGAAGAAATCTCCTCCTGAAAGAAAATCAGCAAAGTAGAAAAAATAAAATGCAGCTTCCTTGAACTTCATTTTGTTTCTGCCTCTTCATCCATGAATTCAACTAATGGAGCATGTCTGTTGGCCTGGGCACCTTCTTGGAAATTAACCTTTTTTACCACTCCTGCCTTTGGAGCCCTTATGGTATGCTGCATAGAAACAGATCAGTAGTGAACAAGCGGAGTACTTTGCACCTCACCCCCCAGCAAATGCTAATATTACTCTTTGGTGCAATTAAAGCAGAACACAATTACTTCATCTGACATGTATATTTATTTTAAATTGTTGTTGTTGTTTGGTTGGGTTGTTTGTTTTTTTTTAAAAAAGGTTATCCTAGTCCTTTTTCAAGTTTTATTTTCTCATCAATATTTATTTTGATATTGATACTGAAGATTAAAATACTATATGTTGTTATATTTTGAAGCATGAACAGCTGAATGTTATTTACTTCTGTAGCATTTTTTGTTATTATAATAAATGCCAAGCAGAGGTAATTCAGTTTTAATCCAAAATGTTAATGATATGGCAGATTTGTTCCCTTAAGTGGTATCTACAGATTACTAAAGATATTTTTGTTTGCTGGCCAGGAAGGCTCTTAACTGAACAGATATTTGGCTAAATCCAGATGAAATACAAATACAACTACTAGTGACAGTAATGAAATAGTATGTTTACATACAATAACAAATAGACCAATTTGGGGATTGGTATCAGGTTAGTTTTCCACTGAAGTTTTGTTTCTTGGTAGTTCTCTACATAGGGTTAGTCTAATATCAAATATAAAATAATAGATATTAAGTCTAATATCAAATATTAAATATTAGATATTAAATCCTCACATCTAAGCAAGTATTAATTTAAGTAACTGTTTATTCAATTTAACATCTTTTATTTCAATACCATTAAAAAAAAAAAGGCAACTCAGATAATGTCTGTCTAAGGTATCATCTGGAGAGGCACAAAAATTTAGCATCCAATTGCAAATAATTTCAGGTGTAATTTTTTTTTAGTGCACAGTTACATTTCATGCCATTTTAGTGTCATTTATAAAAGGACATGGTAAGGGAAAGGCAATTTTTCTCAACAACATTAATTCTGCTATCACAAACTGAAATTTAAAATAAACTAATAGCTTAACCAAACCAGTACAGGGTGCAAAAACTACAGTTCAAACAATCTGAGCCAGAGTCAAGCAATGTGACAATATACAGTGGCCAAAATGCTAGTCCACTGAATGTCACATGGACAATTAGAAAGGATCTTTAGTCTACTCTTGATAAAACTTTATGTAAACAACAATAAAAATATTATTAAAAAAAAATTCCTATGCATATTTACAAGGTCACTTTTAGATAAATTTCTGTATAAAGTAGCTGCAGACATTACATTTGCTTATATCACACAAACAGTGAGCAAGAGATACACCCAGACAATTTTCTGCAAGGGAAGTGAAAGGAGGGAAGGGGAGAGAAGGACTGAGAAAGCTAACCAAATGAACATCAAAACATCTGCAGAGTACCATGGATTATATAATCATCATTTGTTAATAACAGCAAATATAATCCTCTAAAATCTAGTCAGACAATGCTTGCTTTACAGCACATGAAGTGATACCGACATCTGCGAGCTACTGCACCATACTTCAATAACGCTACCAAAAATGACTAAATTATGACCAGAATTTTATTTTCTCAGTAATTAGAACCTTTTACATCTCACCTACCTCCATTTTCATAGCTATCATAACCATCAGAGGGTCTCCAGTCTGAACCTTATCCCCTGCTTTCACAAACACCTATAGTTCCAGAGAAAATTGAGAAGAAATCATGCATATCTGTACCATTAAACATCAGCAGCTGACTTTGCCTAGCACAGTCTACTGAGTGACCCTGGTTTTGCAAAACAGCCTCATATCTTTATTACTGTTATGTTGGGTATCGAAGTTCTCTAGATAATACTCAAGGGAAGTCAGAAGCTATAGATATAGGTTCAGTAACAGCCAACAGGATGACCAGGAAGCAATTTATGTATCAAAGAAAAAACACTAAATAAGACAATGCACATTCCACCCTTTTTGGGTTTATGAGCATCTATTTTGAGGGAGAAAGTGCAGAACCTTTTCCTGGAGTCCCTAAAGTCTTGAAAAGAAAATCCATACAGAAGATTGCAGGATCCACCTAGTTTTTCTGCAGTAACTGATTTATACGTAAGAGACCCATGTTCAGTGTACTCCACCCTCTGAAAGGGTTCATGTCTTTTTGTTGTTTATGCCTTTTTATCACTAGCAGAATTCTTTTAACTGCTAAACTCTCCTGGAAATGTTTTTTTTTTCTGTTGAAACTTTGTCAATGTACAGAGAAATACACAAGACTTCCTATGCTAAAGAAACAAAAACATAAACAGAAGCAGCAAAACACATAGATTAGCAAAAAAGGCATTTCTAGTTCTCTTTTTTGCAAGTACATCTAGCAGCTCACTCTTTTGGTTAGATATAATGGATCACACTGCAACACTGTAACTGAACAAAACCTGTAACATTTCAGGGAACTTTGCCTTAAAAAGAAATTGAGATGAAGAAGAAATAATTTAAGCAGTAGGGTAAGTTAAATATTCAGATTTTCCAGAGCTCTAGGAAAAAAAACAACTAGAAGACTGAAAAACTCTTGGGTGGCTACTGAAAACTCAGAGTAAACAGGGCATTTTCCAATTGGAAGAAGTTACATAGCACTGACATTTCTGATCCCGATTCTTTCTTTCCTGGCAGTACAGAAGCAAACACCATTTCTGGAAGAGCAAACTTGTACATATATTGGAGAATTCATGTCCTACCCATATTATTAAAATTACCTTTTCAACTGTGCCTGTCATGGGTGCTACAGCACCACTTTGCATTCCCACTGAAGTCACGGCAGATAAGTACTTGGGTACAGGAAGGCCAATCTGAACACTACCTTCCTACAGAAATAAAATCAATGACATATGAGTTAACAACATAAAATAATACTACTAGTGCAATATGCTAACATACAGTGAAAGAACAGATCCAGCTTCAGGGAAATGAGTCAACTGTTCAGGGTGGAAGAGGTGTGGGGTCAGAGCAGCAAAAGCACTGTTGGTATGCTTACTACTTCACCAGTATCCAAGTCCTCAAAAGCCATGGTGGCAGCTGCCAAGGATCGGTAAGGAAGGAACTACCCCTGGGAAAAAGAGGTTCCACGTGGAGCTATGTACCAAAGCCACACCTTCCCTATTCATGCAGCAACAGCACAGAAGGTTTTAGAAAATGTGCAAAGGCAGGTTGATGCAAGAAAGACAGACATTGGCATCTTCATTGCCATGCATTATCAATGAGTGTTTCACAATTTACAATGAAGTGGATTCAGTGCCGAGTTTACTGAGAAATTCTCACCATTATTTAGAATTCCCCAGTTCCTCTCAGACTTGCTACCCAGAGTTTCCCAATGACTCATTCTCCCACACATCCTACCCATACCCTAAAACTCCTGTGATTTCTTCTAGATGCCCCCATCCTAGACTCCACTCTGATACTATGGGAAAACTGAGCTTTGCCATTCCAGCATGAATTATTTTGTTCTCATCAGTGGAGTAGCGAAGTTCTCAATGCAGTCTGCTGGAAGTCTCAGAGCTAGAGGTTAATTACTGAAATGAATACATAATAATTTACATATTTAAATTACATTTGTATTGAGATACATTAAGGGCCTGTCAGCTTTTTAACTAAAAATAAAAAATTACAAGCCTGATAATGCAAATTGGGGCACCTCTTCTTTCAAATGTCATTATTCATGCAATACAAATAAGGCTATGGTAACTCATAATTCAAATTTTTTAATATTAGCTGAAGTTACCCTTCCTCAGACCAATATACTTTTTTTATTATCATTTTAGAAATGTAACCAAAGTATCAGTTACAAGCACATCCAAATAATTATCCATTTAAAGTAACTGCTACTGTTCATAAATCTAACAAACTTAGAAACTTAAACATTTTGATATTGTGCTTTCCCCTCCCAGACCATTACTTGTAATTCTCATGCAACTAATTACATTTTATCTTTCTAAATTTCATTGATTTTTTTACTCACTGACCATAAGCAGCTAACTTCTAACTATAGCTATAAGCACAATACGTATCAAAACATTATGGGCCAACATAAGAACTTGAAGTTATGATTCTCTTTCACATTCTCTTGCAGTTTATATTGTTCATTTACATGGATAAAGCTCTGAAATTTTATACTTGAATAATAAAGAAAGGAACTTTACCGGAAAGAAGAGATAAATTGTGTTGTCCAAAATGACCAATTTGGACTTACACACTGTTCCATTTACTGAAGACCTCAAGTAAACCGAATCATCTTCATTGAAGATCTCTCCAGAAATCAAGAAAGTTTCATCTTGAATCTGGAAGTAAAATACTTTTATAAGGACAAAAGCTAACCCTTCATGAACAATAAACCAAAAGCTAGTATTTGTAGTATACACTCGTAACATGCGATTCTTCATAGATTTTAAAGATTTGATTTTTTTCCAAATTCCGGAATTATCTTACATATCCTTTATTTTTCTGTTAACAGTCTGTATTCCATAACCAATGCAATCAGCTCTGAAGATCAACTAACATGCTCTCCCATGACATTTTTTTATCATAAACTATGCAATAGTTCAAATATGAATAGCATTCAAAACACAAAGGTATACTACCTCTCAGGAAAAACAACAGCAAAAATCAAAGTGTTTTGTTTAGCAATATTTTTAATTTGTTCTAGCATATTGACTTCTACCAAGTTGAAAAATCCATACTATTCAGATGACATAATAAGATTACACAATGCTTTCCAAAAGATGAGCAACTTCCTCAGTCTTGGAAGCTTATGATACAGAAACTACAACATATTCAGTAAGCCTACAAAAGGAGTAGTGGAGAGCAGTAATGGAAACAGTGTCAATTAGAAACCAAAACTGCAAAAGAAATACCAAATGGAAAGGCTATTTATTTGTAGGAAACCTTTTCATCTACATCAATGGAAATTGCACCTCTGCAACAACTTCAGAATACAAAGACAGTAAGAATATGAACTTAAGTGCATTACATTTAACTGATATTTTTATTTCTAACATCACTGAGCAAAGAATCAAGAGACTTGCTGATCTTTCAGGATGTTACAAGTTGAGATAAAATTCAGTCTTCATTTATATAGTCCCACACTATTTTTCCACTGAACGGAGACTTTAACATGCATCAAAAGGATACTGTTCATCTGATATTGATCCCTGAGGAAAAAAAAATAAATTTCTTGATCAGCATCCTGAGCAGGGGTGCAAATCGGGGCAACACCCTGGTCAGCACTGTGAGGGCTTGTCAGTTCCATAGCCCAGCAACCTGCTCTAGTTGCTTGGTCTCCAGGAAGGTTTTATAGCCCTCCAAAGGCACTGTCCTCCTCATTATCAGCTCCCAATTCTGTTTCTCCATCCCTTGTCTCCAGCTTTTCTCCATTTCCATCTCAACACCCATTCTCCTTTCTTCCCTGCAGGTCTACATTCTCAGCTGTTGCCCTTGCCCTTCCCCTCCCCGAAAGGCCTCGCTTCATTTCACTTCCAGCCTCTTTTTACTTTTCACTGACATTACTTATGTAATGTGTAAAAGCTCTCCTGCATTATGTATGTAATCTATAACACTCAAAATCATGTGGGTATTACTTGATGGATGTGGGTTATCTCATATCAGTAGAAATAAGCGTTGGAGTTACCTGACATGGGGTTATACACATGAAAGCACAATAGTTTTCTCACTATTTTTCTCATATGCTTTTCTCTATATAGTCTAAGCAGTTCATAAATACTGCCTTATTCTCTTAATTCCCCTTTTCTGAATATTGGAAACAAGAAGCTGATCTACAGAGAGACTACATTCTTAAGCATACACTCATTCTGGGTGCCAAATATAAGAGAAAACCCATTTACCTCCAGGTGATGCAAGAAGGATATTCCACACTCAGCAAAAACACAGCCCCCATAAGCCACACAACTGGAGACTATCATACATGCACATACACAAGTATCTATGTTTAAAGCATCTTAAGTGGTATCCTATAGGATCTCTAATAACATAGAGAAAGAAGCCAATTCTATGTGGCATCATTCAATCATATAACCAGATTTACTAGTCTCATTCCTAATCTTGTTTGGTAATTACTTTCCAATTTCCAACTTCAAAAAAAAAAAAAAGTTATCTTACAGGTAATGCTCTAGAAAGCTTTTATTTATCCCTCAGGAGATCCATTTCATGCACAGAATAAAGCAGTAGTCCCATGGAAAAAAAAAAAAAAAACCCAACCTTTTTAAATGCAGATTTAAACATCTCAATGTTTTAGAAAGACAAATTTAAGGAAGAGGAAAACAAAGCCTGATCTTTAAACACTGGAAAACCAAATGCTTTTCTTAGCCTTATTTTCAGAAGTATTTTAGTACCTCTTCCATGCCAATCCTGCATCTAGCAAAGATAATTTCAGGCCAAAATAATACAACTGCAACACCAGCTGCAAGCAAACCAAGAACAGAGTCCTGTATCAGTAATTACCAAGGAACTTCGGTAATGGTTAATACCAAGAGAATTTTACAAGAAACTTTCTTCTTTTACCTAAGGAAATATCTGGGAAACAAAAAAAAAAAATATGGCCTTGTACCTGCATGTTGTATGACCCTTCTTGATTGTAAGTTACAGCTACTTCCACAGCTGTTCAATTAAAAGAAAAAAAAAAAGGTGCATGTGAGTAGATTTAATTATAGGATCTAGAGAATAACAACATATACACAATATTTAGTGCATCTTTCTTGATAAAAAGAGAGACCTACCAATACTAAGAACAAGTATTTTCAGATTAGCTTTGTACACACTGAATTCTAGACAATTTGTTTTTCAAAGATGAACACCTGAAGTCATGCTCTGAAATCTGTATTAAGTTACCTGGACAGAAAGCAGGTTTTGATGGGAGAAAATGCTGAGCACTTTCATACCAAAATGAAGTAAAAAAAAAAAAGTCAACCTCATCCTTATTCCTTTAAGTGATAAACATTAGTTGTGTTGTTTTAATTTGGTTTGCATTTCCTCAAGAAATTTCCTCAAGTAGATTAAGCATTAAGTTCTGTGAATTCCCAGCTGAAACTGCTTAAAACTCATACTGCTTCTATTTGCTGTTGGTTAGCCTGAATTCTCAAGCACCAGTTGAAATAATTCTATCCATCAAGTACCTCCTCTCCCTCCACACATTTTATTAACTTACTGTTTTCCCCATCCAGCAGAGACAGCTTTCTAGTATGACATATATTTAGTCTCCTACCAGTGCTGGATGCAAACGGTGAGAATTTATCTAAAACACAAAATACATACATATTTTACTTCAATTGTACTTTAGCAATTTACACCACAAAAAAAAAAATCACTGTCCTACTATTTCTACCATCTTACTTACATATTTATATTGCACATTAAAGATTGAGGAACCACTGTAATAGTAACAGTCCCTCACTAAAGCTTCAACAGTGAATAAACTGATGCTGTGTAACCTACAGAAAACATGACACTAACAGCACTTACTAAGAAAGACATTGACTGTTCTCCATGAAGAGATCCTTGAACAGGAAAGCAACATGGGAATTCAACTGCAACACAGCTGGTTCAGATTAACCTTTAGGTGAAGGTTCCAACTGTAAGAGCAGTCAAACATGGCAGCAAATTGCCTGGGAAGATGGAGGTGTTTTTGAGGATGGATCAGATATACAGCTATCAGATATTGCTCGATTCGTTCATCATCTCTTAAAGCAACAGTGCATGTGAATCTTTCCAATCCCATTCTCCCATGTTTCCAGGATAGTTAAAGTGGAGAAGAAAATTAACAAGGGTGTTGGCAGCATGTCTTAGATTTCTATGAAGTCTTTTTTAACAGCAATCACATGCCCAACTGGTATAGCCATTAACAGTGTCAGAACTCAAGAATGTCCAGCTCATTCAATTAAACCCTATTGCCTCTCCCAGTTCTAGCAAGGTCAATTTTATCTCTGAAGACCTTGGGCCAACTGTAAGAATAACAGTGACAGATACTCACTGTTTATGCTTGTAAAGAACAAAGAGTACACAGTGACACTAATTATGCATACCAAGGTCTTTCAGATAGCGCCTATCTGAAGTGCTGTCAGAAGGAGTCTGTACAGTACAGTGCTGATATATTCAATACCTGTCCCTTAACAAGAGTTATAGTTTGCTGTCTGGGTAAATATCTGACAGACGCCAGAATGCAGAATTTTGAGCAGCACAAAGTAAGGAGCACACAAATTAAATATTGCACATGAGCTCACAGCATTGTCTCATCCAGTCACAGGTAAAATAAAACAAAAGAATGATCCTTACCATCTGACTGATCTCTAAAAGCTTCAGTTAGCATTTTCTCTTTCAGTATGAGTCCTAGAGCTGCCTGACACATAACTTCATGTGGGGTTGCCTTTTTGGTTGGAAATAGTTCATGATGGTGTTGAGGAATGAAATTAGTGTGCACATTTCCAGCCTCAAACTGTGGGTGTCCTGACAGACTCAGTAAAAAGTCAATATTAGTGCTTAATCCTACAATCTGTAAAGAAAAAGAAACATATTGCCAAATTGAACTGAAGCTATGAATGAGTATATAGATTTCTAGTTAACTTACGAGTAGATAAAAGATTGATCTTTCTTCAGATAGCACTAGCAAAATACAAAGTCTGTCAATAAAATGTAATGAATTCAACTGGTCTGTTTTATTACCAATGAAAACATTGCTTTTAAAAAGAAAAACGAAAATTAAAAAAAAACACAACAAAAAACCCAATATGAATACTTTTTCAAAAGCACTATTTTTAAAATGCTACCTTCGTCCACTGTGAAGTCAAAGAAAGTTTTCTAGCAATGATAATGGGAGGTTATTCAGAGAAGGAACACCCCCCCGCAAAAAAAAAAAAAAAAAAAAAAACACAACACAAAAACTACAGAAAACCCACCCAAATCCCACCCAACTGCTTCAGAAAATCATGCTCTGAGTATTTAAAATAAGATCATTAGTATGAAAAGTGCTTCTTACTAAAAATAAGTTAAAATAGTTTCAAATATTCCTTATTTGATCTTTAAAGAGTAAGAAATGGGAACAGTGACTTTTACTAGATACTACTCATTTCCTGTACTGCAAAATTACCATCCAACCAACATGAAATTAGAAATATTTTAGAGAAATCAGTGAAACTTGTAGGTGTATTGTGCTGTAACATTTATTGACAGAACTACTAAGAAAATTCAGGGGAGGGGAAACCCACAAAAGACCCAATAGATTCCCCCCCCATCTCTTCATTTGCAGTAATGTTTTAGCTAAAACAATAGTGTGCCAAACATTTTCAGTACCTCAACCATGTTTGTTTTTCATTTAAAAGTATGAATTAATTCTGCACAAATAATATTCAGTCTCACCTCAAGTCAAACCTCCCGAATTCCTCTTTTGAAAAGAGATACACACCTGTAGTTTTTATAGGGGAAAAAGGGACCACTTCTTAAAAAGAACTAACAGCATTAAAAATTCTCCGTATTTCTTTACCACATGTGTCATTTAAATCTTACGGGTTTTTATAACTTAGAAGTTACAAGCAAACATCATCTGATACACATTCTACCTACAAGTTCCTTTAGGTTTCAGAAAGGTCACACCACAATTGAAAGTGTTATTATTCAGCCTTACTCTTCTATAAAGTCCCAGCTGCATCACCCAGCTGAAGATACTGCAAACTTAAGAGAAATCTATGCTTAAAACCAGACTTCACAGTTATCTTTACTCCCTCCACCAACTGCAAATTAGATAAAAATACAGCTTCTCCAAGGAAATACTAAATCTTAACTGCTAGTGGCAAAGCAGGCTCCCTCTTAGCAACCACTTTTGGTTTACTGTAGTATTTTATCCATATTTTGTTTGCCTGATATCTTCACAAATTTGGCTCAATATCTGAAATCATACTGGGTTCCTTCTACTTACATTATATTGATGCAAACTGTATCGCAACTTTCTCAGTGCTGCTTGACGATCCTCAGCCCAAACAACTAGCTTTGCAATCATTGGATCATAATGAACAGAAACTTCATCACCTAAAATATATTTAAAGTATGCTGTAAGACTAACCCAAGTATTTCTGAAAGTTGGTAATGCATAGTACTGCACACCATATGGCATTAAACTCTGACACAATTGATGGCCACATTTCTGTGTCCTTAAAGAATATTAATCTTTAATGATGTGACCTGGCATTTCAGTTCCAAGGACAACTTCAGTACAGACTTTTCAAGAGGTAACATTACTCAAATTCAGTTTTCACTGTTGCAGTCAGAATGCAGGATTGATAAATTGTGATGAGTATACAATCAGCGTGATCCAATGGACAATAATTTGGATACAGATAAGTAAGTAAAGAGGTAAATAAAATATTCAGTGACTGACCAAAAGTAAATGGTCAATGATAAGGAAGAATAATTCTGTAGAGATTTGTCTTTATAACAACACCCTGACAGACAAACTTATTTAGGCCAAAGAGGGAAATGCTGACAAAGCAAAGCTTTTGATGTAAAGCACTTCTGCCTTGGTTTTACCTTGTCTGACTCCAGTTTCTATCCTGGTGAAACTATCTGGTGGTGGGGTGGATAAGTGCAGCAATGGCCCAGCCCCTGGCATAAAGTTATTCTTAGGGTCTTCAGCATATATTCTAGCTTCAAACGCATGGCCCCGGAGCAGAATCTCTTCCTGCATTAGGGGAATCTTCTCTCCTGCTGCTACCTGAAAACAATATATTTTTTCTTTAATGTGGGATCAATATTCTGGAGTGCCAGTGTACTAAATAGTAAGTATCTTTCTTCTAAATATGAATGCGTAGAAAACACATTCAAAATGCACAAGGAGAAAAAAGTGGTACATCATAAAAAGGTAGTTCTGAAGTTACTTCTTGCTTTTGCCTGGGGGTCACCAATCAAAGGATTTTGAATTATTATTGTGTAATTTGACCTCCTAGTATTTCACAGATCCAAAACACGACAGAAAAATAGTGGAATTTTTTTTCCTACTAGTTATGTCAAAAGATAATTAAATGTTTAAGTTAAAGCCTGGTCAACTAAGACAATATTTTATTAGAGAAAAATTGCTCCAAGAGCAGATGATAAAATGGATTACTGGCAGCCAGCACTACTAGCATACACTGTTGATTCTTCTGTATACTGTCAGACCTGCACATTTCAGGGAATGTTTCTTTAAAGGGATTACTAACAATTTAAGACCCTTTAATGGGGCAGGAAGCATCATTTTATTACTCAAAGGAATTCACATTACAAATATAAGAATACCAACAAACACCAGCAAACACCAGTTTGAAAAAACAGGGTTTTTAGGGACAAAATAATAACAAGAAGTCTGCTGCAATTAAGCACAGAGGAGACTTTACCAGGAAGCTACACAGTTTTCATCCACATGGGAAAATACAATTTTCTATTGAAAAAACAGCAACAATTCATCTTTTAAGTGTCAGGGGTTTTCCATACCTTGCCTTCTGCCACCAAACTATGGATTTCAGCATAGACAGCAGAATATAACTTAGTCTTCAAAGAAAAAGTAATACTATACAGATTCACAAAAATAATCTCTCCAAGCACTGGTAGACATTTTTCGTCTATTGACTCATTAAGCCACATGCCAACAGCACCGTATCTTTCCACCTTATCTCTTTCCTCAAGTATTGTTTGATCCCTGTTCCAACTCAGCACTCAAAGCTCAGTTTCCATTTCCACATCAGGAATCCAGAAGTTCCTCTTTTTTGCAAAAGCATTTGCCATTTTAGTTTTCTGTCTGGTTACAGAGACCTCCCTGCCACCTACTTAAGCTCAATGGGTGCTGCTGTCCTCACTTTTTGATTTATCTAACAAAAATTGTTTTTCATTTCCAGTTCCCTAAGGTCCAAAATTTCCTGTTATCATTTGAATGCATGAGTAATCCCTCTACAAATTGGGTGTGTGAGGAAATAGCCTGCTTCCAGTCCACACAACTATACATTTATTCTAGAATGTGACTATACTGGTATAACATCAGACACATGTTTTTCTTAAGATTTTTTTTTTCTCCTACAGCCTGATCCAAGAATTTTTGGGCCAGAGATACACTTCAACTAGAGTTTCCAAAAAAAATCAGCATGGCAAGGGAAAGATCAGGACCCTAGTTCCTCCTACTTTCTGCATTCTCTATAATCTCTTTAAATATAATTTTTTTAAATGCTTTTTATTTACACAACTGGAAGAATTTGCTGGAATTCTGAGCATCTATACAATGCTCTACAAATACAGTAATACAAGATGCTCCTTTAGAGCAAAGGAAACTCTACCCTATTAGCTGAATAAGAGATGTGGATCTGAAAACTTATCTGGTCTCTCACAGGCAATATCAAGGAGCACTATTCACCAGATAAGAGGAATCTACATAGAAAATCAAGGAGCACTATTCACCAGATAAGAGGAATCTACATAGAAAATCAATTAACACTCACCCTAAGCTGCCATTCAACCAAGTCTGTTCCAGTGATCATCTCTGTAACTGGGTGCTCTACTTGCAGTCTGGTATTCATCTCCATGAAGTAAAAATTATGTTGGGAGTCCATAATAAATTCCACTGTTCCTGAAGTAATAAAAGGGTACTTTAAACCAAGACTTCTTCAGAATGGATACTTAACACACCTAATTTATGTCAGGACAAGACTATTATTTCAAAATCAGATACCGTGAGTTTCATTAAATTCTATATAAGTTATCTTAAAGGGTAACACAATTGAAATTTGAAAACAGAAGTGTTGTTTCCTTGCACATTTACACATCCTGTGCTTAACCAGTTCAAACTTGAAGAGGGGAAGTTCAGATTAGACACAAGGAAGAAGTTCTTTATTCTGAGGGTGGTGAGGCACTGGAACAGGTTGCCCAAAGCAGTGATAAATGCTCCATCCCTGGCAGTGTTCAAGGCCAGGTTGGATGGAGCCTTGGATGACATGGTCTAGGGTAAGGTGCCCCTGCCCATGACAGCAGGGCTGGAACTAGATGATCTTACGGTCCCTTCCAATCCTAACTATTCTATGATTCTCTTCTACAATAAAAGATGCATTTCATTACGAGCTGTAAAAAGTGCATCAAAACTCTTTAACTTACTGTGTTTATGTGTAAGACATGCAATTATAAATAAAATAAAATTCCAAGGAAATAAGTGAGAAAAATTCACAAATAATTTTAGCAGGTTATTTTTTATTTGGGAAATAGTGTGAACTTCACAGACAGTGAGCCATTTTTCTCTTAAAGGCTTTACTGTTTGAATATAAAGTATTTTTCTTTGTTGTTGGAGAGTGAGCATTATGAATGTTAGTAAGTTTGATCAGAGCAAGGGAAAAATAATTTCTCTTTCATCAGACAATTAGCTGATTGAATTATCTGCTCTGAAATTTTTTCCTTCTATTCTTCAGCTGTTGTTAGTCTTAAGCTCAGACCAGGTGTGCAAATTTAAAGTTGTAACTGCATCAAATTTAACCATGTGATTACCTCCTTAAACTTAAAATAAATAAATAAATAAATAAAATTGTTGGATGTGTATCATACTCCAAAACAAACAGATGCTATTTGCCTTGAGTCTCATAGTCTTACCAAGTTAAAAGCATACCTCTGGAGCAGCCATACCTTTACAGACTTACCTGCTCCCACATAATTAACTGCTTTAGCTGCTTTGACAGCAGCTTCTCCAAGTCTCTTTCGAACTTCAGCATTAATTCCTGGCTGTAAACAATAATAATACAAAACGTTACAAATTATTGTGAATCTTGGTGATACTAAACCTACTATGCATGAACATTTTGCAATATTTAGTAACTGTAGTGAAATCCTTATCAATGAAATCTACATATTTTTTCCCCCAAGAATCATTTTCCTAAAGTAATTTTTTAATTTAGAACATTTTCTGCAGCAAAATTAAAACAGGTACTGAGATTTAGAAATAAATGACTACCTGCTAAATAAATTTTACGAGGGTTTGCAATTATTTAAAAAATATGTAGGTACTGTAAGAACTTTCTGCTCACCCCTGGTGCCTCTTCAATGATCTTCTGATGTCTCCTTTGCACACTGCAGTCTCTTTCAAACAAGTACACTGCGTTGCCATGCTGGTCACCAAATACTTGGACTTCAACATGCCTGTTCCATAATAATAAATGTTTCAGTGAATTTCAGTAAAGCCCCAATCCTGCAACTGACTTCACCCCAACAGACTCTGAACTTGTATATAGTCCTGTATACTTCACTAGGACTGTATAGGTTTAAGTGTCTGTCCTCAGATGACCAAAAAATATAGAAATGTGGCTGCTATTATGCAGGATTTCAATTGGTTTAGACTTCCTCAGTGTCCTAAATGAAACAGAATTCTAAATGCCAGCTACTGTTGCGAAACACCATAGGATAAACAAGCATCCTGGGATCCTGTTTTGGCTGGGATGGAGTTCATTTTCTTCCTACTAGCTGGTATAGTGCTGTGTTTTGTCTGTACTATAAGAATAATCTCCATAACACACTGATGTTTTAGTTATTGCTAAGCAGTGCTCACCCTAAGTCAAGGACTTTTCAATCTTTTGCCAAAGGGATATTCCACTCCATGGATCATCATGCTCTGTATAAAAACTGGGGGGAGTTGGCTGGGAGCCACTAATCACTGCTCAGGGACAGACTGGACATTGGTGGTGAGCTACTTTATTGTATATCACTTGTGTTTCTTGATTTTATTCCTCTCTCACTCTCTCTGTCATTACCATTGTTATTTTCATAATCTAAAATGTATTATTATATATTAAATTATATAAATTGCATAATATACAGTAACATATAACATATATTACATAATCTATAGTATATAATTATTATCTAGTATTAAATATATCATTATATTTTACTTTGTTTCATTTCAATTATTAAACTGTTCTTAGCTCAACCCATGAGTTTTACCTTTTCCTGATTCTCCTCCCCATCCCACAGTGGGGGAACAAGCAGCTGTGTGGTACTTCTTTGCTGTTTTGTTTTGATTTTTTTTTAACATGAGAAGAAATATCACAGTGTTTATACTAAAACCTCTATTTCTCACCTTGGATTATCTACAAATTTCTCAATCAGCATTGCATCATCATTGAAAGACTTCTTTGCTTCTCTCCTAGCTGATTCTAGTTGGTCCAGAAACTCCTTTTCTGAGTGAGCAATTCTCATGCCCTAAAATACAGAAAAAAGCATACCTAAATGTCTAATAATCTGGTACACAATAAAAATCCTTGTTGTACATAAAGAGCAAGAAATTTCAGAGTAAAATCAGCTTTAGACAGGGAATTCGCTATACATGGTGCCTTGACGCCAAATTCTTAACTGGTATTTCTAATCACTTCTTAGGCAACATTTAAAACTGTTAGTAAAAAAAAAAAAAAAAGTCACAGAAACCATCAAAGTAACAATTTAAAGTCATCTAATTTTACATAAATCCATCAAATAACTTTTCTGTTTATGTGAATTACCAGAGATCCCTTGAAATAAACAAAACTCTTCCAATTCATACCAGCTTCTTACCTTGTGCCTCACCACACAACAAAAGGAAGTGAGATTTCATAGTGCTAGACTGGGCATTAATAACAAATTTTAAGGAAAAGCAGTTTTCTATTTTCTTTGGGTTTAGATTTATTTTAGAATATTCTGTTACAGACACTGAGACATGATAACTTTACACCATGTGATGAACAGATTAGTTTCTTTACCTTTCCTCCACCTCCACGAACAGCTTTAATCATTACTGGATATCCTATTCTTTTGGCATGTTCCTTTAGACACTCCTCTGACTGATCTTCTCCATGATACCCTTCAACAACAGGAACGCCAGCTGCAGACATTATAGCTTTGGAAGTGCTTTGACAGAACAGTTTCATGTTTAGAATGATAATATTCTTTTTTTTCCTTGCTTTAAGCTCCAAACCCATCTATGTTTTCAGTGTTAATTCTCCTCACATAAGTAGTTCCACTGACCTCAACAGGACTACTTACACAAGCGGGTTACATACAATTGGATTGTAATTAATAAAACGCTTTAAATGTTTGTTTGGTTGCTTTTTTTTCCTGCAAGCCCTCTACACAAAAGCATGGTCAACTTCAGGCTTATGCTTTTTTCTTATCTTTGGAGCCACATCATATAGGCCAAACCTAGCACTTTCAAATTACAACAATGCATCCTGCCAAAGCTATATTTAAAGTTGTACAAATGCAAAACTCTTTTTATGATACAGGCTGGATTCATACCAGACATAAAACACCTCAGCATAACAGCTCTGGCTTCCAATATGCATGCAAAGTTAGTTAAGTTACAGAGTTAATTTACTCTCACATTAGGAAGTGACAAAAAAATTAATTATCTAAAATTAGTATTACATAGTTCATGTGTTAGTAATCACCTTATTTCCATATTCTTGAGTTATACTTCATACCCTGGAAACATTTCTTTGATTTAAGCAACTAAGAATAAGATCCTCTGTGATGAATAAAACTTATCATCCCATTTTAAATAAACAACACTAACCCCTCATGATATAGGTGTTTCCCTTCCACTGTTCTTTTGACCCGTATACAAATATCTGATCTGACTGCTGAACCCTTATCTATGTAACACTGCAATGCCCCAATTCTGGAAAACTAGCATTAGTTACATACTTAATTACCAAAATTTTACTTGCTGAACAATCTTGACTGTTTCTAAGTCTATATGAATCTACAGATCTTACAGATTTATAGATCATCTATAAACTTAGAGCTCATTCCTTTGAAGAAAGCCACAAAAGACAACAAAAACCGACAGAATAAAACAATTATGGAGCAGCTGGTCATTCCTTAACAAAATAAGCTTTGGCAAACTGTAAACTGCATAGCCATGTAAAAAGCAGAAATAGATACCTCTTAATACCCATATCCTTGATGGCAGACGAAGGTGGACCTATGAAGATGATTCCTTCTTGCTTGCACAACTCTGCAAACTCTGTGCTTTCCGACAGAAAACCATAACCTGGATGAATAGCCTACAACAGAATAATGTTACCAGCCTATTTTTATATGTTTACCTTAGAAAACCCTGAAACTTCCACAGAGTTTCACTAAGAAAACACAAGACGGAAGCACCACAGGCAAAAATAAAGAACTAAAGAGCATGGTAGTAACAGAAGATTTAAGGTCATGATCTACTTGCCTGAGCTGCTGAGGCCTTAGCTACCTGCATTATTTTTTCTGAGGCCAAGTAACTCTGCTGTGAGGGTGCTGGACCAATGCAATATGCTTCATCTGCCTGTTACAGAAAAAATTTAATACAGGCTGTTTAATAATAAGTAAATTTAACTGAATTTCTGAGTCAATTACATTGTTTATCAGATTGCTAGCATGCAACAGTTTACATCACTGCCTCTCTTCATACTCAACTGGGGGAAACAGTTTCGACTTTTTTCCCAAAACCAGAGTCCATTCTCTTAACTTCCTGACTACTACAGCATTAGAAAGCCAAACCGTAATGCACTTCCTGTAAAGCTGTCAAGTGCTGAGACAGAGACTAGACAAAATATTCAATGATTCAAGAAAAACTTGGAAGCCACTCTACAGAGGTGAAAATCAACTGCATTAGCACATAAATCTACTTGCACATTGAACTTATCAATGAGAAATAGTGTTGTTAATGAACAGTAATCAAAAATGAATATACTTCACCATTGCTACATGCATGGAATTTCTGTCTGCTTCACTATAAACTGCTACAGACTTCACACCCATTTTCTTTGCTGTTCGCATCACTCTGCAAGCAATTTCTCCTCGGTTTGCGATAAGAATCTTCCTTATGTTGTGACCTCCTGTTTGAAAAGATAAAACCATCTTAAAATTCAGATTTCTTTTTAAACATTTACAGCATTTATGCATTTCTTCCAATAATGAAAAAAAACATGCTTCACCAAAAAGCATTTCCATGCTAGTCTTCAAATTTTATCCTTAGTGTCCTTATGCAGAAGTATGCTTAATTAAACTTTTTTCCTTTTTTTTCTTTCTAGAACTAAGAAATATATTCTAAAACTAAAATCCTGAAACATAAAAGTTGATGCTTATATTTTTATTGCGTACTTTTTGGACCAACTAGGGAACAATTAACACCTGTCCTCACTGGCTCCTCACTCCCCCAGAAGTAATTCACATTTCTTTGATGAGCACAGTCACAGTCATAAACCAATAACAAGGCAGGAAGGCTTTGGGGGTTGGCTTGTTTGTTGGTTTTCTTTAGGTTTTTTTTTTTACTGACTCACTAGCTTTTATGAAGTCTCATGACAGTTACAATGGTACAGAAATATGCACAGGCATAACTAAATAGCTTAAAACTAACTAATATAATCAAAACATACCTCTGAATTCTGAAACATATCTTTTTAGACAACTTGACAACAGGGTCAGTTTAAATCACCTTGCTATATACTTCTTACTTGCCTTCATATATTATTTAAGTACCATTTTACTTAAAAACCCAATTCTCTCACACTTTACAACATTTGTATCAGAAAAGGACTCGGAGGAAAACACCACAAAAATAAATACTTTTCATTGAGTATACCTAAATATGGCAGACAAACTTAGTCAAAATGTTGTTTACACATTAAAGAATATTTCTGTTAGGTCAGCTACAGACTCCTGTTTTCAAAAGCTATACAAATATTTAATATTTATTTTTAAAGTGTACGGTTTTTCAGCAACTAATGGCCTAAATCTAATTGTAAAACCACCCACATTACACAAGCAGTTAAACCTAGTGGCTAAAGAAGTTCAACTTCATACCTATCGTTGAGGCACATTTCACAAATCTTTGTACTTGGTTCCATCGCCTGTACAATTACAAACACACAGCAGTGTTAGAAAAGTGTATGAAGAACTGGCCACCACTCTACTTTCATTTTCAGGTAAGAGAAGAACAGAATTATGATACAACTATTTACACAGAACATACTCAAGTTCAAGGAAGGTTTGTGCAAACTTCACTAGATATCTCCTTAAGTGCTTGCATTTAGACACAAAACAAATTATTCCCTTGCTTTTCTACCAGCATTCAAAGTCTCTTTTAGTGGATAGTGGTATTTATTAGAGACAGCAACTTGAAGTATTCAGGCAAGAAGACATAAACAACCACAACTTAAAAAAGCTTAAATGGGAAATAGTTGTTTGTACAGAGAAAAGCTGTAGAGATAAATAATGTTAAAGATAACAAGAAATAAGAGCTATGAAGAGCTATTTATATTCTGAAATTGAAAATTAAACCTCAACCAATTAATACCAAAGAAATGAGATTGTGAAAGCTTATGTGTCTGCGAGAAACTGTAAATTCCTAGAACTGTTTTCATTTCACACATACATCAACTTTGGAATCTTGGATCCGGTCCAGCAATTCTTAAAACAGTATTAGACAAAAAGACAAGAGATGCCCTTGACACCACGTAACCAAAGGCTCAATTCCAATAACAAGAGAGGGAAGTTATGCATTTCCTATGCCTCTAATAAACCGCCGTCGGAGTCACCAATTCCTATTGCACCGGCTTCCAGCTGGCGGAAGGTTGGCAACGACAGTTTTCAAACCCCGAACACCCTAGACAATTTCATGGAACCTGTATCAACTACTAACACTATGCTTGAAAGCCTGGGTGATTTCTTTGCTCCTTCTATCCACAGAGGAGCCCAGAGCACCAGCATCCCACGTACGCACACACCGCCCAGCAGCGGGGCAGGCGGCGGCCCAGCTACTTCGCTCTTCCCACGGCGCAGAGCCTCTTCTTCCCTCCCTCCGACAACCCAGCCCCAGGCTCGGCTTTCTGAAGCCTCCCCGCGCGCCAGGCCCAGCACCGGCCGCCGGCTCCCTCCCGGGGACCGTCCCTGCCCCTGCCCGTTAGTCCCCGTTAACAGGCTCCACGGACCGCGCCTCCCCAGCGAGGAAGGCCACCCCGGGTAAAGGGCAGATGAAGCGCCCACCGCCCCAGAGAAGCCTTGCCCGCCGTATACCACGTCCCCCGCGCCGCACTCACTGACGCCACAGAGCCCAGAGGCAACAACTACACCGCCCCGCTGCCAGCAACTGAGCCATGTCACTAAGCGCGAAGGCCGGCGGGACGGGGGTGTGTGCGCCAGGCCTGCCGCTAGTGGCTGAGCGGCAGGGGCGTGATGAGGCGGGGCCCGGCGAGGAGGAGCCGGTGGGCGGGGAGCGGGAAGAGAAGGCGCGCAGGAAGGTGGGATGTGACGAGGAAGTAAGGTCCGAGGGGTCGTGTGCTGTCTCCCGACCCGGGAAGGGGGTGTGTGAAAGATCTATCAGGTGGGGGCAGACCAGGTGAGGGCTGCAGGGGTTACATGACACAGAGAAACAGGGCAATAAAACGGCAGATCAAGTAGAATTCATATAAATGTGAAATGATGCGGGCTGCAGGACTCCTGGCTTTATTTGTGGATGCCTGGGCTCAGAGCTGACTGTGTTCCCTCGGGAATGACATCCACAGTGGTCATGGAGCAACAACATGAAACGTGAGGGCGGTTGGGAAGTTCAGGGCCATCCTCAGAACTTGTAAGATCCTATGCCGAGGCCCAACTCCCCAGCACAGAAGTGTGTCCTCTAAATGGAGGAGCACACCCCAGCCCGTGGTGAGCACAAAGCAAGCAGGATAGGCTGGGCTGGGCTAGGCTGGGCTGGGCTGGAGTAGGCTGGGCTAGGCTAAACTGGCCTGGGCTGGGGTGGAGTAGGCTGGGCTTGGCTAGGCTAGGCTGGGCAAGGCTAGGATAGGCTAGGCTGGGCTGGGCTAGGCTGGGCTGGGCTGGGCTGGGCTGGGCTGGACTGAGCCGGGCTAGGCTAGGATGAGCTAGGCTGGGCTGGGCTGGGCTAGGCTGAGCTGGGCTGGGCTGGAGTAGGCTGGGCTGAGCTGGGCTAGACTAGGATGAGCTAGGCTGGGCTGGGCTAGGCAAGGCTGAGCCGGGCTGGGCTAGGCTAGGCTAGGTTAGGCAAGGCTAACCTCAGCTCTGCTAGGCTTGGCTCGGCTAGGCTAGGCGCTAGGCTAGGCTAGTCTAGGCAAGGCGCTAGTCTAGGCAAGGCGCTAGGCTAGGCAAGGCGCTAGGCTAGGCTAGGCTAGGCTAAGCTAGGTGATAGGCTATTCTAGGAGCTAGGCTAGCCCAGGATAGGCTAGGGCAGGCTTGGTAGGCTAGGCCAGGCCAGGCAAGGAGGAGGAGCACATCCCACCCTGTGGTGAACACAAAGCAAGCAGGCTCAGCTAGGCTAGGCTCGGCTAGGCTAGGCTACACTAGGCTAGGCTTAGCTGCACTAGGCTTGGCTCGGCTAGGTTCTGTAGGCTTGGCTAGGCTAGGCTAGGATTAACTCCACTTGGCATGGGTCTATTCAGCTTGGATCAACTCGGCTGAGCTAGGATAGGCTCTGCTAGGCTAGGCTAGGCTAGGCTAGGCTAGGCTAAGCTAGCCTATTTGTAGGAGCACATCCCACCATTTGGGGAACACAAGGCAAGCAGGCTAGGCTAGGCTAGGCTGTGCTACGCTACGCTAGGCTAGGCGGAGGAGCATGTCCAGCTCTGTGCTGAACACAATGCAAGCAGGCTAGGCTAGGCACTAGCCTATGCTAGGCTATTCTAGGGTAGGCTTGGCTAGGCTAGGTGGAGGAGCATGTCCTGCCCTCTGGTGAACACAAGGCAAGCAGGCTAGGCTAGGCTATGCTACACTACGGTAGGCTAGGGGGAGGAGCATGTCCCGCCCTGTGCTGAACACAATGCAAGCAGGCTAGGCTAGGCACTAGGCTAGGCTCTAGGCTAGGCTAGGCTAGGCAGTAGGCTAGGCAAGGTGCTAGGCTAGGCAAGGCTCTAGGCAAGGCTGGGGTAGGCTAGGCACTAGGCTAGGTGCTAGGCTGTGCTAGGCTATGCTAGGCTATTCTGGGGTAGGCTAGAGTAGGCTAGGCTAGGCGGAGGAGCATATCCTGCCCTCTGGTGAACACAAGGCAAGCAGGCTAGGCGGAGGAGCATATCCTGCCCTCTGGTGAATGCAACGCAAGCAGGCTAGGCAGGCAATGCTAGGCTAGGGTAGGTGCTAGGCTAGGATAGGATAGGATAAGCTAGGCGCTAGGCTAGGCTAGGCTTAGTGAGGCACTCGGCTATTCTAGGACCTTAGGTAGGCCAGGCTAGGCTACAGCAGGCCAGGACCGAAAAGGAGAAGGAGCATGTCCTGACCTGTGGTGAACACAAGGCAAGCAGGCTGGGCTAGCCTAGGAGAGGCTAGGCTATTTGGAGGAGCACATCCCACCCTGTGGGGAGCACAGGGCAAGCAGGCTAGGATAGGCTAGACTATACTACATTATGCTAGGCTAGGCGGAGGAGCATATCCTGCCCTGTGCTGAACACAATGCAAGCAGGCTAGGCAAGGCTAGGTGCTAGGCTAGGCTAGGCTATGCTAGCTGGTAGTATAGGCTAGGCTAAGTGCTAGGCTATGCTAGCCGCTAGTATAGGCTAGGCTAAGCGCTAGGCTAGGCTAGGCGCTAGGCTAGGCTAGGCTAGCCCTAGGCTAGGCTAGGCTAGGCTGATGCAAGGAATAGTAATGGACTAAGGAAAGAGTTAAGAGTTTTATTCAAACTATGCATTGTCTTAACTTAGAATAGGAACAGGTATGTTCTTGTTCTTGCCAGTTAAACTATAACCCAGAATAAAATAGGTAGCTGAAACACACTATTTAAAATCAGAGACCCTTTTCCCTCAAGAAGACGAATGTCTGGTAGGAATTTGTTTCAACTAGTTTCTATAACACTTGAAGTTGCCAGCTGGGGAAACTGTGTGAAGGGTGAAAA